ATGACATATGCACGATGATGCAAAATAATCATTCATCACTTAAAAAAGGCTTCACGACCTTAAAGTGGTAAGTGAAGAGTAGAAAATAAAAGCGTGGGCGAATTAGCGGTGACATTAGCTTTATTGGTTACTGACGGAAAACTGAAAACATGTCTATCCCACGAGAACCGAACATTTTTCCGGGATAAAAAGTCTATGTGCTAATCCAGACTATAATTTATTTCTGTGCGAAATTTCATCCAAATCTGTTCAACCGTTCTGGCGTGACTGAATAACAAATATCCATCCAAACTATAATATTAGTAAGAATTATATAGCGTCACAGTTTCAAATGAAAATACAGACGAATTGATTACCTTTTTGTTTTCGAAGTCGGTAAAAAAGTTACAATCTCGGATTCTCGACATATTACAAATCACGACTTTATAACGAAACATCTCACAAATTGTATTACTAAATGCATCATGCAAAGTATTATCATTTTTATGTCAAAACCATAAGGTCCTGTTTCGAATCGATATAGCGATCAGCTGAGCGGCGATCAACAAGGACGAATGAAGGTGTTCCACTTGCAGGACAATAATCCCGCTTGCTATCACTTTACAGTTTTCAAATGTGCAGTATAAATATCTTATTTAAATAGTCGCCATATCGTTCTCAGGACAAAGATACGATAAGAAATAGAACTTTAATCCCTCCACGACCGCGAACACGCCGGCGTGTCAGTTAACAATAGATTTCTTAGAATTTTAATTAATTTCTTAGAAATTTACCTAGAGGTGTTACAAAAACATAATTTCTTTAAAAATATCAGTAATGTTTTCGCCATTGTTAGGTTTACTAAAATTCATTTCTTTATCTCTAGATACATACTTATCAGCTCTACACGATTGCATTGTACGACTTTCAAAGGCATATAAATAATACTAGTGACTCACCCTCGCTCCGCTCGAATTCGTCCCTAGGTACGTTTAGAGTTAAGCATAGATTACTCAGAGATAAGATGTTTTCCCGCAATAAAAAATATCCTATATGTTGACCCGGATGACCAGCTATCATCATACCAAATTTCATAAAAACCTTTACAGTACATAGTTTTCTCGTGATGCGTTCCCAGACAGAGAGACAGACAGAAATTCAAAAAACTATAGATTCGGCTTCTGTATCGATAATAATGACTATTTCAATAAGATTTTCAAAAAAAATAATGTATACATTCGACTCAGAATTTTATTACATGTATAGATTAAGGGTTTCACGTCACATAAACAAGAATGAACTATGAAAATACTTAAAATTTAAAATTTGGCACATCCTAAAACGTCAACCGAACGTAAAAACTTTCATAACCTTAGAAAAAGTTAATGGTTTTCTAATAGTAAAAATAAACACAAGCAACTTGATTGAAAGTGAAAGCGAATGCAATGTTTACAATTTCATTAATTACACACTACATATAAAAATATGACGTTTATTAAAATTTAAAAAGAGAGTGCAAGAAAGAAAAAATACTTTAGGATCTGCGGCCTACGAAAAGTTAACTTTGCTTAATAAAAAAAAAACATAAAAATGACTACAAATGACACAATACTACTATATGACATAACGTTCAAATACGGCATTCCCATAAAGTGTTTAGTTTTGGTTAGCGATTGTAGAATGACATGTTTTCTAAGTCCTTTGTTTAAAAATATTTAGTGTTTTTATTGCGACTAATTTCAATTCCAAAATTTGTAACAACTTCTTACCATAGTATGGCATCTCGTTGCCATCAATAATTGAATTTTTGTAGACCTTTTTAGCCATGTCAACTTTAACGGAGAAAGGGTTTTTTTTTTACAGAAGTGTTGTGAAGTAAAAATTCCCAACTTCACACTATTACTGAGAATTCCTTAACACAAAAATCAACAACTAAACGTAGCCCAACCCTGGATTCGAACCCATAACCTCCGGATCTACGGCCGTACATGATAGCCATTAGTCCACCGAGGCAGTTCGCAGTTACAGAAGTAGATATACCTATATAAGACAAAGGTGCCAAATATACGACACCATTTTATTTTATGTGGAACTCATTTTAGGAACTTATCTCATATTAGGCAATTTTATCCTACTCTCATATCATATGTTCATTTCATTCCAAAAACGAGGAGGTTCTCAATTCGTCGGAATCTTTTCAACTTAAATATATTGGAATTATTAATATTTTTTTGTAATGTTGGGGCAGTCATTACTATATACTAATATTATAAAAACCCATTCTTATCGGAGTGATTGAAATGATTAATTATAGCGATAAAATTTATATGTTGATGCACTTGATGTTGATAGTTGATACATATAAAATAGGGTTCCTGTGCGATATTGTCATGTAATAAGTTACTTAGAGAATCCTCGGACCTTACTAAATGTGCGATTTAACGATCGTATTCGTTTCCAGGCCTTTTTAACATCTCCTTTTAATGCGAGTAGGAACAGGCAATAGTCCACTACGCTGGCCAAGTGCAGGTTGGCGGACTTCACATGTCTTACGAGAACTTACTGGGTTTTGTCAGATATGCTGGTTCCTTCAGAATGTTTTCTTTCACCGTAAGACAAGTGGCAATCATGTTAAAAATGACGATTTAACGATATTCATATCTTATATTTGCCAATACCTTCTAAATCAACACATTCTTTCTTCTTTAGTATTGAAAAAAATATACGAATAATTCAGTGACGATAAATATTTATAAAGACACGGCACAAATAAATCTAAAGATGTAAAAGTTAAGAAATATGCGGTTATGTGCTATTGAGAAACTATTTCAAATACTCGTAGATATGGACCGTACTATAATCGAGAACGTTTTCCGTTTAGTATGGACATTTTAGTGTATTGTGAAACTAACGCTTATTACGGGCATTTCATGTTTTATGATACTTGGTTATAATTAATTAATAAATATGGACTAAAATAAATAAAAATTACAAAAAAAGAAATTTATCCCTGTTATTCTTTTTAATTTAATGATTTCATTTGTTTGTTCATTTAAACGCGCTAAACTCTAAAACTACCATTTAGATTAAAAAATCCTTTTAGCATTATATATACATAGGTTATTATAGGCTATAGCCTATTTATTGAGGTTGATTTACTAATATCACGCTACGAGAATTAAGAGTGGATCAATTATATAAATAAACTAGCGACTCACCCTCGCTCCGTTTGCGTTCGCACGTTTTCACGTTCAATATAGATTTCTCAGAGATAAGATATTTTCTCGCAGTAAAAAGTATCGTATATGTTGACCCGGATAACCAGCTATCACCATACAAAATTTTATCAAAATCTGTCCAGTGATTTCCTCGTGATGCGTGCACAGACAGACAGACCTACAAAAATTCTAAAAACTAAAAATTCGGCCTTTAGGTATATTAATAAAAATTTCCAAAAAAAAAATTTATGTACAGATTCGACTCAGTCAGAATTTTATTTTATGTATAGATATATGATACATGCGAGCAAAGCCGTGTATAAAAGCTAGTAATTCATATATGTTTTCATTTTGTAACATTGTAATAAAGAGCGTTTCTTTTGGTACTTAAGTAAATCAAAAGTATAAACTTACGGTCTGTGGTTACATTTCGGCCGCATTGGCATCAATACAACACACAGGAGTACTACTAAACAGCACTGCTGTTTTACATATTATGCATGCTACTTAAAAATGGTAATTTCAAATATTTGACTGACTTTAAGAAGATCTAAAACATTCTAAATTATCAGCAGTCAGGCGTAAAGCCTAGAAATCAGCATCTATTGTTTACAAATATTAAAAAACGATACATTTGAGTATGATCATGTGTTGAAAAGTATAACATATACATACCTATTTAAGAATGAAAATTTTGTCCCGAAAAGTTTCTGATGGTATTATATAATTTATACTGAATTAAAAAAGACATAATTTTAGTCAAAAACGGAATAACTATAACTCAACAAGAAAATCATTTTTGTACAAAATGTTGCTTTTAGACGATAAAACTTATAAAGAAACCTTACATTATAAGCAGAGTTAGTGATGCGATTCATTTAAGGTCACCGGTAAAGATATCGTCTAACAATCAACATAATACGATATGTTAACTTAAACTAGATATATTTAAAGGTCGCAAAGGTGAAGGAGATATTTTAAAATATGAGTCACTTACATATAGCAGAATCAATCTAGCCGTGATCCGAATAATGAGTTCAGGTGATGACATGACGAATATTTTAGCCAAGGTCACTTAACACCACACTAGCGTGTCCAGCTGATGCCACAAGTGCACTGGCATCGGACAATACTATATTTAATTATCTATATTTATTTCTTTACATAACCGCAGTTACCGGCATATAAATCTCTAGCATGAAATGATATCTAGAAGAAGGTAACTACGAAGTACCTGCCAACGCGTCTGAGCGTACTATTCGAAATATATTTGAACAAGTGCTAACAATTTCTATGAAACGTCGTGACATTTAAATTATATAGTCACGCATTACGTATAGCCTTAAAAGAAACGCGAAAGGCACCTGGCTAAAGACACATTCTTATGGTATTGCGCAAAACGAAGGCTCGAAAATTAGACACTTATTTATTTTATAGCAAGCTTCGTTCGCATTAGATAATACTATTAGACTGGTGTTCCAAATCTTACGTATATGAATACGTTTTAAGATAAGATAATGTAAAATTGTGTACTTACCTGTCGCTATTAAAATTCTATACATGTATTCTACGTATATTAAAAAAAACTAAATATGAGTCAATATATATTTCCCGCTCTTGACTCTTGAGTCATATGAATTAGTGAGTGTATTTTGTTGGTCATCATTGCGATATCAAAATTTAAAAAGTAAAGACCAATTTAAACTACGAATGGCCGAGACTTTATCAGATAAGTAGATTTAATTCTAGGTTATAAGGCCTTATAGGATACGGGTGTAATAAATATGAAACCTCATTACATACGTGACTATGCTGATCGCCGAGAATTCCAACGATGGAGCCGTCACTTTGCGAATCTCTTCGTAAATCCGATGGGCTGTCACCGTTAGTAAAGTCACTAAAATGCATATTTTCTTCCTTCTCGTCAGTAAATTTCTCCTGAACACCATTAGTTTGGTCTAAACTGTCATCAGTACGATCAATATCACTGTTCACTTTAATTTCAGAATTAGCACTTTCATTGATATCACTATCAATATCACTATTCAGTTTAATTTCGGAATTGATACTTTCATTGATAGGCATATGTGTTGTTTTTACTAAATTACGCTCTACCACAGTTTCTTCCTCAGAATCACCAAAATCACCATCTGTAAAAGCATCTCCACTCTCCTCGTCGCTGTTTTCAGGAGTGGCTAACACGGATCGATCGTCCATATTTAACATCATTTTAAATAAATTTATTAAGAAAATAAAAAATATTGCTAGCTACGTTTATGAAATTTTCATATTATTATAACGAAATAGAATTTCAAGCGTAAAATGTACATGGGTGCCCGTTGGAACTACTTAAATGGAAAGGATGGGCGCAATTTTTGCACCGCGCTCTTCTCGTACTGCACTTACGGACCGTGATAACGTATTTATCTTATCGATATTAGCCACTTATTCGTAAGCCTCTCCTTACATTCTTTGTCACAATCAACAATAACATTTTTCTATATATATAAACAGACACTAAATGAACCGCGGTACAGTCACAATATTTATAGGGCACGTAAGCTGTTTACGATTGAGGAAATTGTTGAAACTTTTTTTGTTGTTTCGTAAACATCGTAATTGTTGAGGTGGGGACAAACAGACACGTGCGTCCGCCGCCGTGTCGGTAATAGACTAGTGATATTAGTAAGCAAACTGTGTGCTGCGACCATCTTTGCACTATCGCTTTCGTAATCGCACCGTTAACTTCAGCCTAATCCTAAACCAATGCTGACGAGAAGGCGGGCGAATGAAGGTAATATTTTAGAAAAAATTACAACACTTGAAGTAAGCCTACTTGAATAAAAATATGATTTTTAGTAGTTAGTAGTTTATTTTTTTAAATTTAAAAGTCCTAAATATTGTAAAAAAGTAAACTAAAATAAAGTAAATTTCAATAAATACTGTACATATAATATAATACACATTAAAGTATAATATTTTGTTCTTAGAGTATAATAAATCGCTTTCTTATACACCTTGATCTATACCTCTATTAAAAAAAAGTAATGAGCCCTGTGAATCACTGCACTCACAGACACCAGCATTTCCCGCCTGCGCCTTATGCGTGCTTGATTAATGGTCTATTGTTTTAGTCAATGGCCTTTATGGTCGAGGAAATGTCGTGTGTACGAGGGATATATTATGTTAAATATTGTTTGCATTGCATATTGTGCCTTAAGCATTTTGCATAGTGAAACATCAAGGACTAATATTCCATTGTAATATACACGGAGGAATCTTATCGAATACCTTATTTTGTTTATATCAACGTAGCTAACTGATTGAATCTTTAGATATCGGCAGAAAGTTTGGATTTTGAAGCGAATTATTTTAATTAAAAAAAAATGCTCAAGAGAACTAGACAAACTAGATAATAATGACAAACAGTTATTTCGCAATTAGAACATAACTACCTACCTTAATTAGCAACAGATGAAACAGAGTTTTTCAAATGACGCCTATTAGCTTAGAACAAGTTAAGAAACTGCATTTAATTAAAAATAATTTTAATGAATGTTACGAAATGATGAGGCAGACGTTTCGTAATCACATTACGCGGTAATAACGGAAATATTTACATTATTTCGACGTCAGATAACAATGTTGACGGCGAATCAAATAATTAGAAAATGTTTATTAACAACTAGCGACTCACCCTTGCTTCGCTCGGGTTCATCATAAGGTACGTTTTACGGGTAGTATGGAATAGACAGATGATATATTATAATATATAGATAGGCACAAAATAAACAGTTCTGAACTTTTCGATTTTCCAGATGCTCTTATGGGTTTTCCCTATTTTTTTTTACCTAAACCACCTTTGACACACCCCTAACAAAACAAAAAAGAATTATTTAAATCGGTCCAGTCGTTTTTGAACGAGACTAACGAACGGCAATTGATTTTTTTTATATACGTATACAGATGACAGTTGTGTATAAGAATATTTTCTTTTATTATTCTTCAGCCTAAAAACAAACATAGAGTTCCCAGCAAGGAGGTTGATCGTTACTAATGTCAATACTTGCACGTGAGTCAGTTTCAACAAAGCCACATCGCAAAACAGTGTAGTTGTCAAGGTTAATTCTTAATTATTTTGTTCTTTTTTTAAACGTAAAATATAATTTAAACTATTACGTTATACCTATTTAGAAATCGTTGTATTTTTTGTTTGAAACACAAATTTACCTTGTTTTATGTACGTTCAATCGACCTTCAGAGTTCAGTTACAGAAATTTGATCTTGTTATTGGTATATTATTTATTATTATTTATATATCTCGAAAACTGGTAACACTAATTTTCATTATTAATAATTTTATATAACTAATAAGTAATAATCATAAAAACATTTAAAACCAGATGCCAACATTTAAATATTAGATACAATTCGGAAGTAGGTACCTATACGGTTTATAGCTACGAGTATTATAAAAAATCGGTCAAGTGCGAGTCGAATTCGCACACCAAGGGTTCCGTACCATCATAGATGTACTTTCTTGTATTTTATTGTTATTTATTTTTATTATTTGCAGTTAGATGGCAATAGAAATACATACTCTATGAAAATTTCAACTCTCTACAACCTATCAACTTATTACGGTTCATGAGAATCAGTCCTTTGACAGACGGACGAACGGACGGACAGCGGAGGTTTAGTAATACGGTTCCGTTGGCACCCTTCGGGTACGGAACCCTAAAAACTAAACACTCAACTTATCAAGAGGAAACTGTTTCACGCAACACCATATACAATTAACTGATAACATTAGAAACGTTCCATAATGAACAAAAATGTTAAATACTATTATGTTTACAGTAACAAGCCTATTGTATACGCAGAACACAACATACATATATGCGCTATTAATACACACTAAATGCCTGTCATTATGTCTGCGTGTGTAGTTCTATTTCTCCGCAACTATTAAGAAGACGCGATTTAAAAATTAAACCGAAAAGAAAGCTTCAATAGCTATATTACTAACTCGATTGATTGAAATATAACTAAGCTAAGTATATTATTTAAAGTATTAACATAAAGCAAGTCAGCGATCAGTTCAACTGTTCTCAAATAATAAACAAACATATAAAGAAAATTCCTAAAAACTTAAACTAAATTGAGTAACATTCGACAAACAAATCCTTGAAATAGGTAATCATATTCAAAAATATTACTCATAAAGAATCTATACATATAATATAATATCATATACATCTATACATATAATAAAATTGTAACTAAGCCTAATCTGTAGATTAGATATTTTTTGGAAAATCTTATTGAAATAAACATTATTATCGATACAAAGACCGAATCTATAGTTTTTGAATTTTTGTCTATCTGTCTGTTACCGCATCACAGAAAAACCACTGGAGGGATTTTGATGAAATTTGGTATGGTGATAGCTGGTTATCCGGGTCAAATATAGGATACTTTTTACCGCTGGAAAATATCTCATTTCTAAGAAAAAATACAAAAACTGCAATATAAGAGTATACCTATATATGTAAACCTAAGAATTTGGTTATTGGTCATCTGAACAATGCAATCTGGTCAATGCTAGTATAACATATTTGTTTAAACTAACCTGGGCAGGTGAAACTTCTGACACAACAAAATAATAGGTAATTTTTCTTTAATTATTTTACAATTATCTATAAACTATAAAGAGCTAACACTAACACTGCAATAATTGATGATTTGTAATCGATTTGGCAACGATCCGGTTGACAAAACAATTGTCGAGAGTGAATAATAAGTCACTGACGAATTATATTGTGTTGTTGCTTAACAGTACGAATAAAATCAATAAGATGATAGTTAAATAAATCCGTACATTTTTTTGGCAAAAGCGTGATTGGTCAACGAATTGCAAATAAAGTACCTAGATTTGACTGAACAGAAATTTAAGAAACAAATAATTTCATTTTTAAACTATTAAAATTGGCCAAAATATCATGTCATTTATTCTCTAGTGGAGTACTTCTTCCTCCTATTTGAAATCGGTGGAAGCTCATTTTTCATAAAGAACAGTTATTAAATTTTTAATTTCTACAAATCGTTTTATAACTATTTAGTACACATGCAATGTACATGTTATATATCCCATACAAATATCATGTATCCAACTCTCTTTCACAATAAAGCACGGATGTGATCCGTAACTGGTACAAACAAAACTAGCAGCTGGATAATGCAGTATTGTAAACGGACTCAATAAGTGGATCTCTAAAAATAAGACTATTTCAAACATACCATAGTATTTTTATAATCAAACTTTAAAATAAAATCATTCATCTTTCCACATTTAGCAAAATATGGCAAGAAAAGTAATTAAGTTAAAAATCCGTGTCAAGAATATCTTGACAAGTTAAGGTATGTATACGAATGCCTTGCCTCTATAATTACAGTTGAAAATGCTCTAGTACTCACTAATTATATCTACACATTACAACACAACTTTAATATATATATAATCGCTTAGAAATTTATTCTCAAAATTACGACCAACGCAGAATAATATACACACAATAGCTAACACTTTGCAAACAATCACTCTAAAACTGGCAAATTAGAGCTCGTAGTAAGAAAATTTAAATAAAAACTTGATTGATTTATAAAAACAAAATTATGTACGGCCAGAGTGCTTGCGAAACGCACTGGTCTAAATCGCGGGCGACATTGCACTGGTAGAGAAAAGGTGTCACGTAAAAACAACTTTGCGATCAGCACTAAACACGCAGAAAAAATTAACGACGATGTACGGACCACGGAGTAAGTAGCAATCTCGGACGGTTAACTGTATGAGATTCAAACGGGACCAGCGGATAAGTGATGCGCTCAGACAATCGACGAGTCGAAATTTAAAAGAACAAACATTCAAATACGATGCGTTGTGCACAAATGCTTCTTCTATGGTACAATATGTGCAATCCATACTAATGTTATAAATGTGAAAGTGTGTTTGTTTATCCTTCTTTAACGTCGAAACGGAGTGACGGATTGGCGTGATTTTTGTGTGGAGATAGTTGGTAACTGGAGAGTGGCATAGGCTACTTTTTACCACGGGGTATTATCTAATTCCCTAAAAACTCCCTAAATAGTGTTTATAATACACTCCAAAAGAAAAAAATATAATCAGAATTACTTGAAACTTGGTATTAATGCTCTTCAATTAAATAAATACGTGTTTTAGCATTTTTCGAAATTCATCCTATAAGGGGGTTAAATAGGGGATAAAGGTTTGTATGAAACTACCTTTTAAGAGATTTTTGCAGTTATAGCGCGAGCGAAGCCGCGAGTTCTGCTATTTTTCCAGTTTCCTAAAATATCACATAAACGTAAAGTGCAAAATGGTATTAGGTCAAGAAATATGAATAATAAACTTCTAATTTATTATAGCTCTCTAGATGTAACAGTATAAATTGTAACATTAACCAAATTAAGTTATCTAAGCTGTTTATGTATAATGAAATAAATAAATTGTATCAACACTTAATGATAATAATATTTAATATATGAACTGGTGAACTTAATGGACAATATCAAACATATTGTATATAAACAATTTTACACTGGAACATGTGATTATTTGTTGAGATTATCAATTTAACGTATAACAATACTATTTTTAATAAACATACTAATCCTATAGTATTTTTTTTATGGGACTAAGGGGGCAAACGAGCAGGAGGCTCACCTGATGGAAAGTGATCTCCGCCGCCCATGGACATCAGCAACACCGCAGGGCTTGCAGATACGTTGCCGGCCTTTAAGGAAGGAATACGCTCTCTTCTTGAAGGTGGCCAGGTCGTAGCGGTTCGGAAAGACCGCCAGCGATAGCTAGTTCCACAGAGTGGTTGTGCGGGGCAGAAAATGCCTTAAAAATCGCACTGTTGTGAAACGCTGGACATCGAGGTGGTATGGATGGAATTTACTATTTAGTAGCACAATAGAATAGAAGTTTACGAGTATTTAAGTATGTTTGTAATATTTTCAAAGGGCGCAATTGGGAAGCAGGGAATTAAAGGTTCCAGCAGAAATGCAAGCAAAAATTAGTCAAAAATAAATTCGAACGAGCCCATCACTAAACAGAAACGGAGGCTGCGCATGCGACGTACGTAAATATCGTGACATTTGCCGCACATCTGCGACTGAGAGCAGCCACGCACGTGAGATACGCTTTCGTAATAGCAAAGGTGAATGATCGATGGTTGATCTAGATCCCTTGTCAGACGAGGATAAACGTAGCTACTTCTAAGTTCAATATTCTTCAATCAATTATTGACAAGTATTTAAATATACGTCCATGAAGCAAAATTGAATAAAAAAATCGGTCAAGTACGAGTCGAATTCGCATACGAAGGGTTCCTTATTTTATTATTAATTTTGCCATCGCACATAACTTTTTATTAATATGATTTTTACTCTATGTATGTAGTATATTAACTTCGATGATCGATTACGAACGTTAAAAAAAACTTCTGCTATTTTTGTTTGTTTATTTTTTGTTATAGTGGCAAAAGAAATACGTACTCTGTGAAAATTTCAAATCTCTACCTATTACGATTACGGTTCAGGATACAGCCCTCTGACAGACGAACGGACGGACAGCGGAGGCTTAGTAATAGGATTCCGTTAACCTGAAACCCTAAAAATGACTGAATGAATTATGATTATTTGCAGATAACCAATATCCCATAAGCTTACTAAGCCACAGCTGTTAAAGGTAAATATCACTCAGGGATAGTAGAAGCATACCTCGTATATAAGTTATATAACAATGTAGAAAAATATTTCTTTGTTTAAATTAATTTCCTTTTTTATATTCATCTTAATTAAAAAAGGAATAAATTTATTCAAGTATTTTAATTAGGTATTATACAAGAAACTCTTATAATTTAAAAGGAACCGCACGGCCACACACTTTTTATTTGGTGTGCAATAGATAACATAAATATAAATAACTAGCAACTCACTCTCGTTCTGCTCGTCCCTAGCTGTTTTAACGGTTAGTATAGATTTCTCAGAGATGAGATATTTTCCCACAGTAAAAATAATACGTTGACCCGGATAACCAGCTATCATCATACCAAATTTCATCAAGATCATCATCAGACAGACAGACAAAAATTCAAAAAACTATAGATTCGGTCTCTGTATTGATAATAATGACTATTTCAATAAGATTTTGCAAAAAATATTTAATGTACAGATTCGACTCAGAATTTAATTATATGTATAGAATTTATTGATAGAAGATGATTTTGAATGATTTATTGTTTTTCTTTTTCTTTCATCACAATCTTTTATCTTACGTGACAGGCAAAATAGAAATTAGTGAGCAAAACCAACATAATTATGACAAAACGCTTTATATCTCTAAATTACCTAGATATATGTACATATGTAGGTTATGTATTACCATTTTTGACAAATTGTATTTTATGACGTATTACAGTAAGTGCCTGTTTTTTTTGATATTAATATGTTAAACTTAATACCAAGGAGAGATGAAATCCAGTAAATATTAACATTTTCATGGGTAAACGAGTTTACTTTTTTAGCTACACTTGTCGCCAGCTAGTCTATCCAAAATTGCGAAAGTCGTTTATAAAGTTTGTGTTTTTTGTATATTGATATTAAGATTGCATATGAAATCTGTTAATACCACAGAGTTGACCTGATGACGGAGCCAGAAGATAGATTTAACAAACAGAACGAACGAACAATAACGTGGCCCATATAAAACCTTCATATTAAAGACTTGGTCTTATTTGCCTACTGTAAGAAGGTTACTTTTAAATTTTTATATAGTTTTATTTCCTTAAAACCAAAAAAATACGTTCTTCTATTCGGGTTAATCATTAGTTTTTTGGATATCGAGATTGCCAGTTAGAATAATTACCTCAGTGAAGGAAACAACTACAAAAAAGATGAGAGCATTGAAGAATAATTGTTTACAATTGAAGAACGTGACTTACTATGCGGAAGCTGTCGCTTATCGTTTGTGTTGCTTGAAGATAAATTACCATTTCGCGTAGTTTAAATTCCTCCATTTTAATATATTTAGTAAGGAGGTTCTAGAGTGGAGACACGGCTGCGCCGTAGGTATAGACTGGATGCGCAAAGTTCAAGAGTGGAACAGCTACCCTTTTTTTTTAACGTTGGGAAATGCATTTACGCACGAAGTTGTTATGTATGATGTGTGAAGAAGACAATAGGTAATAGTCGATTTGTTTAATGTTGCTACATAACGTTCGATTAATTACGCAATTAATCATAACTAAGAAATGGTAATACGTAAATTATTTAAAACAACATTAATAAGCAGAAATGTGCAATATACAGTGGTACTCTAAGTATCCATCTTGTATATCATAACAGTACTTACTCGTTGAATTTTAGTGTGTTATTGGATGAGTCACCTAATAATAATTCTCACTTATGATTGCGTTGGCTTTAAGTGCTTAGAACAATACGAAAGTATAGCTATAATAAATAATAGATAATATTACACATGTGTATAATTATAAATAACTTCGCCGTTCACGATGATGCCACAATATGATTTGTTATGTAAATTCTACTTTCTTTTTTGGAGACAACATTCGACTACACAAGAAAAGGTTGCACGAGTTTGGCAATACTAAAAATTATATATAAATAAAAACGATAAAAAATGTCAAGCTTGCATTCACGAAACTTTGCACAACTAAAACTGTACCGTTTGTATTAATACTCTATATACGGCTGTTTTCGGTTTCATAAGGGAACAAAAACAGTAAAATACCTTGTAAATTAAGACTAAGTGATTAATTAATAAACTTACTAATTTAGGTCTCACATGGCACACCACAGAGCGGGCGGAGTCGTCGTCACTGGTGCTCTCCAAGCAATCTGAGAGTGAGGGTGATCTTCTTGCTGGCCATTTGAGCGACTTCTCAGAACATGGGCTCGGGATTGTCAAAGGCGGAGGTAACCGAGACCCTTGACCTCGCCACCACGACACCAGCGCGGGTGCCACACCGACCACCATAGCAAGGCCGAGTCGTACCATCATAACCAAATTTATGAAAATTCACAAACTCATAATTCAATTTCTTCTAAGCGTGCACAATCGTTAACGGCGCATCGCTCTTAAATAAAAAACGCAGCTATTTTCGATCGATGCAGTCCCACACTGTCACGCGGTGTCACTGAAACCTGCACGCTAAGGATTATCCGTCAACGTGACGCCGGCTAACACGAGAGCACGCATTAGTTAATAAATCACGTCACAAAAGAAACGAAACATCCCAAAAATTTAAGACGTGTATAGAGACGCGACTATTCGACTCGACTGAGAAGCTACTATTTCATTAACTGCGCACGTACAGAGGCCAACAGACAAAAAGTGGTGATTGTTAAAGTTGCACGGTGCAGCAGAGAACGGTTTCCTCTCACGCTCGCAGGCAGCCGAGTGTCGGTCGTTGACGCTGGTGCCCCCTCCCAGAGAGCCCCTCTCCAGCCGCCCGCCCATGAAACCACCCCCCTTATTCTGTCCCGCGACAGACCGCCCGCTGGAGTTCCTCGTGATTATGGTAAAATGCACTACTAGGTACTAACTTAATCAATGTTATATATAGAATAATCATTCAGTACCGCGATTATTTTCGTTTCATTATCGACACAACGATCTCCCGTGTTGCAATCTGGGTCAAGCGTGATAGAAACGTTTCATGGTGTAAACAAATCATAAGATTTTAATATGACTGTATATTTTACAAGGAACAAATAGCATTAGCGTGCAAATAGATTATGAATGAATAAGACGGTTTTTATTATTATATTAAATACATAAATATTCAAGAAAGACGTTTATTACAAATGTGTATAAAGAAACACACAATCTAGATAAGTATTTATGATATTTTATCGAACCGGTTATATTGGTTTTATGAAATTTCTCTTCCCATATATAATAAAATTGACGTCATCATTCAGATATCGGATACAAGCAGTCATCAAAAACAGGCAAATATTTCATTTTGTACGGAGTCTACAATTACGTTGCATATACATGAATTGTATTATAGTAGAAAGCAGAACGCAATTGCAGCAAGGGGTGTGAGTAGACGAGGTGGCGCGGGTGTTTTCTCATACTACAAACTATGTAGGTTTAAAATGCAATGAAAACGAACTTATAGGTACGTGTACCACAGTCCACTTATATTTTATTTCATTTAACTAATTATATTCAATACAAAAAAAATCATGTCATCAATATTATAAAAAAATTAACTGCCTTTTACAAATGCCTTAAAAAACATAATTTTCGCTACATATTTTTTGGCCTAAGGCCAATTTAAAAGCTCCGTAAGCGCATGCATATAACCACCCGACTCTTGACCTACAACTTTTAATTTTCATATAATTTCATACAAAATTGTGGAATTGCATCATATATCCCTCCCAAACCGGGTTGAGGGTTGAGGCAGACGGATCGATTGCTTACGTCAGCACCCAGACGAGACGCCGTTGAGACCTAACTGCGAGATTTTAGTACCCAGCTATGTACTAAATAGTTAGTTTAAATAAATATGAATTGTCTTCATATCGATCGATTACAGGCATACACTGTCGCAATTTATTTTCATACTACGAATTCGCCCTTGCACCGCCCGGGTTCGTCCGTTATGTTACGTCCTAGGTACGTTTTAACAGTTAGTATGGAATAAATAGACTACATATTATACGATATATAGCCTATAACCTTCCTCAATAAACGGGCTAATAACTACATATATAAATAGGATTAGTAGTTCCTGAGATTGGCGCCTTCAAATAAACAAACAAACAAACTCTGCCTCTTTATAACAGGTATTAATATAGAATATAAATGATTTAGATTTTTCAATATTGGTACCTTGTGGGTTACTATTTGTTAAAATATCCAGCAATGTATAAGAATTGTTGTAGAAACTTAAATGTTTAACATTATGGCTGGTAGAGACCAAGTAAGAATTCAGGTTCAAATCAAATATCAATTTTACATATACATCCCATTACGTAGTAATTAAACGAATTGTTAACCGAAAAATTCCACCGACTTCATATAATCATCAAAAAACTTATTATTCCGTCCTTAGCGGTGGAATTTCTTCTTTTTATATGGCAGGTGTTGGTCTATGGATTAAAAAAATACTGATTTATATTAAATTTGATTCACAACAGGCGAAGATAACAACGTAGAAAAAACTAACACGTTATAATATTGAATTACTAACGGCTCATCCTTGCTTCGCTCGGGTTCGCCTCTAGAAAAACAAAAACAAATCTATCCCACGGGAATCGTATATTTTTCCGGGATTAAAAGTAGACTATTGTTATTCTGATGTATGAGCTATATTATTGCAGAGTTTCATTAAAATCCTTTCAATAGTTTTTGTGTGAAAGGGTACAAGCATCCATACATACAGCCAGACAATCCATACATACTCCATAAACTTTCGCATTTATAATACAGAATTATATTACAGTTAAATAATATTTGTGTACAGTAAGTTGAGTGATGAAATTACCATATGGAATTTATTGACTGTGTCGCGTTAGGACATTGACTTCAGGGAGTAAATCTGGAACACAATATCGATAGAGATCAGTTTTCGATAGAGTTCGCCCACAAAAGGCACACTTAAAAGCTTTGAGATTTAGAAACAAAACAAATACATTTAACCGATAAGGCATAGGTAATATGTTTCTTTAAAAGCTCTAACTATGGTACATCTAGATTTTTCAATGACATCATCAAAATTTACGAAAAAAATGGAGTGTTAAAGTCCGATTTAAGAAAAGAATTATTCAATAGATAATTATCTACTTTTCCGTTACTTTATTCCCAAAACCAATATTTTCCAAACGTCATTGGCATAATCTACCAAACATACATGTACCTACTAAACACCCGAAAACCACCTAAAAACCCACAAAACCTTCTTACAATGAATAATAAAAATTATACAATAACTAAGAGAGACGAACAGTATCAAACTTATGTAGTGGCAATTCAAATCTACATTAAAAGAGAAAACAAGACCTCTATGGTTTCAGTGCACATAGCGGTATTCCGGGAAAGATATTTCTGTCAGTTCGCCGAAACAACTGACCTATAGAGCTGTTTCCTAATACGTAACTACTAGTGAACTTTATTTATACATATACGATTTTATTGCATATTTAATAATTACAATTTTCTAAATATCACCTAATCAAAGATTCAAACTTAAATATTAAGTTAAAATTGAATGATATGCCCTTACTGTTAACCAGAGAAGGCCAAACGATGAATAATTGTTCTTCATACCAAAATCGGCCTAGATATTATAACCCATAAGAATATCTAACGACATAATATTTAGGAAAATATAATCATTACAGGGGAATTACCTTTGAAACAATGCAATAAGAGCAAAATAATAAGAAAGGTGTTTTAGTAAATAACAGCGAGCTTGGCTGGCTATTTTGGAGTCCTGTCGTCTTGTTGCAGTCGGTAGGGCAACATGCACGCGTAAATATATCAACAGAACGATAAATGGGGGTGACATTAATTCTCTACTGCGGTGAAATTATTCAAATTTATGGCAGTGATAAAAAAATTATTATTTATTATTAATACTATGTTGAGTAGTTGCTACTTCCTGTGGCTCTATCCGCGTATTTGTTTTTCAGCACTAATCGCAGTATCGCTTTATGTAGGATATTGATAAGAGTTTCTTCTTTTCAACCAAATGGTGTTTATTTTAGACTCTTACCGTTTAATATAAAAATGAGTGGTGTGTGCTTCAATAGAACCTAACACAGTCGATGTGTCCTCTAAACGCACTTAAAAATAATTTTACCCCTTGTGATGATTATATACCAAAGGCATAAAGAATGCCATGTCCTCTAGAGACATCTGCCCTAGCCCGTGTACTAGTATCATTAGTCGGGTCGACTTTATTATAATAGGCAATATCATCGACTTATTACTTATTATTCTATGTAGAGTCTAGACAGCAATCAATTTTTTTCCTGTCGGTTTATAGATATTAATTAGTTAGAAGAAGATTTAAGCAAAACTCTCCATCATAAAAAGTGAGATATATAATAAAAATAGCCTTTACTCCTTATAAGATCAACTATCTACGACTGAAAGTACCGTCAAAATCCGTCCAGCCGTTTAAGAGATTAGACAATACGAACAGACAGACAAAAAATTAAAAAATTGTATTTTTCTTATATGGAGGTACTGCATATAATTTCATACGCATTTAGTAAAAAGCTTTTATTTCGATATTACAAACAGACACTTCAATTTTATTCATCTGGTAGAATATATGTATGTACCTACCTACTTAAATCTAACTAATGTATACTAATCTATGTACAAATATTACACTGTATTTAATAGCCATTGCAAAAATAAAGTTTATTACGTTAGTATGATACTTTGTATCTCGTACTAGGGACGTCGTTAAAGGTGAATACATGCGGAAGTTTATTTTTATCCAGTCTCATTTCACACCTTCAAATAGGTGCACTGAACACTACCTAGTGCGCATTGATCAGGCAAAAAACTTATAATAAAAACTTTATTCAGAAGTTCCCCGATAGTGACTGACGCGATCAGAGTTAAAACAACAATGTAAATAACAAAAAAATATTTTTAAAGTTAATTATGTAAGTCTAGTGAAATAGTTCAATACAAAAATGATAATTATCAAACATTAATTATATTATGTAAGTCATAATTAAACATGAAAAAAATATTCACAAATTTTCTATCTCTAAACTCTGGCTAGTAAAAGTATAACTTTGATTTTAGTATGACGCGATAGCACTACAATATGCACAAGTCAAAAACAGGTGAGTGCCTTTATAAAGAATTATTACTGTGTTTGGAAGCAATAAAAAAAGAGAATTGAATTGAAAAACTTATTCTAACGATTTTAAATATACTTGGTGCAAAACAGTATTCTAAGAAAAATATTTCGAACTGTAAATGTGATTAACCCATCTTTTTTTTTTTTTTTTTTTTTTAACGTTGGGAAATGCATTTACGCACGACGTGTGGGACTCACCGGCGTAATACAGCCAGTACTACCCACTAAAACCCAACAAAACCTTCCCCCGTCTTAATGGGGCGTCGCAGGATCGCTTGCGCATTCAACTACGACGCCCCGACGGCAGGTCTGCCGAAGCAGACCACCACACCATGGGGTTGCTCCACAGTCCACTCTGCTATCAGAGAAGTACCAGGAGCAACCCGCATGGTACACCGCCCCCCAAAGGGGGCCACCTCCCACCGCCCACCGAAGTGGGCAACCTCCCTGTGCGTTTCTTAGCTTCGCGCCCGGTTGGATTGCCGGGCACTACTGAGCCCCCCCACCACGACAAGGTTAACGCACGTTGGGGGGGGGGGGGAATAGTGATTAACCCATCTACTCGTATTCATTTGCAAAATAAACTTAAATATTTCTGACATAACGTTTCGTCCATAATACATTTTTACGGTTTCCGTACATACAATGAAAAACGCAACCCATCAAGGATCACTCGCGAGTGTCTGACGGCTATCCTTATCTTTACTTTAATATTTTAAATGTCAAAGTGTGTTTGTTTGTCCTTCTTTCACGCCAAAACAGAGTGACGGAAAGGCGTGATTTTTTGTGTGAAGATAGTTGGAGGATATCCTATTCCCACAGGAAAACACGTTATAATACAACCCAAAAAATTATTTATGATCAGAATTACTTAAAACTTGGTATTAATGCTCTTCATCTTCAATACAATTAAATAATTAATACGTGTTTTATCATTTTTCGATATTCATCCCATAAGAGGGTAAAATAGGCGATGAAAAATTGTATCAAACCTATCTTCTTAGTTTTTTTTTGTAGTTTTAGCGCGAGTTTAGCCGCGGGTTCTGCTAGTAAATTATAATTTATAAAGAGGTACATATCTAACATTAAGAGACCAAATGTCGGGCGTATTGCATAAATCACAGAATTTTGTCTAAGGTCCAACCCAATAATTCTATGCCTAGTAATGTACTTAGGACCCATGTTGGTCTCCGAATATTTTCCCAGAATTCATAAAATACAAACAGTACAAACAAAGCTTAGTTGTGTACATTGAAAATAATATTTTATTTCATTTCGATTAAAATTTGGCCATGAAAATATAAAATTTTAAACAACACGAAATACGAAATCTGTAAACGAGTCCATTATGTCGAATAGCAATCTTATCTCGTTGATAAAATCTTAGACGTAATCGAAACCGAGAAATTGAATTAGTTACGGTGAGCTAACTAGAGCAGTGCAGTGTAACAGAAACAAACCTATTGGAAAATGTATTTGAAAATTGTAAGGGCTTTTGTTTTAATTATGTTTCATGTTATTGATATTTAGATTGATTGATTTAAAGTATTAAATTATTAGTTTTACCTTTATGTAACTTTTGTTAGCTGCCTTTTGAATGATCCATATACATAAATACCTATTGTAGTGCAAGGCTAAATCCATGTTTCATAAACTCCAAGAACCTAGTTATGGCTGCTATGTATGAATGTCTTTATTACTGTCTCGTTGTTCTAGTGGCAAGCATTACAGCTGTAGATCGTGAGATGATGATCGTGACGGTTCGAGTCCCGGGTCGGTCATTCCATTCCAAAATAAGAATTACGGCTAAGCTGTTGATCCGGCGATATATGTATCACTTGTGATGTAGAGTGGTCGTTCCATCGGAATATAAGTTAAAGGAATAGAGAGTGTACTTGCGTATGCGCACGAACTTCAGCACTATAATACGTTCCGCGCAGTTTTCAGACCTTAGTGAGGTTTAGCCGTAACCAAAATCAGTTAGAAGCATTAATATATTTATATTTATGTAATTGAATGATGATTATTAAACCTACCTCTTTAGTAATCTGATCAAGGGCCTGCTCCTCAGCAGATGCTTTAGTCTGAGTGCGCTGCCGCCGCGACGGGTCCATCTTCACTGTCGCTGCACTTGCTAAAATGTAATAAGTTAGTTTAGTCAAGTGTGCTAATACATTAATTTTTGACTTTCTTAGAACATTTTTATATAACTCTTAGTAAATTATTAAACAGTTTCTCATGGAATTTATGTGCAATAAAATAATGAGACAAATACATATGTTCCATATTTGAGTTTGCTTATGTTTCATGAGAGTATCACTAGCTTGTATCATGTAATTATTAGTGCATATCCATTTTATAATTAAAACACCTTGTTCATTTTATTATCAACAAGCTGTCCACTGTCACAGATTTCTGTAGTTTAGTCTAGTTAAATCTAGTGACAATCAAAAATAGATAATATGACTATATTCAAAAACGAGTGTACCAATTCTTATAGAGATTGTTAGAGTAAATTTGATCCACTGTAATGCTACCTTGTGGTGAGTTATAGTAAGCCCAAGTAAAACACTCGTATCTAAATTTCAAAGCAATAGATGAAGAAAACCTTTAGAAAGTGCTACTCTTGCACAATTGAATTTTTACATTTTCATTTATATAGCTTCTAACATACTACCATCTGCACACAATAGATGGCTTACAGGTTATTTTATAACCGAGTGTATATAACATTTTATCAAGCTGAAGAGGTTTGTTTGATTAATCTCACTTATCTCTGGAAAAACTGGTGTAACTTGAAAATTACTTTAAATTTGAATTGAAAACAAAACCAATTATGCACTACATATAAATAAACTATACAGGTGAAACCCCTGGCACAAGCTCGTGATAATAAAAGGAAATAATCTGTTTACCATAGTTATGTTATTGGTCTAAGTATTTAACATAAGGAAATAAGAGCATTGATAATTCATCGCTGTTAATGGTTCAATATTATTTCATTATTTTAATCATAAACTTTATTTTCTTACTTATTTATTTAAAATATTATACAGTTTCTAAAATTGTAGATACATTTTAATTTCCTTTTTCTATTTAATAGTAATTTTTAGCATGTTGTGCACTATAGACTTACAGTATACACTTTTTTATATGTACCCTAAACAATTACAAGTGCGCGAGCTAAGCTAAATATGCACGGTTTGACTAATTGCTGAAGCAAATTCTATGTCCATAATATATATATATATATATATATATATATATATATATATATATATATATATATATATATATATATATATATCCTTATCATAATTGTTAAATTGAAATAAGGTTATCTGCTTTTGTAAGTAGTTTTGTATACATGACAAATTGTGACAAACTACTTGACTCATGATTGTATATTATTTAACAATTAAAATATTTACATCTATTAGATGTTAATAAATATAGGTGCATCCCATAACCATGGGAGGTAATGGGAAGTCACAACATATAAAAATTATTTTGAAAATTAAGGAGACAAATTATTATAAAGAGAAAATATTACAACATTCTCTATAGCTATGATATTTCATATTTCGTACTCAAAAAAATTAACCCACTCCTCCGGGGATCATGTCCTTTACGTTAAACTGCACTAGTTTAATGTTTTCTTTCATGTATTTGAATAAATATAACAATAAATAATTATAGATTATAAAATATTGAGTAAGTATTGATTATAAAATTTCAGGTAAACTCTTTTAATTAAATAAGCATAGGTTAGCATATTTAATAAATTTATATCATACTCATATTAAATTAAAAAATATTTTGTAATTTAGTACATATATGACAAAATAGTTGTTATAGGTATTTTAAATATGTATGGGAATCCATATTGGACTTCAAACATTCTATGGCTTCTTACATGTCCATATAGAGATTGTTGATTGTGATATCTAAATTTATTCAATGAGCCAATGCTTTGATGTATAATATAAGTCCTTTATTAAGAAATATATTATCACAATTCTATTAAAAATAAAACTTACAATTTATTAGCAAATTGATTACTTAATTTTAAATTACTTCAACACTACTCCAGGAAAAGACTAAAATTGTATATTATTACTAAAAGCTTCTCTATGCACTGAACACTTGATGCACAAATGCTTTCTAATCCTCTGAGATCAGAGAGAATCTAATTTGCATATTTATCTGGAACAGGCCAGCTATAACCTAGAGGATTCGTTGTTCTTTCCCGCGTGGATGTTTTCACAAAACATTATTAGAATTATAATACTAGCAGGAAAATGGGTGGGCACAAAGCCAACATATTTTTAATGGCAGTCACTACAATGACATCATACTCACGGGGACAGTTTACAGATGTAAACACATCACTTCGACAACCACTTTTAATTTTAATGTCACCAAAATATTAAGAACTTCACAATTTGCATATCGCCTTAAAAGCTACATAAGAGGCATCGATAATAAGATAAATTCAAAGAATTAGAGCCACCAAATCGCTGCCTACACGAATCACTTAATAGTCCCGTATAAACACAATATTTACTTGAATAAATTATTTGTCGGCACCACAGTTCTTATTTATAATTTATTAACAACTTTTATATATTGAAACTTATAAAATCGAATTATTTAATATTTTTACTAAAAATTAAAAGACATTTAATGACAAGCATGCCATTTTTTTTCTGCCTTTTAATATCGTTGCGTTCGTTACTGGAACGTCAGTTACATTATGGATTCGTTCGTCTTTATAGTTTAGAAGATATTTTATTCGAACTTATAATTATACCTTTTTAAAAAAAAACACTAATTAGATTCAATATATTGATATATTTTTATTGTATTAATTGAAATCTCTAATATACTAACAATCTTCTTCTTCTCCCTGCTCATTTCCCAAATTAATTAGGGCGCACTACGCCCATACTGCTTATAGGTTTTGGCAAAAAATCTGATATACTAACATAATGATCTTGAATATATAGGATAATATAGATATATGTATTTTTATTAAAAAAAGCATCCATTAGAAAATAATAAATTCTAATTTGAAAATTTACTGAAGCCAAAATCTGTTAAAAATTCCTATCCCGTCACTCTTTTTCAAAGTTCTTTAATCGTTGTATAATAATATATTTTGACTTCCTATTGCTACTTATCGTTTCTTAGACGTCAATGTAAACATTTTTTTTTAAAAGCTACAATATTAAACAGGTAGAACAAACGGATAAGAAATGGAAGAAAATTACCTTAAATATTGAAGATGCCCACTGAAAGGAATCATTCCTTTATTTTTTAAAATATTATTATCTGCAATTAAATACAAAAAAATGGCTACCAGAGCCGGAAATCGAACCACCTAAAAATGTGAAAAGGTACATTGCTATTTTATCGAACTGATCGATAAGATTTACGTTAAGTATAAAAGTTAAAACGTCTTGAACAAATGTTGTATCATATAGAAATGTAGTTATGATAAGCCTTCTAGACTCAATATGTATGAATTGTAAGATTTCTTGATATTCTGGTAAAAAATTATTATAGTAAGTTGTTTTTACAAAATTAAACAAATATATATATTTGTGAACATTTTATTTATCGCTATATCTCGTCACAAATATGACGTAACTCACACACATCTTCAAATTAAATATGAAAGATGACATCTCAATCATACAAGTATAAAAAAAAATTAAGAAATTATTCACTCTTGCTCTTTGGAGTTTCTTCTTTGTAGTAAAGGAAAACGAAAGAGAACAAGAATACTCCAATCATCATGGAGAAAGCGCTCACATAATATGGGTATGCACTGGGTATAAATCTCTCATACTGAGTGTGTTGCAAGGGGCGGACTGAAACCTGCAAATAAAAATAAAAACATTCATTGTTAAATTGTGAAATGTCATTGTATAAATGTTAACAATTTTATTCATAAGCAAGACACACTATATTACTATATAAAAATGTTTAAGAAAACTGGACTGGATAGTATAAATAAGAATTTTATCAATTATATAAATAATAATTAGTGATAAGCTATATTATACTTTATAAAAAAAATAATTTAGAATATAATATGATAAAAGATTAGAGCCATTATTACCTGAGTGGAGTGATATAATCTTGTATATCCAATTCTATCATAGTCAACTTTAAACTGATATACACCCCATACATCTGGTACTTTGAAAATTGCTTCATACACCCCATTGGGTTTTTTCTTCAATGTGGTTCTAATGAATGGATCAATGCGTACAAACTCAAGCTGGACATCATTAGCTTCAAAAGGTTGCCATTTACCATTCTTGAGTTCTTCAATTTCAATCCGGTACACCTGAAATACAATGTTTTACAAATTCATTGAAATTTTAACACCTCACTATTAATTTCTAAGAATTTAATTGTTAACCCAGCCATCTGTGGCTCAGCAGTCATTAACAGGTTATATAGGTACATATGGAAAATCTTTGTTTTAAAATAAAATAATAATATGATGTATTTAAAGAGATGAGAGAATGAATAAAGAGAGCACACAGATTCATTACTCTGTGTGTCTTATAATGAACATTTAGGTCAAATAAAAAAATATAGTAGTAAAATTATTCTTCTTATTAAAGTCATATACTCACAACAGTGTCAGTAATTGTGTATGTGTTGGAAGATTGATTCTCTCCCTGCCTGTGGTGGTGAACTCCTCGCACTCTTAGTTGCCCACGCTCACCAAATGCCCATTCACTTAGGTGTACAGCTAGTGCCTTATTGCCAGAAAGTGCAGCCTTGATTTTGTCACCCTGTAGAAGAATGTTGATTAAAAAGAAATTTTTGAAAAAGTATTATTATATTGTTGATAGTGGAACACATAAGAAGATATTGTTTACAATATTTTTGTCTGTGCTAGCTTAGGTATGAAACATTTTTACAGATTTAATGTAGGAGACATCATACAAATTATTTAAAAACACAATTAAATATAGTGATAATTTTGTAATAAAAATTATTAATTAAATAATATAGAATAATATACAAAATATTACCATAAATGAAAATAGACATTTCCTCATTTAGTGAGAAATATTCTTCTTTTTTTTGTTGTAAACTTACATGTACTTTAGCCACAGGAGAATTAAAAGCCTCATCAGAGAAGAAGAAGAGAGATCCACTGAAGATAATTCTAGCATTATTTCTGGCTTGTAGGGCTGCAATTAAGACTGTCTTGCGACCAACAGTGTGAGGGTATTCTTTAACCTACAATATAATGTTCAAATTACATATTAACATGTCCACTTAGAAATATGTATTACATCATTCATCTCATAAAATTTACCCAAAATCTTGTCATATTATCTTTCAATACAGTTCCCAATGTAATGCTTTTAATTTAATTTATAATAATATAAGATTTACCTGACTCTTTGGATTATAACTGTAAGCTGTACTATCAGCTGTCAATATAGGCAGAACCAAACTATTATCTTTATCTAAAATAAGACCTGTTCCTTCAAACAGCAATGGTTGTGTATTTTGTGAACCAACAATAGTAGGAGCATTTATAAGGTTTTTAGGAGACACTACAATTCTTGTGTGATCTCCATCATCTAAAGCATCATAGTTAAAATGGTCTATTACAGCAGCTGATTCTTCATCCATCTGAAATTATTTTTATTAAATTATTAATTCAATTTAATTTAACCATTTATAAACAGCTTTGAATATTACACAGGCATATATCCCAAACTATAGATTATTATGCTTGAAATATGTAGAATATATTTTAAACATAATATGTATATATAAAATGTATGTTATGTTCTTTTAATAACATTTTTCAATATATTAAAAAACCCACCTCAAATCCACATTCAGATGCAATTTCTCTGTAAACATCACCTGCAGCAGAGTTTCCGGCCATGAGAACATTTCCGCCATCATCAATAAAGTTAGTGATGGCTTCTGTATCCAGTTGACCACCAAATTCCACCACAGATGGAGAAAATACTATAAGATTTTTATACAAGTACTCTCCATACTTTGAGAGCACTAGGTTAGCATCATCCGCTAGTTTAAATACTAGATTGTAGCCGCGATCTGGAAAAAGCAATAAAATATGTATATAAAATTAAAAATATTCAATACTTATTAGATACAGGGACCCTAATAAAAATTGGAAAGAACATAAAAGAACACTTTACCGGCATCTTATCAATCGATCGAGACACGCAATTGATTTTACCCTTACCTTGGAGAGATTTGAAAAATTGAGAATGAGTTTCTCTTATGTTTAAATTATCCACAAGAACTAGAGTTTCTTGATCAGCATATGCTATAGAATAACATGCTATTACACCTATTATTAATGAAAACTTCATTTTTATTCTATTGAATGTACCGCAACTCGCTTTTATAGTAATTTGACGTCTATAAACTCTGCTCTGCTGACTAGTGACGTGTTCAGTATTAACCACAGGAAATCAAAGAATACATAAATAGCTACATATTTTATTTTCAGATGATTGTAGTAATGTATATTTTTAATTTAAAAAGGTAGTGAGTAAATGAGTTTTAGTCAAAGATATAAAAAAATATATTCAACATTTTTTATAAAAAGCTTTTTCAACCGGGAAGAATTTTGTCTTTTTCTCCCGCCAGATGTCGCGATAACTATGATCCTCATTCCTCAGATTAATGTAAAGCTCGATTTTTTCATTTTACTTAAAATTAAATTAAAATGACAAAGTGTGGAATGCCATGATGCAAAGAAAATTAATATCATTTGTTCCCAAAAGATAAAAACTGAAGAAATTGTGGACAGTAATAAGACAACCAACTTTATATTTAAGGCTATGTGGCCACCATTTTAAACAAAGTGATGTTAAAATCTACTGGTAAATATATTTTTTTGTACTTTTTTACATATTTATTACAGAGTTTCATATAAACTTTCATCCCCCATTTTACCCTCTTATGGGATTGGATTTCGAAAAATGCTAAAACACATATTTATTTAATTGTATTGAAGAACATTATTACCAAGTTTTAAGTAGGTAATTCTGATCATAAATAATTCTTTGTCCATATTGTTTATAATATGTCTGCGGTTAAGCAATTTATTGTAATGTCTCTTTTAGAGTCAGTTCTTTTGCTTCAATTGTATTCACATATTACCTTTGTAATGTATTGTAGCTGGAAGTTAGATCAGCTGAAAGAATAATTGCGAAGGATCAAGGAGAGGTACATCCTGTGGTCCTGACTGACTGATGGGTCAATGACAACACCACGGTAATGTTTATGCATAACATTACCGTGACAACACTCAGCTACACACAAAGTGATCGCGACATCTGACGGGATAAAAAGGCAAAACTCTTCCCCATTTTTTTTCACTATTTTTTTTCTATATCTATACTTGTATTATGTATATTATCTGTGTGTAAATGTCTTAATTATTTTGATTGACGTACCGTGAAATGTTTTATTTTTGTATCGGAGTTAATTATGTCTCTAAAACAAGTTGTATCTGTTATTTAGGTGGATTTTTAGCTTTTTATTAGAATAAATCTTACAAGAATATAATTAAAAATGATGATATCGCGGTCAAAACATCGTTCTTCGGTGGAAGTGTGCTCTGATTGTGGGGCATCGGGTAATATGATGTTCCAGTTCCATTTTAATAGCTCTTAATTAATCCAGTGCTAATTATTAATTGAGTTGGCTTATTATGTGTTTGTAGATCCATCTTGGGCGTCTATTAATCGCGGCTTGCTGTTATGTGCCGAGTGCTGCAGTGTTCATAGAAGTATGGGAAGACATATTTCGCATGTAAAATCTTTACGGCAAGGCTCATGGCCGCCTTCACTCTTATCGGTAAGTTAATAAGATTCAATCTACTTTTTGTTTTGCAGTTATATCATTTCAGTAATGTGTAACAATTTGAATACAGATGGTGCAAGCACTCACTGCACAAAATGTGAATAGTATATGGGAACACTCTTTACTCGATACTTCAGCTCCTAAACATTTAAGGAAGAAACCACAACCAAAAGATCCATTACAGTAAGATTCAATCTTATATTATCATAAAAAGTCAATTTTAAAGCAATTGTTAATAGCTTTAAAATATGAATTAAGTGTATAATTTAGTAATGCATTTTCTTTTTCAGCCCGATAAAGTCAGAGTTTATATTGGCCAAACACCTTAGATTGGCATATGTTTTGAGAGCGAGGAGAGATGAACCTCCAAGTGAGTTAGGGAGACAATTGCATAGTGCAGTGAGGAGCTCCTCATTAGACACAGCTATGAGACTGCTAGCTCAAGGTGCTGATCCTAATTATTATAATCAGGTGAGTTTATACATATATATGTAAAGTATAAACAATGCTTATATATCCATTTATTATCCTAGATATAACAAAAATAGTTAGTCATTTAAACTATTGTTGCTGTATTGAATTTTATAATGACTCAGAATGATGAATATGTTATAATTATATTTATAAACCATAAGTATTTGGAAATGTAGATGTAAACATTATGTGAATCTTAATCATATTGTTATGTTGAGGCATAATATAGTGAACAATATAGTGATCGTGACTCGATATTTTATAATTTAGGTCTTCTACTTTGTATGCATGTGTAGATGTAGGTGGTGTGTTTAGATGTAGGTGTAAATGAATGTAATTTCTAAATATTATTTATAATACTCTGGGACTGCCTAGGGCAGAGGGCATGAGATATTTTTAAGCAGGGTTTTTTTTGTATAACCAAATAGAGTTTTATCTAATCTATATATATAAAACAAAGTCGGGTTAGTTACACCATTTATAACTCAAGAACTGCTGGACTGATTTTGATGATCTTTAATTTGTTAAATTTGTCTCTGCTCGGAATAGTATAATAATCAATAAAACATTAAAAAAAATCATAAAAAAATGTATATTGGCTAATACTCGCTAATAACTATTTAAATTGAATTAGAAAAAAAACAATAAAAATAAAAAAATACAAATCAATTTGTCTTTTAAATGGAACCTAAGCTCTGTTTTGTTTATCTACAGGAAAAAGGCAGCACTTGTTTACATGTAGCATGTAGAGCGGGGCAGCCGGCTCAGGCAGAGCTGCTGGTGACCTGGGGAGCTGATCCTACTGCTAGAGACAGTACTGGCAACACACCTGCCGATTGTGCTAGGTATACTGTATGAGCATTTTAAGTTTCGATTTAAGTAATTTAGATGATTATTTTAAAGTTTTTTTTTAATTTTGCTTCAAAAGTTCTACAGAACCTAAATTATTACTAAACTCTGTTACTTTCATATAGAATTATTTTTAATAATAATGACTTCAATTTTGGCCTTACTTTGAGTTGATTTGCCATATGGCACCATGAATACAGTAGTCCATATTAATTTATTAATTAAAAAAATATTCTTAACTTGATAATTTTTTTTTTAGGCAAGGAGGACACACAGACCTAGCAGACAGGTTAACTGAGCTTGTGTATGAAGCTACGGACCGTATGATCCATTTCTTAACTGGAGAGAAACCAGACCATGCCGCAGGAAGACACTACATAGTTCCCCGAGCTCATGACACCCATGAGATGACGGATGTTGCTAAGGCTGCAAGGGGAAAGTTGCAATTGGTAAGTTTTATCTCAAAAGGTATATATAGCCGGATATACTAGAGTACGAAGAAACAACACGGGAGCAAATTACAATAAAAAGCATAGAATGCATAATACTATATCTTTTTAGTTAGCTTTTATGCAGTCGGTTTCTTTATTTTTATATTTTTTTTTTATTTAAAGTTTTTAGTTTTTGCCAATTAGATATTTGAAGTTATATTTAGCAATTTTTTTATCCTAAATTACTTTTAAACATATAAATTGTACATGTTTTTGCATCGCTTCTTAATTTTAGAAAAAGTATGAAGGAAGCTTAAAAAAAATTACAACATAGATAGATAGATAGATAGATAAATTCTTTATTGCACACACAAAAAAAAAGATTACAGAAGATAAAAATAAAAAATAAATAACAAATAGGTATGCAAAGGCGGTCTTATTGCTACGAGCAATCTCTTACAGACAAACTTTGGTGAAAGGATTAGAAGAATCGAAGACGGGACGGTACAATTAACACTAAATACAGACATGATGAACTACGTTTACAAACATGAATACATACAAAAGACAAAAATATATACATACACGTATAATATATACGTACACAGATACATAAATACATACATACATAGATACATACATATACATAAGATACATAACTACATATGAATACATAGTATATACATTTATACTCAATAACTAACAAGACAGATAATAATTAGTTAGACGACGTTTAAAAATATTTAGTGATTTTGAATGGCGAACATCATGGGGGAGCATATTCCATAGCTTTACAGCTTTTACGGTAAAAGAATTACCATAGTATTTGGTGGTGCAAGATGGTAATTTCAAACGGTTGTCGCTCTGAGACCTAAGTTGCAAACCAGACACGTCCGAACCTAGAAAATTAAACCGTTCCTTTAAGTAAGAGGGAGTAGTTGGTACAACATACCTAGTTACTAGTACCTATCTAATATATTTAAACGAGCAATTCTTGTATATTTATTTACATATACCGGCGATCTCGGAAACGGCTGTGACGACGGCGATTTCGCTGAAATTTGGTTCGGGGGCGAAAAATCGATCTAAATTATTAGTCTTATGTCTGGGAAAACGTGTGTTTTTGAGTTTTCATGCGGTTTTCTTTCTCACGCTAAAATATTGTCGCTCATTTTGTATGCTCGGGCATAAGCTTCGTGGTCAAGTGACCAAGGCGCAAGATAGACGATCACAAATGTCCGGGTCCGAATCCCGGTCGAATTCAAAGCTTTTATTTTTGTTTTTTTTTCTTTCATATTTATTCAAGTTTATTGTTTTTTTAAAAAAGGAAATTGTACTTTTGCCCAAAAACTCCGAGCGATGCTGTAGGGTCGCCGCAAGTACCTGTAGGTACTTGTTATAAAAGTAGCTGATATAAATACGTGATTTGTTGTTCATAAACCAGAGAGAACAATAATTATACTCACTACAATAAATCGTTTATAATTTAACGTCACAATATACAACTATGACAACTCGTTGCTAGTTCCTATGTTTATAGCGGCTCTGGCTGGGCCGGATTTAACCTTAGCGCCGCCCCTGGGCATAGTAAAAAGAGGCCGTCCTATTAACGAAATTTTGCTTTTAATGGGTAAAGTTTCGATAAAGTTTAATTTTTTTTTATCTATACTAATATTATAAAGAACCTCCAACTGAAATAAACTATACAGGAAAACATATTCACAAACAAAAGGACCTCATGTATATCAGTACACTGAATACTCGAACACTGAGAACAGAAGAAAGCCTTGAAGAACTAGAACTTGCCCTACGAGACCTAAACTGGGACATTCTAGGTATCAGCGAAATGAGAAAAGAAGATGAGGGAATAGTAGAAAGAAAGGAATACGTCATGTACAATAAAGGCGGTACTGATGGTCACCGTGGAGTAGGCTTCTTAGTTAAGTCTAATCACAAAAACAAGATAAAAGAATTCGAAGGGATATCGTACCGAATAGCAATTCTCCACATCAATATCTCCAACCACAAAAAAGTCTGGTCTATTATCCAGGTATATGCGCCTACAGAGCAAGCTAATGAGAACGACACGGTCCACTTTTATGAGTGTCTATTAGGAATCGTGGAAAAATACTCTAACAATCACCTTATAGTGATGGGAGATTTTAATGCTCAAGTTGGCACGAGACAAGCGGGAGAGGACTTAATCATGGGAAAATTTGGCCACGGAAAGAAAAGCACCAATGGTCACAAGCTGGTCGAATTCTTGCTCGAAAACAATTTGTCACTGTTAAACTCGATTTTCAAGAAAAAACTTAAGAACAAATGGACATGGATATCCCTGGATGGGCGGACTAAAAACGAAATTGATTTTATATAATAACGAACAAACCCAAACTATTTAAGGACACACACATAATTCAGAACCTAAACTTCAACACAAACCACCGCATGGTACGAAGTTATCTAAACTCTGCACCACCTAAAATGTCTAGTAAATTCATAATCAATAGAAACCTCCTACCTTCAGAACAAGAACTCATTAAATTGGATAAACCTGTTACCAAACCTCTTCTGGAAATTATTAAGTCCGAAATAGATGTACTAGAAAAATACAATAAGGTAGAAAACAAACTCACCAAATTAACAAAAACCAGCATAACAAACAAAAGAAAACCAAAACACAGCAAAAAAACCTTAAATCTCCTAGAAGAAAGAAAGAAGTTGTTTTCGGAAAAAGACAACGTAAACAAAATCTCTGCGCTTAGCAAAAGAATTAGGGAAAGTATGAAAAACGATAGAAAAACAAGAAGACTTCAAACTTTAGAAAAACACATAGTGTTAACAGGAGGCATAAAGAAAGACCTAAAAGAGTTAAGAGAGAAAGGGAAAGAATGGATACCCAAAATGAAAAAGAACCAAACTAGCATTACTAAACGAAAAGATATACAGAGATTAGCGACAGACTATTTCCGCACATTGTACTCCAAAAACCATGGTAACGACGTAAATCAGCAAGACAAATCTGATCCTCAACTCAAAGAAGACCCAATACTATCTATACTTGCAGGAGAGGTCGAGAAGGCCATAAATTCCCAAAAACTAGAAAAAGCACCGGGACCTGACAAAATCTCGAATGAGCTAATGAGAGGATCAATAGAGGAATCAAGCCCAATACTAGCAGTGGTATTCAACGACATCCTGCGCACAAAGCTCATTCTAAATCAATGGGGCGAATCCCACAATCCTTATACACAAGAAAGGCGCTAAAGATGAGATGAGTAACTACCGGCCTATAAGCCTAATGTCTAATATATATAAGGTGTTTGCCAAAGTCTTACAGGAGAGAATATAAAAAACGCTGGACGAGAATCAACCGATGGAGCAAGCAGGGTTTAGAAAGAATTTCAGCACTATTGACCATATCCATACAGATCATCCAGAAATACAACGAATACCAGAAACCCCTATACGTGGCTTTCATTGATTACTCTAAGGCATTTGATACGCTCAACCACAACCACATATGGTCAAGCTTAAGACAGCAGGGTGTTAATGAAGTCTATATAAATTTAATTAGAAACATCTATAGTATAAGTAAAAGTAGCATAAAACTAGAAGAAACTGGTCACCCATTCCCTATTAACAGAGGAGTTAGACAAGGGGACCCACTATCCCCAAAGCTCTTCTCAGCTATTTTAGAAAGTGTATTTAGGAGTATAGACTGGACTGGCTTAGGTCTAAATATAAACGGCTGTCGTCTTAACCACCTGCGATTCGCTGATGATATTGTTCTGTTCGAATAGGATCCCAAGAAACTAGAACTTATGATCAAATATCTGGCTGAGAAAAGCAAGGAAGTAGGGCTATAAATGAACAAGAACAAAACTAAATAATGACCAACTCCAAACATGTAGACATAACAATCAATGGTGATCTTTTCGATTATGTTACCGAAGATGTTTATTTAGGACAAATAATTTCTCCAAGCGACCAAATGACTAAGAAGATCAACAAGAGGATATCATACGGTCTTTGAAGGAAGTAATGAAGAGCAAAGTGCTGGGAATCCATCTTAAAAGGAAGACCTTTGACATATGTATCTTACCATGCTTGACCTACGGATGCGAGACCTGGTCGCTAACAAAGTTCCATAGGGAAAAACTTTCAAAGTGCATTGGAGCGGAGTATGTTGCGAGTGAAATTAAAAGACAAGATCCGCAACACACGAGTGGCGCTAGATAGAGCCCAATGGACACAGATGGAAAAGGCCTTTGCCAAAAGGCACACAGAAATCAGAGATATTTTGTAAATCCTAAAACAATTTTATCTGAATAACTCTGTAACTCTGACTACTGTAATAAAGGCTTTTTATTTTATTTAATATTATAAAGAGGTAAAGTTTGTAAGATTGTGAGTTTGTGACGTTTTACGGGGTAATGTCTGGATATACTGAACCGATTTAGATGAAATTTGGTAAGAAGATAGTTTGAGACCATATAAAATAGGGTAGGACATAGGATACTTTTTATCCTGGAAATCATCCCTTAAGGGAGTGAAAATGTGGATAAAAGTTTGTATTGGGAAGCAAGCCAGGTACGAACCCGAGCGAAGCGGGGATGAGTCGTTAGCTATAAATTTTTTGAAAAATGAAAAAATAATTTACAAATGATATCATTTTTTCGAAAAATGTAGGTACCTACTAGTTACTCTTTCTTTATTTTTCTTTTTTTGGAAAATAAAAAAAAGCATTTTTGATAACCCGAAGAATTTTTTTTTCGCCCCTCGAATTTTGCCGCCCCTAAAAACTTGCCGCCCTGGACACTAGCCTCGAGTGCCTCTAGATCCAGCGCTGGGCTTGCTTTTAGTCTTAGTGCTTATGGCATTTTTTTTTGACAAGAGCCATCCACCACGCTTTTTTTATATAGGTATGTATATTTTTTATTTTTTGTACATTTTTTTTTGTTATTAAAAAATCCTTGTTCCAGCTGCCAAATCATTTGTTTGAAGAGCTAGTCATGGATATATACGACGAAATCGATCGACGCGAAACAGAAGCGAGTAAGTAATTTTACATCTTATAACGTACTGTTGACTTTATTATGACTCCTTATTAATGTTTTTCCTAAATCTCATCGAAATCTGTTCATCGGTTTATTTATTTATATATAAATATTTTTCGTGCATTGCGTGACGTATGACGTACATAACTCCAAACAATTTTTTGTAAAATTTTATTCTAACGAGGCTAATTCTCACGAGAGAATCATTTTAAAACAATAGAACTGGTGGATTTCAATCAAACTTTTTTCAAGCAGTCAAAATATATGATTTCAAGCAGTAGGCAGTATAAAAGTTTTTTTTTCATATAATAATGATTCATCATAACATACTCTATGTTTTTTGTCTAATGTTAGAAATAAGAATACAGACAAAATGACTTCAAACCAGTGACACCAGAATAACAATTTTTATGTACCAAGCATTGGTATATAAAAACTCAAGATAAAGAATTAGTGTCTCAAGTGTCCTCTAAAAAGTGTACTATTCGAAATTGAATTGCGCATTTTTCATATCTCCTTAGTTTATTGTCTTTCGGATGACAAAATTAAAACGGACGTTTCGTTTACAAAAAAAAGTAATTTATGTGGTGTGCCTAAGTTCGAATTTGTGTTTAGACAATAAGAAGTTTCAAATTTTGAATTTCTCGGCGTTTCTGTACTATAATATGCATGTGTTATACATATAAACCATCCTCTTGAATCACTCTATTTATAAAATAAACCGCATCAAAATCCGTTGCGTAGTTTTAAAGATCTAAGCATACATAGGGACAGACAGACAGCGGGAAGCGACTTTGTTTTATACTATGTCGTGATATCAATCGTACCAAGATAATACAGAGTTTCCATTTCAGTCTGGCAAACGAGTGCGACAGGGCTGGAGCGGTGCGGTGTGGCCTTCCTACCAGTGAACCCGGCACTCTCCGCGCCCAGGAACCAAGGCAGGCAAAAGTTGGCGCGGCTCTCTGCGCCCGAGCTGGCCGCCTTGTTGAGGGATGTTCTGCTCGATGCTACTAGAAGACAGCGACTTGCTACACTGCAGCCAAGAGGTTGGCGACCGCCAATTAGTTAGTCTCAATCAATCATAACAGACCAATCTTCCTGCCTTTGTACTTCCTGTTCTTCGGAATCAAGGCAAGCAGATGCCCAGGCATTCTACATTTCTACATTCGAGCTGGTGGCTTTGTTGAGTGATGTACTGGTTAGATGCCACGAGGTTGGTAATATGGCCTCACGCCCGGCTGGTTGGTAATGAGTCCCTTGATTCTTGTTGCTCTTTACATTTTCATCTATCTATACATATGTATAATAAATTGTAACTAAGCCGAATTTGTACATAAAATATTTTTGGAAAATCTTATTGAAATAGACATTATTATCGATACAGTGACCGAATCTATAGTTTTTTTAAAATTTGTCTGTATGTCTGTGACCGCATCACGAAAAACTACTGGAGGTATTTTGATGAAATTTGGTATGATGATAGCTGGTTATCCGTGTCAACATATAGGATACTTTTTACTGCGGGAAAATACCTCATCTCTGAGAAATTTATACTAAACGTCAAAACGTAAGTAGGGATGAACCCAATCGGATAGATGGTGAGTCGCTAGTAGTATATATAATGTTTATTTCCAGCACTCACAGGGCCCATGAACCCTCTGCTATCAGCGAGTCACCTGAAGCACTTCTCCCAAATGTCAGATGACGAGCCCCTGTACGACTCGGTGGCGTCCGACGAAGATTACGCCGCGCTCGCGCCCATTGACTTGGATGTGAGTTGTTAGTTAAAAATAACCATTAGATCAATCAAATTAAAATTTGTCTATTTTTTCCCCTGTGTAGCAAAATGTATTCTAATTATATGAAATTAAATGGTTTTACGAGATACGTTAATTTTTACGATATATTATAACGAAAACTTGTAAAAGACTTTCAACATTGTTTATTTAAAACGTTAACAGACCTTGCAGTTATAATATATGTAATGTCGAACACGACATTTTTAAGATTTTTTGTCTTGTCTGTTTATTTGCGCATTACGTGAGAGCGTCTGGTAAGATTTGAGCAGAATTTATATAAAAAAGATAATGGTCTGATTTATATGAGGCTAGGTTAACGTAACGACTTAACGGATTTGAGAGAAATTCTGCTGGAGATAGTTTATATCCTGATATAGACTATTTTTTTATCATTGTTTCCACCAAACGAGCAGAGCCTCGGGCCAAAACTAGCACTAAATACATCATATTACGCTATACATTATTGGTGCATATTCAACAGATGTCCAATTTAGATCCAAGAGCTGGAGAAACAGTCTCCTCTACGTACAATCCGTCGCTACCGACAGAACATACCATAGTCGAACATCGAATCCACTCTCCGAGCCCCGATCAAAAACCTGAAGTGAAGAAACACGAAATCGAAAATCTCAAAAAGGAACTAGACAATCGAGACTCGACCATCACAGAACTAAAGAACCAGTTAAAGAATCTTCAAACGATTGTAGAACAGCTGACGAAAGAGAACAGTGCTCTGAAGACCACTAGTAGTGTGGACGATGACCACAGCATGACCTCTCAGACCTCCATCAATGATGCCAACCTAGATCTGACTCCTCAAGAGCGTGGCAGGAGCTTGGAGACGGAACAGCTGACGATGTCGGAGGACCTGGAAGTGAGGCCCAAAACTGCCCAGCGACCGGTCAGTATGTTTGAGGCTAGGGAGGGACCAAAGAATAACTGGCAAGTTACTAAACACCAGGTACTAATCATTAATTTTACTAATTTCTTTTACTTTATTCTTACGAATATTGGAGACGTGTTGATAGATTTTTTTTTAATAAATGACTCGTGCAGATAAAGAATGAAATGAATGAATGTAAATGGTGTCGTGTCTTGTTTTTTAATACGTTTCGCGCGGAACTTATTTACCGTATAAACCCGCAAAAGACTATTTTTAAAGTATTCAAGGATAATAATTATTGTTAATATGCTGTCACGTTTTAAAGTATGATGTAAATCCCCAACAAAATGAATATCTACACGATTTTAAAAATACTAGAAATGATCTCAAAATATTCACAAATATATATCATTAAAAATTATGTTCGTCGATTTGTCCTGTATGTGTACCTAAACCATTGATCCATTAGATGAAACTTTGGTTGGTTATTCTGTATACACCTGCGAAGATTCCTGGTGCAAAATAATATTTTTTTCTTTTGACCTTTATCTTTTATTCGTTCCTAAAACACGCATTAGTATACAATACAAATAAACTAGGTATATAAATGATTATAAGTTATAACCTCTTTATCTATTCGCTCTGTTTATCTGCGCGAGTAATTTTTATTAAATTTAATTTTGAATGCGACATGCATTATCAATCTATTCTCCATTATAGACTAACATAAGTGCAATAGATTCAAGGGATAGTAGGTGCATATATAATAATGTAGTTGTTGTGACGTTTTAAACATAAATATACAAAACTAAAATAAATAAATTAAATTAAAATAGAAAGTAGATTTTCACATAAAGAAATAGCCTTAATTTTTATCTGATATAAAAAGTCTACCTAAACTAATATGTACTGCCGTCATAAAAAAGAAGGCCGCAACTTCATCAAAGTTGATTTCGAGATATTTGAGGTTTTGTATTACTACTACGTCAAAATTACTACTAATTTTGACGTAGTTACGATGGAAATGGAAATGGTTATGGTATCTCCGGATTCTATAAGACTTAGAGCTTTATGAGTAAGACTCTATCAAGTACCATTTTTTTTTGCTGATACCGAATCTGCGTTTAAGTCATTTTTGACCAAATTGTTAGTTAGGCCTTCTTTATTATGACGGCAGAAAATTATTTATTGGGCTTTAAGTAACACGTCTTTGCTTCCTGTAAGAGGATGTGTGTATAGAGCAATCAGTAATACTTAAAACTAATTTATTTTCCACTAATTTAGGAAAACAGTTATTACAAAGTCCATATTTTAATGTTATAAATACAAAAGTAACTCTGTTTGTTTGTTTGTTATCTTTTCACGACTAAACGGCTGAACCGATTTAGCTGAGGTCTGGAGATAGTTTGAGACCCTGGGAAGGACATTGGATTTTTTTTATTCCGGAAATCAGCCCTTAAGGGGTGAAAAGGGGGGTGGAAGTTGTATGTGGAATCAATCATTTCTCAAGTAAGGGATATCATCTTTTTAATTTTATAAAGTACTTACCTACTTTTCTATACCTATGCATGTACATATATTCGTGTATAGCCTATTCCATTTTAACCGTTAAAATGCACCTAGGGACGTACCCTACGTACGTTACCTATAAATATGTTTCATGATATTAAATATATATTTGCTATAACAAAATTCTCTTATAGCTAACGAGCATTCCTGGCTTAGAACGTTCCTTAACTCAGAGTGCTCTAGAAGGGGGTATCACCAGCGTGTCTGATGACGGGGCGTCAGGGTCTGGTACCAGTGGGTTTGGAGAGGTCCTGGAGGTGCAGAGACGAGCTGAAGCTGTAACCAGATGCATCCAGGAGTTGTGGGCTGCAGCCAGGTTGCATAGGAATAAGCTTCCAGAGTGTGCAGATTCTATCAGAAGGACGGTGGCTTCTTTACTGGCATTGTTTCCTCAGGTATAACTTGGTTTATATTAATTCATATAAAAACAATGAACATGGCTTTGTTCTCTGTGAAATAGGCTGAAGAAATGAACGCACAAAGATGTAGATATGACGATGAATATTTGTACATTTTAAGTGGCCGCCAGCTTGAATCGACCGCGCTGGTTACCGTGGTAGACTGAGGCCGGAACACCCTCACATTCTTTAATTCCCGGGAAATCGTGCCTAGTAGTTGGACGTTTAGGGCTGAATTAACGACAAAAAATATTTTAAGTCTAATAAACGTAAAATATCAAATGGTTATCCACACTTCCAGACATGCACGGACCCCACCCTGCAGCAAGTGATCACCGACCTGCAGAGCGCCAGCGAAGAAGTGGTGCTAGCGTGCAGCAGCCGCGCGCCGCTGGACCACGTGCGCACCTCCGCCTACGACCTGGCCAAGGCCACCAAGCTGCTGGTCACCCACTTCCAGCCCTCCTAGCGGCCGGTGCGCTACACCACGGTGTAGTATACGCTCATGCTGCTCAACTGCTGTGTCCGGATACGGAAGTAAATTTGTGACCTTCGTTCGTTCGCTCGACACCGCAGAAGTGAATAAATTCATTCGGGATGTGAATCTGTGACATTCGTTCGCGGAAGTGAATTAGTTCGTTCGGATAGTGAAACTGTGATTGTCAATCATTCGCTCAATAATATCCGAAGTGAATCAGTTTGTTCGCTCTTTCGTATCCCATGTGCAGTAGTAGTTATGGATAGTGAGATTTGTGTTTCATTCAATCATTCATTCTTTTGTATGAGAGTAGTCACAGTATATAGAGTGAATGCCTCTATTAATCATTCGTTCTTTGGTGTACTGTTGTTTCACATTGTATGTGACTTTTGAAGATAAGTAGTAAATAGTGTTTCTATAATTATTAATTAATTAATGTCTTCATTTAATCGTTGTTGTGTGCTACTTCATATTTTAAGTGTTAAAGTTTATAAGGCAGTAGTGTATTGATTTCATCTGATTTTATTTCTATCTCTAGCAAGAAATATATAATAACACACTAATCTGCCAATTTTGCAATAGTGCATTAAATCTATCTATATATGGAATGATGGTATATAAAAGATTTTATAGCACAATAATAAGTTAGTCTCGCGAAATCTTAGTTTAATTAATTATAATTCTCAAAATGCAACAGCTAAAAATATTCTGCCCAGTGTTAATTGGTAAAAGTCCCTTTCACTATATTAGTTCTTCATTTAACTTTTTATCATTTGCTATAATATTTTATTTTAGTAGTTGTCTAATGATGAAAGATTAATTAAAATCAGTTCAGTAGTTTAAGAGTTTGTTGTTTACAAACAAACAAACTTTTCTCTTTATAATATTAATTTAGATGTCATACCTAATTTATTTACTTCTTGGTTGTGTGACATTTGTCTATTAAAATTGAAATGTCAGCCTTTTTTAGTGTTGTTGAGTCTTAATCTTTAAGGTATTCTTATACTTCCTTTTCATTACAAGTAAATTAAGCCTAATATATATACAGTGTATACACAGTATTTAATTATATATTTTTCTTTTATATTTTTCTTCACATTTTATCCATTATTATCATTCAACATTCATAAGCATTTTTCTTTCACACATTCAAAAAATACCTTAATTCGAGGAAAAGAAATGAATAGAGTAATTATTATGTGAATTCATGATAATCTATGAAGTCTTCTCATATATTAAAAATATATTTTACAAGTTGCTTGAAAATAATTGCTTTACATAATTGGAAATTTATGTCACAATCTTTGATCTCGTGGATTTGTGAAAGATCCTAAATATATGTATATTATATTATAGTATTTAAATATAGCTCTTTAATAGGTACCGTAACAATGGTAAAAATGATTTTACTATGTTAAAATATCAAATAATAGTTAAAAAAGATAATGGTTTTAACATTTTTGATATTTTTTTTAGTAATAAGTATATTACCATGTTGAATCTTTTGATAGGCCGGAGATAGTTGCTGGAATTTTATCCAGCTATGGTGGAAAATATGGTATGATATATGATATACGGTAGATTATTGTTAGTCAATTGTCAATATATTTATATTTTAAAGCAAAGAAAATCGTCGGCAATTGTTATTTTTTATATACTGAAATGCTTATTACTATATATTATGGTAGATGTTAGATTAGTATAAGCTTATATATTAGGGGAGCCCAAGAGGGGATTTTGGGATTTACTCAAGCGCGGCAGATCAACATAAGAGGGGATACCTTGCACTCTGTTGAGTACCTCCATCATATATAAGCCCTCAAAGTATTAAAAAAATATTTAATTTGGTAAGTGTTGCGCTAATTACATGCTGATAAGAAAAATGAGGCAAAAACTTTATGGACGATTTTTGCCTCTTCGTCTTGTGGAAATCGGCAGATAATTGAATTGCACACTTTTCAGTTTCAAGTATTTCTAACTTATAAAAATATTTTTTTAATATTTTGATCGGCGGCCCTAGATGCGTGACCTTATACAGAGGGCTTATATATGGTGGAGGTACTCAACAGACTGCAAGGTCACCCTTATGTTAAACTGCCGCGCTTGAGTAAATCTCAAAATACCGTCTTGGGCTCCCCTACCATTTATAGGTTATGCTTATATTTAAAGCTAAAACTTGTGCTTTTTTTATAAAACGAAACTAACTTTGGTTGTCACTGGTTGTTATTGCCTAAATTTATAGGAATTTTATTTAATCTATTCTGGCAATAAATTTCTTATTTCTATTAATAAAAATGCCTATATGTTTAATGGTGCTTCCACACAGAATTAACATAATGTTAGATAACATTACATAAAAATTTTTAATATGTTTTTTTTTTAAATTTAGTATCATGTTAACTATTGTCGGATGTTTTCAAAGCTTCCACACTGATAAAATATGTTGTAGAACATTTTCTAGGGTTTTATAACCATTCTGCAAGCCCTGCTATTATTGTATTTAATACTGTCTGTTTTATAACTATTGTTATAATTTTTTTTTGTGATAAAATGTTCACCTAACAAATATTAACTAACATTTTAAACTTTTTTAACGTTGGGAAATGCATTTACGCACGAGGTGTGGGACTCGCCGGCGTAATAAAGCCAATACTACCCACTAAAACCCAACAAAACCTTCCCCCGTCTTAATGGGGCGTCTCAGGATCGCTTACGCATTCAACTACGACGCCCCGACGGCAGGTCTGCCGAAGCAGACCACAATTACCACGGGGTTGCTCCAAGGTCCACTCTGCTATCAGAGAAGTACCAGGAGCAACCCGCGTGGTACACCGCCCCCCGAAGAGGGCCACCTCCCACCGCCCACCGAAGTGGGCAACCTCCCTGTGCGTTTCTTAGCTTCGCGCCCGGTTGGATTGCCGGGCACTACTGAGCCACACCACCACGACAAGGTGAACGCACGTTAGGGGGAACATTTTTAACTCCTGCCGGCTTACTCCCGACTGCTTCGAGTTCCTGTGTGGAAGCACCTTAAGATATGAGCGATTACTTTTTAATTATACGTCTTATTTTAATCTAGCTTATTTTTACACCTTACGTTCAAATATACTTTAATGTAAATAAATTATTTAGGTATTGTCACATAATTATCGATCACTTTGCCAGTTTTTTTATAAAATGTGCTTTTGGTGTCTGAATATATTTCTCAAAGTAATTAACCATACGTTGTCTTTGAATGGTTGTATTTATTTTTTTTCTGATCATATTTATGTTATCTGTATAGAGTCTGTAACGACATATTTTTAATCTGGAATTTAGTGAATACTTTTGAAAATGTATATGTCGAGACATTGGAAAAGAACATTTCCGATTCAAATAAATCGATTTATTTGAAAACAAATGTCAGAATTTAAAGTAGGTTTCATGTTGTCTAGAGGTGCTTATTATTATCCAATTTATTGCCCAGTGATGAAGTACAGTCGGCAACAAAATATACCGCTTCGAGTTTAATATCACTTACATAATAGCGACGAGAGTGGTTGTGTGTTTTAGCCCTCCAATTTTAGATATACATGTGAAAATCGAATACGTATAGTATTATTTAATTGTCTTTATGATAGTTTTAAGTGATACATTTTGTGGTCGACTGTACTCGGGGTCTCTGATAAAAACGTGCCTGAAAAATGTTAATGTTATTCCTAAATTTTTAGATTAGTATAGTTGGATTATTGAATATTGTATCATTTAGTAGATTTTATACGGACGTTCCACGATATGTTCATAGCTGTATTTATAGTTATATGGTGTAAATTTTAAACGTAGTTAGATTATTACGTGTTGATACGTGTTTTTATAATTATTTGGCAACGCTGTTGTCTTTTGAGTGGTATTTCTAATTTTTTATTCTGAAATGATGATGTGTTCTAGTGCTGTTATTTAGTTCTTTTTTTGTACGATTTATGTTTCGAATATTCATATGATAAAAGGCAGTGGTAGCCCAGTGGTAACGCGCTCGCTTGAAAAACCGAGTGGAACGGGTTCAAATCCCGGGTCTCGTACTTCTGATATTTTCATATGTGAATCATTTCCAATACAATTACCACTTGCCTTACAGTGAAGGAAAACATTGTGAGGAAATCTACATGTATGAGAGAATCTAGCAAGTTTTCGAAAGACATGTGAAGTCCGCCAACCCGCACTTGGCCAGTGTGGTGGACTATGACCTGATTCCCCTCGTATTGAAGGGAGGTCCGTGCCAAGAAGTAGGACGTTAAAAAGGGCTGAATACATACAATTGATAGGTAGAAAAGCTTAAATTTCTGACTACGATATACTACGATAGAGATTTTACTTGTGCAATATTTGAATGATTTGTGTTTGTATAACAAATGAGTAGAGTACGTTTATATTATTAATTATTATGTATATTTGAGAACCACTCATGTAGAAACTCCTTCAAAAGACCATAGCATTTCCAAATAGCATTAGCAATTTGTAAATACGACTCATTACAAGATATTTTCTTAACATAAAATTGTGTAGCTGTTGTAAAGTTGTTCCACCTTATGTTTGTTTCTGTTATTTCAATAATTCTAATTTAGTGTGGATTGGTCAAGATCATTAGACGTTCTTCTTACTCTTTTATATGTTACTCATTCTGCTGGATTAGTCGGTATGTAACGGAGACGGTTTCGAAACATCAGTAAATTTGTTAAAGTTAATTCTCTAATACGTTAGCTCGTACTACCGTTAATATGAATCTTGACCCTTGTGCATTAAATAGAGCCATTTAAAAATACTGCCACTGCGTCAGACGTCATCGATACCTTTTACCAGAGATATAATATTTAGAGGTTAATTAATTATTTATTATACGGGGCGTGCCTTAAATATCTTTTAATTTAAAATGTTGTCATCTTGCAAAGAAAAAAACATCGATTTTGTACGCAAAGTATAAAGTTTCATTAACAAAACTTGCTTAAAATAAAACAGTAAAAGTGTACGATTAGTAAGTTTGAATGTTTTTTTTAATAAAGGTACTTATATAGATGAGTCGTATTTTCAAATATTTTGTATTGAATGCTTTCATATGGAATGTTTAGGCGTGTGAAAAAAAATTATACATTTGTAACAAGTATTATGTGATCACTATATGTGCCAATGTTTATGTAAAAGACGTATTTTATTGGTAAAGCACCATTTTTAAGGGATCTCGTTTCCACTTATATTTATAGCACGACACACGTTACTGAAATATTCTCGTACACATTGTATACCCTAAAACGTACATAGAGAATTTGAGAGTTATTTTTTCTGTTATTTTAATATTTAGAACATCTTTTACGACCGAAAGCTTTGAGTTAATATCATAATGTAGGACTTTTTTAAGTTTTTCCTAATCTTTAAGCCGATTAATTTCAAATTTTATATGTACGTTTGAAGTGCACGGAATATAAATATTTACAGGAAAATGAAATACACATAAATAATAATGTCAAACACTCGACGCAACTACTAGGAAAAGAAAATTTTGGAACTAAATTTTTATTAGGAAACGAGATTTCAAATTGATCCTTTCGAAATTTATTAAAATTTGTAACACAATAAAAATTGATTTTGAACACGATTTTTTATTAATAACCTTTTTTAAAGCCATTCTATATTATCTGTGTATACCCTCTACCTTTAACCTGACAGTACAGTACCTTCATATTATATCTCAGGGGTCTAATAACAACGGCGGTAAAGTCGAGTTAAAGTCATTAACAAAAAAATAATAACATTTAAAATATTTATGGTTATAATGTATTGATATAAGTATGAATTTGATACCTTTTATTTTAAGCTGTATTTTAATGCTAGGACAAGTCAAGTAACTAAAAAACTTAAATGACTTGATGGACTTAAGTTTGAAATTATATGGGACTTTGCCGCTTTAGTTATTAGGCCCCTGATCTATACATATAATTAAATTCCGAGTCGAATGTCTGTACATTAAATATATTTTGGAAAATCTTATTGAAATAGTCATTATTGTCGATACAGAGGCCGAATCTATAGTTTTTAGAATTTTTGTCTCTCTGTCTGTGACCGCATCACGAGAAAACCACTAGACAGATTTTGATGAAATTTGGTATGATGATAGCTGGTTATCCGGGTCAACGTATAGGATACTTTTTACTGCGGAAAAACATCTCATCTCTAAGAAATCTATACTAAACGTTAAAACGTAACTAGGGAACAAACCCAAGTGTAGAGAGCGTGAGTTCAATACTTAGAAACATCAATCTTTTCTTTTTGGGATCGAAGCCCCTTTTTACCCGACTGCGGCAAAGCCCAAAGGAGGGTTATTGTATAATTTACTGTTTGTTTCTATTCTAGTGACTCTTCATTTTTATTATAGTTTCTCTAAAAATGAATTAGATATAATAAAACAAGTGCGTTTGTTAAATATAAAATTTATTTCACTTTATAATTTAATGTTTTGTTTTACAAATGCAAACAAATAATATACCTATATTTTAGGCAGCAGGCACACCGTAGTAAGATATATTAAAACTATGTTTTCAAAACCAAGTTAAGAGTTTATATAAAATATATGTACATGGACGAATTAGAGATAATTCGTTCATGTATATGTACATACAGTATAAAACATAAGTAGTAGCGGCTCTTTCACATATGACTTTAATTCAAACCAACAAAAAGAATGGGAACTTTGCAGTTTTCTTCCTACTGTTCATTGTACTCGTACTATGATAAGTACAAGCAATGCAACCTACAACTTTCTATTTGTTATTAATTTTCTATGGCTGCTGACTGCTGAGCTATAAAAACCGGCCAAGTGCGAGTCGGACTCGCGCACGTAAGGTTCCGTACCATTATCCGTACCAATAGAGTCCTGTTTTACTCTTTCGGTACGGAACCCTAATAAATATGAACGCGAGACTCGAAAATTTGTGGGAATGGATGAATGTACGTTTGTTACTCTTTCACGTAAAATCTACTGTACCTACGGATTTTGATGAAACTTTACAGTAATATAGCTTCTACATTTGCATGGGTAAAATTCTGAATATCTAATAAAATCCAGGATGGATTAACACATGAGACTTAACTTTAGGCATTATTTTTTTGCAAGTAAACGAACATTGCTTTATTTCTTCATTCATTTTTAAAATATATGTAAAACCCAAAAAGGTGTATGAAGATCAAAAAAAATGAGTTCTTTCTCCATAATCTATACAGGACAAAATGTTATAAATGACCTTTCCAACGCCACGACCACATTACCGGACTTCACATGTACAGAAATCGAATTCACACTATATGCCTCTAACACCTTTGAGTCACATTGTAATACAACGCATATAGTTTTTCCCATAATTATTATATTATGATTTGTAATAACGTTAACCTTGCCCGGTAATTGTTTACCGAAAGGAGTCATCTATACGCTGCTTACCTACTTGGCATTGAACTCAATGTTTCTGAAATTACATAGCAAGATTTTCTATAATTTTATTAATGCGTAATATAATATTTAATAAAAAATAAATCAAATAAAAACTAGCCATAGTGCGCAATTTTTAATCTATACATATAATAAAATTGTAACTAAGCCGAATCTGTACATTAAATATTTTTTGGAAAATCTCATTGAAATAGACATTATTATCGATACAGAGGCCGAAGATCTATAGTTTTTAGAATTTTTGTCTGTCTGTCTGTTACCGCATCACAGGAAAAACCACTGGAGGGATTTTGATGAAACTTGGTATGGTGATAGCTGGTTATCCGGGTCAACATATAGGATACTTTTTACCGCGGGAAAATATCTCATTTCTGAGAAAAAATGCAAAAACTGCATTGTAAGCGTATACTAATATGTAAAACCTAAGAATTTGGTTTTTGGTCATCTGAACGCGGGCGGAGCCGCGGGCAATGCTAGTATAATATAAATAGGCAAAGACAAAACAGTTTGGTAGCCTAATAGGGTAGTCTTTTCTCCTGTGTTTGTCAATCGATTTTCTTTTTTTTTTGTTTATTGACTATTGAAAAGTGTTATCAATAAAAACAAATTTTGGAAACAGTTTTTTTTATATAGATAAGTGAATTCTATTCTTACATGATTTCCTTATTATTCAATAATGATTATGGTCGAATTTTATTGAAAAAAATTAATTTGACAAAAGGAATACGCGAACACTAGTTCACTTATAGATCAAGGATTATAAATGATGTGGCGAATGATGTGTATTCACAATATATGCATTTTATAGGCGTGTATGCGTGTACAGTTGTTAAATGAAGTTTAAACTTTAGTCCTTTCTATTAAAGTGATAAAAATATACTGTACAATGTAGTAGTAGTACTAGGTATATGCTTTACGTTAGGTTCCAATTTCACGGTTAAAATAAATTACAGACGCGAAAAATCCGCTACTGCTTACTAGAAACATACCTACCTGAGTATTAACTAAGAAAAAAATTACTACAGTAATGTATAATTGTCAAAATTAAAGTGACCACCATAATGGCGTCTGCTACATTAACATTACAACAGCGCGGTGTCATGTTTCCACGAACCATTGTCGACTGTCGAACTTAAAACTAATTCTCAAGGTAAATTAACTGTAGTTTGGCATTCCTTTGTGTTAAAGTGAAGACTGAAGTGATTTAAGTTACATACTTATGATATCAAAGAGAATATCATGTCGTTAAAATATAAAGCCTAGAGCCGCAGATAAAGATCTAAATTTTATAAAAAAGAAATTAATACAATTAAATTGATTAAAATTAATATTTCAAAAACACACATTTGGTAATACACATCTTAAATATTATAAAAGAACAGGCATATATATATATATATATATATATATATATATATATATATATATATATATATATATATATATATATATATGTATCTATGACATAAACATCCACGTGTAGAGTCCAATGTGAAACAGCTTCGTACATTTCGATCAATACGTCACCTTTACAATGGCGCGTAAAAAGGGGGAATGCACGGATTCGAATCATAAATAAAACATCAAAAACTTGATTCCTAACAATTATGTAAAAATTAGATGAACATCATGTAGATTGCATTAAGTATATGTACTATATATTAATAAATATACATATTTACGAGAATGTAAGCCAAATAAAAATAATCTTTGGGTCCATTTTTATATACTTTCATGATATTACTTTTTAAATAGATGTCGAAGAATATTATCATTTATTATTAATTTATTAAATTGTACATTATAAGTTTAATTTGTAAAAGCTCGCTGTAAGTTCATTATAATTATAATACTGGTAATTTATTTTAATTTATTTAAATATTATATAGTTGCTATTTCATATGATGACATATTAGCTTTATTTGTACCTTTAAATGCCTTTGAAGAACAAATCTGTACTAAAACAAGGTATAAGTATACATTCTAGAATATTCATAAGACATTCGGCACAAATCATCCGGACGGACGTCTAACCCACGACGAATCTTTGGAGACCCACTAACACTAAAACCAGCAAATATGTTATTTAAGAGCATTTCCAAATACAAATCGCTTGATTACCACCGAAGTACATATAACATATCGTCGTACATTCATACGTGATTTCGAAGCCGTAGCTCTCCCCGACGACCACGTGGAAGGCTGGCCCGAATTTCTTGTCCATCGACTCCTTGACCATGCGAGCTGCCAATTCGTTGTTTTGGGAAAACTTTTCACATGCTGTAACTGATAACTCCACTGCCTCAGTTCGCATCTCCTCTGACATATCAGAGTGCTACAACAAAATACAAGCCATTCAGTAATTCTAAACCGTTAAAGAAAGAATATATGTAGTGTATAAATTAAATAATAGAGCTGTTATGTATAAATTAAATAATGGAGATATAAAGAAATGTTATTAAGGAGCTATTTATTATCTGTCGCTTTGGTCTGGTGTATTTCCGTTTTTTATTTTTTATTTATCGTTGGATGTACTCGGCCGATCAAAATGAAACATTTTTATATTTTCAATTTAGATTATTACGGATTTTAACTGCACTATTGCATAGTTTACCTGCCCGCACGTTTGAGTCCGATGCAACGACCATACAATTGTTGTTGGTCTCACCCTATCCGTTTTCAATTTATTTACCTACTAGCGACTTAACCTCGCTTCGCTCTAGGTCGTCTCTAGCTTGATTCCCCATACAAATTTTCATGCCCATTTTTACCCCCTTAAGGAATGATTTCCGGGATAAAAAGTATTTTATGTTCTTCCCGTGGTCTCAAACTATCTTCTTACCAAATTTTATCTAAATCGGTTCAGTAGATCCAGAGAACGTCACAAACTCACAAACTTTACATCTTTATAATATTAGTATAGGTGATCTATATACCTAATATAAAAATATATCGTATAGATTTGTTACTCTTACCAAATATTGAGTTCAAATATTTACACATAAAATCTAGGTTACCTAAGTATAATAAGAATGAGATGTGCAATAGGTAATACGTATAAGTCCATGCCAATAACCAAAAAAAAATTACTATTAAACAAGTTATGATTTTTTTAATTCGCTCCGGCAGAAAATTCACAAATACATATTAAAAAATCATAACTTACATACATGGTGTATTTTCGGATACACCCAGATGTGAGGAATCTAAAAAAATGATGACGTCACTTCTTATACCAACCTGTATAGATTTGTGCGTAGGTGTGGGTAGGTACCTATGCAGGATGGCTATGTAGCACCCTACCAATGTATATAAAAATTGTAATACAAACTTTAAAACAGTGAAAATCATTAGTACCCTTTCACCTATTTTTTAAGTTTAAAAGTACCTATTAATAATATTTTTTTATTTTAATACCAAATGATGGAACATAACTAGATGGGCCTATTTTTTTAGTTAAATTGTTTTCCTTGCAATAGCCAATAATTGAATTTGACCTCATCTTATTTTGCAGCGATTGCTTGCCAAATATGCGCTCAGCAATGGATTCACTGCTCTACTTATTAACAATATATAAAGAGAAAAATTGTATAGGTGCAGTAAAAATAAGACCATATTATTAAGAATTTTACGGAAGCCGACATTACGTAACTTAACCATATAAATAGACCTTATCTATTCCTTCGAGCTAAGATGAAGGTCAAGAGTGAGCCCATTTTTAATTATATATATACATATTATTTATATATATATATATATATATATATATATATATATATATATATAAATAAACCAATAAGTTTACTTGTAAATTAGAGCTTATTTGAATTCTACAATAATTTATCAAAATATGATGCACCACTCATTGATCTGTTAACGATTGCCAGAGGAAGCAACAGTGAAGAGTCCACCTGCCAAAATAAACAAAACAAGTAGCGTAACGTATTGCATCTGCTTAGACTCGAATTGTACATTTCGATACTTCGTCGTCTTAGCGATAATAATAAATAATTACCGAGTAACACTTGACTTGTGTAAATGATTCGATCGCACAAATCAAAATCAGGTTGGTTATAAAAATCAAGATTTTTACATTATTTACTTTACAACGAGCAATCCTTTTAGTTTTATATGTTCATGAGTTTAAATACTTCTCAACTTAAAAGTTAGGCGATCTTTTAATATATAGCTAAACGCTTCTCCGAAACACGCTGCATCATATGATAGGAGCATTATTCAGATCGGTTCAGTAGTTATCGCAGTATAACCGAACAAAAAATCCGCTCTCCATTTTTTAGTATAGACATAATCTCTGACTGTAACAACAACATATCTTATAAACTACGTAAATTCACTGACCCTCCTTCTGAGACAATAAAATAAAATTTAAATTATAACGCTAGTCATAGAATTAACAATCCTACGTCGAACCCATGACTTTCGCAGTAGCACGGCGCGGCGGTACTAGTCTGATGCATGCCCTATAATTATTATTATAGTTATCTCAACCGTGTTTGATTTCTTTAATTACCTACTTGTATTGCGACTATATACCATATTATCTATACATATAATAGAATTCTGTGTCGAATCTGAACATTAAAAACATATTTTTTGGAAAATCTTATTGAAATACTTAGTCATTATTATCGAGTATCGACACAGAGGCCGAATCTATGGTTTTTAAAATATTTCTCTGTCTGTCTATGTGGAACGCATCATCAGAAACCACTGGACAGATTTTGATAAAATTTGGTATGATGATAGCTGGTTATTCGGATCAACATCTAAGATATTTTTACTGCGACAAAATATCTCATCTCTCAGAATTCTGTATTAACGTATTTAAAACGTATCTAGGGACGAACCCGAGCCCACAAAATAGTATAAATGTACATACATAATATGTATATATCTATAATATGTATGTATATTAGGAGTAGGTATAAATATTTATCGTTTAGAATGTAGTAATATGATATGTCACGGTACATGGAGATAAGACGATGCGCAAGAGTGGTGCTGCTGATCCGGCTTTGAAACCTCACTTGTCGAATTTGATTGACATATTATAATTATTATCATACTAAATTCGTACGTATGTATATATTATTTACATATTTTTTCCAGAATGCTATTCGCTTATAAAAAGGCAATTTGCGAGTTTTTATATTTTCTATCTTCCAATGATTTAAACATATCTAACTAATGCTTATTTCTGCATTACCTAATAGTATTTTTATAACTATACATATATATATATAAAAAAACAGATATTTTATTTACGTACCTACCTACTTGTCCGAATGATGAACAGGTTTCAACATAATAATGATAGCTCGGTGACTTTATTAAGAAACTTAAAACCTTCCTTACCAAAGGTTAAGTTAAATAATATTTTTCGGACTATTAGGTATATATATTTCAGTTGAGGTACATATATATATATATATATATATATATATATATATATATATATATATATATATATATATATATATATATATATATATATATATAAAATATCCAAATTTATTTATAGATAACACAACTTTTCGGAACGTATAAAAATATATGTATATTAAAGCAGACTAATCAATGTTTTTGGACTAGATAAATCCATACATTTATGGGGTAAAAAAAAATTAGTACTAAATAATATAGTACGTTCATAAATTACTAGTGTTCTTGAAAAGAAAAATATGTAAATATTATTATTTATTACCCTTATCAATGGATAAGTATGTATCACTTTTTCCGCTACTGCGCCAGTGGCTGCCGCTTCTTCAGCCATTCTGGATCACCGCACTTTTTATTTATTAAAGTCAAATAATACACAATACGCAAATAAAAAATTAGAATTAGACGTGCATCGCTCGTCGCGAGTCGCGACGTCTCCCCACTGTTTACGCGTCGCCTTGGCAACGATGTAGGCGGTAAGATGCGATTGATTTTTCTCAATACCTACCAGTAATCATAGGCACTATTTACTCTTTAAATCCAGAATGTGGAATACTAAGGTCGTGTGTGGGATAAAAAATAAAACACTGGAATATAAAATATCCAAAACTTAATTTATTAAGTATATTTATATCATTATATGTATTTATATTTTTAGGCATGCTATCATAGCATGAAATCACTAAAAATTTTATACACGTATAAAAATATAAATAAAAGCTTGGTAAGCTTTGAAAATATTTTAATGATTTCAATCTTTTTGATTAAATTTATAATCGACAAGAATTTTGTCTTTTTCCGCCAGATGTCGCAATCACTACGGCCCTCAGTAATCAGTATATTGTAAAGCTCTTTAATTTGGATGAAATGTTTTTCATTTTTATTTAAAATTTAATTAAAGTGAGAAATTGTGCAGTGTTAGGATGCAAAGAAAACCAATATCATTTGTTCCCAAATTACAAAAACTGAAGAAATTGTGGGCTAAAGAGCAATATGACGACCAAAATTGACGAAATCACCATTATCTTAATTTAAACCTATGTGGATATCATTTTACAGAAAGTGATTGTACTTTTTTATATATTAATTATAGACTTTCATACAAACTTTTATCTTTTATTTTACCCCCTTATGGGATTTAATTTCGAAAAAAGAAACAACACATTTTTATTTAATTGTATTGAAAAGCATTAATACCAAGTTTCAAGTATTTCTGTTCATAAATAATTCTTGCCCATTTAAACTCTATTTCCGCCTTTTACCTTAAGAGCTGAATAAAAAAAAAATATTTCTTATTTTGTATCTCAAAGCCAAACACCACTTTCTGTGTATTTCACATTAAGAATGACAGAGTCACATATAACTTTTAATGCCCTAATTTATCCAATTAGGGGATGAATTTTGAAAAATTCTTTCTGATCGGGTACGCCTATATCACAATAATATAAGGAATACGTCCTCCAAATTTCACGTTTCTACGACCAGCGGCTTAGGCTGTGCATACCAAGCGCAGATCCGGGGGGGCTTTTTGGCTTTGGGGGGGGTCATGGGGGTCATGACCCCCCCCAAAGCCAAATATACTTTTTTGAGAATTTTAAGTCTAAGAAAAGAAGGAATAATATATTTTTTTTTAAATGCCTAATTCGAAACGTATTAAGTTTTTATTCGTTTTTAAGTTTTTCTTTAATTTAAATAGCGATATACAAATAGTCCGATCGCGATGTGCTACACAAAAAAATAAAACCTGAGGTTTTATGTTTTAAGATGTTTATAGCAAACAAGACAATTATAGCGAACCGTTTAAAAATAGTTTTTATTTCAATTTCTGCCTAGCTGTGACATCCTATCGAAAAATATTCTGTACAAAAGTTGTAGGTCGATTAAAAATCTACGACTTTTATAATAACCTCAAAGTTTTCGACTATTTCCAAAACAAAACGATTTTTAATAATATATATAATAATCTTTATTTTTTGAAATTGAAATGTTTAGCCGTTTCCGAGAAATTTATGTTGTATGATCTCGGGAGGTATAAAATCACCCCAACTTTTGTAAAGAATATTTCAACATTTTACATCCCCCCATTTCTCGGGGGTAGCTGGACAGCGGGGGCGTTTTACGGGTTTTTGTTCCTTATATACCTGCTTAATATATATTTTTATAATTAAGCCATAAAACTTAAGGCCTTGATTTTTTGAAGCCCCCCCTCTCCTCCCCTCCTCCAACTGAAATCTAGTTCGGCGCCTGGTCTCAATAGTGTTTAAAAAATATTTCATATACAGATTTTGCTAAGTTACTGTTTTATTATATGTATATTTCAGCCTATGACCCCCCCCAAAATTTAACTCTGGATCCGCGCATGGTGCATACTGTCAACTGTGGATATTATAGGTATATCCATCAGTTAGGCAAAACCCCCGCATGATGCATCTCTCCTTCTCAATTCTTTCTTCAGCTGGCCTAACTTCCAGGTACAATACATTGCACAAGTAAGATGCGAACACAATAGAAGCAAAAAACCAGGTATAAAAGAGATTTCACAATAAAGCGCATAACCTCAGACTGAATGTAAGCGTAAATACATGTGGCGCCCTCCTTAAGAGAGATCTTCTCCCTTATGGAAAAAGTAAATAACGAGTATTTCACCATAGTAAATCCGACACTATTTATTATAGCAACTTTGTTAGTCATCGATGCTAGCAACACTGCAAATAATGTCAGCGATTAACAGCAACTTTTATTTGTCATCCATGACAGCAACAAATATCAAACAAGCAAAGTGTCATATAATAAATAATCAGCTGTAAAAGTGTCACGTTCTGTTAAATTGTACTTTTATAAATAAAATAATTTGATTTTTCTATGTCCAAAATAATCACATAATTAATCTTGTTAATTAAAATGGCCTCACGATTTAGTGGTGCACTTCAATTGACCGACCTTGATGATTTTATAACTCCGTCACAGGTAAACATAACCTGTCTTCGTATACTTTTTGTTTAATATTTAGTTCATATAAAACTAAAAACTCCATACAATTTATATACAAAGGGGTTTACATCTTATCATGTTTCTAGGACCTTATTTTGTTTTAAACTTGTTACCCAGGAATGTATAAAACCAGTTAAAATAGAAAAGGCTAAAACAAAAACAGGAGCAAAAATTAAAATTGGTGAAGACGGTTACTTCGATATATCTAGTGGAAAGGAACAAAAGTTGCAAAAAGTGGAAATTACTCTTGCAGACTGCTTAGCTTGTAGTGGTTGTATCACATCTGCTGAAAGTGTTTTAGTTACAAGGCAAAGCCAAGAAGAATTACTAAGGTACTATTCATGAAATAAATTAGTTGGAAAAATGTAGAATTTAATTTATTTACTCACATACTATTTATTCAACATTATTTATAGAGTATTCTCAGAAAGAAAACATACAGATACTAAAGGTGTAACACGAGATGTAAGTTTAATAGTTTTATCATTATCACCCCAACCATTACTTTCCCTTGCTGTGAGATATAAACTGGATCCAGAAGAAGCTACCAGAAAATTAGTTGGTAGGTATGATTTATAATTTCTTCATTATTTATCATATAAAAATATAATACATATGTAATAAAGTAATGTTTTGATTATAGTACCAAAAGCAAATATATATATGAGGTTAATGCTCAGACTAGATGGAAATAATATAGAGAGAGTGTCATAGGGCTAAACATGAAGCCAAACATATTTTAAAATTACTGTGATAAATAAATAAATGTTAATAAATAAAAATAGCTAACAATCTTTATTACAATAAAGAAAGAAGCTCATATTATACTACCTTCTTTTCAAGGGAAGGGGAAGGGTATTATTTTTATTATTATATTCTGTTTAAAATTGTAAATAAACTGAAATCCCCTTATTCTTTAAAGAAAGTGAATAATCTCTATGCAAAAATCGAGAATGGGAACATAGACAACAAAGTCTAACTTTTTTTTTACTTAAACTATATTTATATGATCGCCTTTAAAACACTTCATTTTGATACCCCACCCAGTATGCTTGGAAGAAATGTCTTCTTAAACAAAAAGTTACATCCACATTAAATTCATCATTTTGTATTTTTAATATGAAATGATAAGTAAAGTAAATATAATTACATAATTAGACTTACACAAGCACCTTTGTATAATTAAATTATAACCTATTTGTATTATCAAGACAAATCTAACCATGATTCATGAAAGTTCATTTAGTTAGATTAAAATTACGAGAGAAATGTTGGAAATAAATACAAATTACTTTCGGATCACAGTCACAGTCAGGTAGTAATATAATTTATATTCTCCACTTTGGTAGGACATTGACTAGATGTACCATTTTTGCAGTAAATATTTAACATAATTTAAATTTTCAGGTTATTTCAAAAGTTTAGGGACCGATTTAGTGTTGGATATGACAGTAGCTGAAGACATATCACTCCTGGAAGCGCAGCAAGAGTTCTTGCAAAGATATCATAACCAACAAAATGAGACCACTGCAAAACAGTTACCAATGCTAGCAAGTTCTTGCCCAGGTAATTTTAAAACTTACCTAATGCCTACCTTTAAAAGAGCTATTCTTGTATATTTATTTATTTATATATACCGGCGATCTCGGACTCGGCTTTAAAGATTTCGCTGAAATTTAGTGTGTGTGGGTTTTCGGGGGCGAAAAATAGATTTAGATTAGTCTTATGCCTGGGAAAACGCGTCTTTTCGTATTTTCATACGGTTTTCTTTTGCATTATTCCACGCAAAATGTGGTCTGCCAAGGCGCAAGATTGACAATCACAGGTGTCCATCCGGGTTCGAATCCTAGTCGGATACAAAATTCTTAATTTTGTTTTTATATTGTTTTTTTTTCTTGTATTTATAAAAGTTTTTATTTTTTTTTATTTAAAAAATACGATATGACAAGAGAGAACTCGGAGCGAAGTTTGGGCGACTAGTTACTAAATACATATATATATAAATATATCTATACATATAATAAAATTGAAACTGAACCAAATTCGAACCGAAACATTAAATATTTTTTGGAAAATCTTATTGAAATAGACATTATTATTTATTATCGATACAAGGACCGAATCTATAATTCATAGAATTTTTGTGTCTGTCTGTCTGTGACCGCATCACGGTAAACCGCTGGAGGGATTTAGATGAAATTTGGTATGATGATACCTGCTTATCCGGGTCAACATATAGGATACTTTTTACTGCGAGAAAATATCTCATCGCTGAGAAATCTATACTAGCCGTTAAAACTTATTTAGGTATGAACCCGAGCGGAGTGAGGGTGATTCGCTTGTGCGACTATAAAATATTTTGTCATTTATAATTTAAATTTTTATACAATTTATATTATGTTTACTATATTTATATTTTCATTTTTCTATTATATCTGTATATTTTAAAACCTTAGTAAATGTAATGTGTATAATAATTTCAAATTTGTAATATTAAATATATTGATTAAAAGAAAAATATCATTTTCGATCATATGCTATATAAATGTGGTCCTTCAAGGCCAAATTGTTTTTATATAATTCTAATTTGGGTTTTTATCGAATAATAATATAATATTTTTTTTATAAAGGTTGGGTGTGCTATGCAGAAAAGACACATGGCAACTTCATTTTACCCTACATTTCAAATACGAAATCACCACAACAAATAATGGGTTCATTGGTAAAGCAACATTTGGCACTTAAAAAGGAACTGAATCCCAGTGAAGTGTATCATGTGACATTTATGCCATGCTATGATAAGAAGCTAGAGGCTTCGAGGGAAGATTTCTATAGTGATGTGCTGAGCTGTCATGATGTGGATTGTGTCATTACCGCTAGTAAGTAGTTTTTATATTTCTTACTTTATTTTATTGCTAAACTAGCAGAACCCGCGGTTTCGCTTGCGCTAAAACTACAAAAAAAACTCTAAAATGGTAGGTTCATACAAACTTTCATCCGTTATTTTATCCCTTTATGGGATGAATTTCGAAAAATGCTAAAACACGCAAATAATTAATTGTATTGAAGAGCATTTATACCAAAATTCAAGTAATTCTGATCATAAATATTTTTTTAATTGTATTATAACGTGTTTTCCCGTGGGAAAGAGATAATCTCCCGCGGTAAAAAGTAGCCTATAACATCAGCTATCTTCCAGGGAAAGTCCCGTCAAAATCAGTCCAGCCGTTTTAGAGATTATCCAGAACAAACAGACAGACATAAATTTTAAAAATGTGTTTTTCTTATAAGTACCGTGTATAATTTCATATTCCTTTAGTAAAGCGCTATTATTTTGACATTACAAACAGATACTTCTATTTTATTTATCTGTATAGATTTTACCACAACATATTTAGAAGTAGGTAAATATTAAACAATACAATTTTCTATCACACAACACAAACAAATCACTGCATAGATATTTTAATTCCTTAGTTTTCAGCCCTTTTTAATGTTCTCCTGCTGGGCACGGGCATCCTTTCAATACGAGTGGGATCAGGCCATATATGTCTTTCAAAAACTGGCTAGGTTTTCTCAGTCATTGTGTAAACAGTATTCATAATATAAATAAACTAGCGTTTTTCTGCGGCTTCGCCTGCATAGTACATTAATCATATACTAAAACCTTCTCCGAAACACGCTGGATCTTATGGTACGAGTATTATTCCGATCGGTTCAGTAGTTATCGCAGTATAACCGAACAAAAAATCGGCTCTCCGTTTATTAGTATAGATTTAAAAATTTAATAAACCCCCGACCATTTTCGACCGATTTTCATCAAATATAGCTAAGAACACTCGACTAATTCACCTTCCAAAAAAAAAATACAAAATTAAAATTGGTTCATCCGTTCGGGAGCTACGATGCCACAGACAGACACGTCAAACTTATAACACCTCATCGTTTTTGCGTCGGGGGTTAAAAAGTATAATATAACAAAAGTGACATCGATTTTTATTATGATTATTAAAAATTAATAAATAATAAGTAAGTTTTCTTGCACAGTTGAATTGGAGCAAATGTTAGAAAGCAGTGAGAAATGTCTGGCAGATATAGAAGGATGCAACTTGGACTGGCCGTGGGATGACTCAGAGGGTCCTGGTATAAGACGCCACATAGGCTCAGGGTCAGGAGGGTACGCAGACCAGGTGTTCCTGTATGCTGCAGAAGAGCTTTTTGGTGAAAGCAATGCGCCTTTAGTGTATAAAAACTTAAGGTACGTTACAAACTTTATATTTCCAGATCGTAAAATAACGTTATTAAAAATTAATGTACAAAAATTAAAAACCCGACTGCGTAAAAAGCGAACTAAAAAGATTAGAACAAAAAGAACGAAAGAATGTGATAAAAGAAAACCAAATTTTTCAGAAAACGACTTTGATTTGTATATTTTTGAAACAGTTGTATTTTTTGTCCAACTTTAAAAAAAAAAAACATTTTGACCAACTATTCTATTTTTAAAATCTATTGTTTTCATCGACCAATTGTATTCATCATTTAAGTTTAATAAAAAAGATTACCACTTGTTACGTCTTACTTGTAAAAATGGATAGTAAAATATATACATAGATGTATCAATGTTACGTTACAACTAATAGGTATATATTTTTATTATTTTATTTTTATTACACGAGATAATTAGATTACAGTTTGAACAGTTAAAATGGTTATATATTGTTAAAAAAATTACAGATATAGAATTACAAAAGTTTATTTCCGTAATAAATTATATTCATATATAACTATACGCAGTAAATAAACGTATATCGGTAGGCGCAATAGTAAGTATATCGGCGTCGCGTCGTAGCACTGCGTCGCGTCGGTCCAGCTAGTCCATTGTTAGTTATTACACTATTGGGTAAATAGTAATTTACGCAATATTATAATATCTATTCTTGTACTACGCTAGGAATTCTCCAGAATGCATGGCTGACCTTTTGGGCTTTTATTGTTATGATGATTCACTAAAGAGGAATTTCATAAAGTTCTATTCACTTTGGTGTGTTTCAATTATTTTTCTTATATAGTTTAATAAATTTTCGATGATTACGAACACTCGCAAAGGTTCGTAATTATCCTCCTCCTAAACGTTTTGGCCTATTTTGTTCATCAAAATTCACCAAGACAACATAGCTATAGTTTTACCTATTGGTTTTTCATAATACTTTCTTAGATTTACGAGAATATTTGACATTTTAAATAAAACTATCTTTTCGGATTTTTTCGCGGTGTTATTTGGATTTTTGTGGGTATGCTATCTGTAACAACTATATAATACCTTTGAGACATCTAACACTGTAGTCTCTCCCGTGACCATGATTGCTGTAAAGCATCCGAAACGTCGGGAACCAAAAATCTAGTGGTTTTTGTCGAGATCAATATTTTTTTTAATTTTCCGATCGAATGAGGTTTGTAGCAGGACAACATCTGCCTACCACGTCTACTACTAACGTATGTTTTCTAGCTTTGATCACGTCAATCTATACTAAAATTATAAAGAGGTAAAGTTTGTGAGTTTGTGAGTTTGTGACGTTGTAGGGGGTAATCTCTGGATCTACTGAACCGATTTTCAAAATTCTTTTACCAATAGAAAGCCACGTTCTTTCTGAGTGTCATAGGCTATATATTAACCCGAAAAATGAAAAGGCTTTTTCGTAGTAGTCGCATTTGCAAAGTAAGTCGGAGAAAAAACGGTCGAACGAAAACGTTTCTTACGAACGCTGCCTTAACGATGAGAGATATATGATTATGTTCTAGAGAAAAGTTGTAGAACTTAATAATGCCTACAAAAAAGTCAGCGACAGCATATGTCTAACTTTTATATTTCAGTCACAAAAAGTAGTTTTTTATATTAAAAAAATCATTTAAATCGGTAGGTCATGTTTATTGGTCATATTATCAACAATTATGAATTTTTATCAAAATAAGTAAATTTATCATCTAAAATGTTTAAAATAAAAGACTTTTCCCTTTTACTGCATATAATTTGGACAAATGGTTAAAGAGATAATACAACATATTCGTATGTATAGACGAACCCGAGCGAGCTGTTTATCTGTTTTTTTTTGTACGGGCTAATCTCCGGATCTATTGGACCTATTTAAATGAAATTTTGCATAGTGGCACCTTATATCCCGGTCAACATCTTAGATACTTTTCATCCCGGAAAATTAAAGAGTTTCCGTGGGATAGTCAAAAAACTATAGTAACTTATACAGCTTAGTACACAAAAACCACAGATTGGATTTTGATGAAACTTTACAATAATATAGTTCATACATCAGAATAACAAATAGGTAACTTTTTATCCCGGAAAAATGTACTTTTCCCGTGGGATAGATGTTTTTGTTTATTTGTAACGTTAATTAAAAAAATTGTAATTGTAAACGTTATTAAAAAAATTGTCTTTGTCTGTTTGCCTGTATGTCTGTTTGTCTGTTTTTGTGTGCGCGTTTCACGCGAAAAGTAATGTACCAATTTCAACGATTATTACTACTTATTACTCGAGTCAACATTTAGGGTACCTTTTGTATGTATGTATGTATGTATGTATGTTGTATTCAGCCCTTTTTAACACACGCACGGGCCTTCCTTCAGTACGAGGTGGATCAGGCCATAGTCCACCACCCTGGCCAATATCAGAGGTGCTAGAGCGTGCTACCACTGGGATACCACTGCCTAGATACCTTTTACTTGAAGAAAATCTTTCTTTCCCACGGGAAAATACAATAACTGGTTCTATCGAATTGTCCTTAGAAATTTATATGGCTAACGTTGGCTCAACCTTAAGAGATAGATCAAAACATTGTACAAGAAAATTGTAAGTCTTAAAAAGGTCTATAGAAAAGTTCTACATAGTATATGTCTATCTCCTAAGGTATACTCGCTATAACTATTTTCATTATTATATATTTCTGTTTTATTATACGTTATTTATTCTATCTGAATATAGGTCCATATATGAATAATAAAACTGTAGAGATCGAATGTCTGTACATAGATGGTAGAAAAAATTGCTAAAAAACCAGTCAGTTCCCTTCTTACATCCCGTAAGGAGAGAAATAGAACAAATCCAGATTTTTTCAAATTTTTTGTTTCTCTGTGTGTTTGTCTGTTCGTACGGGCTAATCTACGATACTATTGAACCTATTTAAATGAAATTTGATACTTTTCATTCCGGAAAATTAAAGAGTTCCCGTGGAATAGTTAAAAAATTATAGTAACTTATACAGCTCAGTACACAACAACTTATGCACCTAATTTAGTAAAATTTGGCATGCTGATACCTTATATTGCAGGTCAAACAGCAGGTTACTTATTTTTATCCCGGAAAAATGAACGGTTCCCGTGGAATAGATCTGTTTGTGCTTTTCTAGAGGTGAACCCGAGCGAAGCGAGGGTGAGCCGCTAGTATTGAATATACTTAAATAATGTGTTATTGAAAAAAATATTAGTCTAGTCAAATAGGGTAAAAAGGCACACGGAATGGATGATTATAAACTATAAGATTTAATGAATGACCTATTTCGAGATTAAATCTTTATTGGACTGCTCTATATACTCGTTATAAAGAACGAGACGATAATGTAACTTACATCTCATTAAATTTAATTAAAATTTTTTTTTTTTTTTCACTAGAAACCCAGACTTTCGGGAGGTGACGTTAGAAAAGGATGGCAAAGAAGTATTAAAGTTTGCGATAGCGAACGGATTCCGCAACATACAGAATTTGGTGCAGAAACTGAAACGTGGGAAGTCGCCCTACCACTACGTGGAGGTCATGGCGTGTCCATCAGGTACGTTCATTTAAATCGAAAAGATAGTATTAATTAAAATGCCAAATATTTTCGTAAATGTATACATATAATAAAATTGTAACTTAGCCGAATCTGTACATTAGATATTTTTTGGAAAATCTTATTGAAATAAACATTATTATCGATACAGAGGCCGAATCTATAGTTTTTAGATGTTTTTGTCTGTCTGTCTGTTACGGCATCACAGAAAAATTACTCGAGGGATTTTTATGAAATCTGGTATGGTGATAGTTGGTTATCCGGGTCAACATATAGGATACTTTTTACCGCGGGTAAATATCTCATTTCTGAGAAAAAATACAAAAACTGTACTGTAAGAGTATACTAATATGTAAAACCTAAAAATTTGGTTTTTGTCATCTGAACGCGGGCGGAGCCGCGGGCAATGCTAGTCATAAATATTTGCGTAAAAAATGTAGTATTACATTAATTTAGTTATACTTCTAGCTTTTTATTATGTGGTCTTATAGGTATGTGATTGTTAATTAAAAACCCCATCACCGTTTGATGCGGGCATAAATAAACTGATGCTATTTTTTTTTTAATTCAATATAAAACTTTCAGTGATTAATTTTTTCTGTGACCGTTTTGAACCAAATATAATACAATATTATGGGTATGTAGACACATGGTACAGATTTTAAGGTGCATGCGATATAATCTTCCAACTCTCATTATTTTAAATTTAAATAGAAAAGTCGTTTTTAGACTTCCTTAACTAACAACGAGTAGGTAAATAAAAGTATTATTTATTTAAGAAGCAAACTTAACAAATAATGCACCTTTATTCCAGGTTGTCTGAACGGCGGTGCTCAAGTGCGACCAGTCCAAGGTGAGACCGGTCGGGAGCTGGTCTCTCAACTCCAAGACTTGTACAACAAGTTACCTTTAGCTAACCCAGCTCAAAGTAAACTGGTCAAACAGCTCTACATCGACTGGTTAGATGGTAGAGAGTCAGATAAAGCCAAAGCTCTTCTCCATACTTCGTACCATGCGCTGGAAAAGAACGATATCGCACTCAATATAAAGTGGTAACTCCCTCTGAAGTAGTCCATATTAATAGTAATATTTCTAAAACAAAAGAAATTGTATATATCAGTTTTTATTCTTATACGAAGAAGTGCGAGAGTAATTCTGTTTATAGGCCGACGTGTTATAGGAAACTATATCTCGGTACTTCAAAAAGTCCCCGAAATATTCGACATTCGTACATAAATTGTAAAAAACACATTTTTAATTAATTTTAAGAAAATATTGTTTACTGCTTCAATATAAAGGTAATGAATTTTGTTTAAATATTTTTGCAAAGACCACAAATTAAAAAAAAATGAATATGTACATTAGGAATGTTAAGGAAGCAATATAATGTAAATGGATATTTCAAATTAGATTTTCGTAATTTTCTAAACGTTCTCCTAATTTTTATTAAGCAGCTGCTACATACAATGCTGCATGTATAGAAAGAAAATGTGTAAAATATTGAATTTTATTAATATATAATATTTTTATCATATTTTTGTATTTATTTATATATTTTATTGTTAGTAAACATTTTGGTTTCGAAATATGTGTATTTTCATACTATTTTATTTTAAAAATTATTTGGGGCTGGACCTTAAATGAATAATGTTATTTTAACTGATATAACACGTGTTAATAATAATGTAAGATGTAAATATATTTAATAGTTATTATCAAAATAGTTTTATTTGAATTAACGTATCACCATACTGCCATATTTAATGTCTTGCCGGTAGTTCAATACGTGATAATAACGACTTAGTTAAATTTCTACTCCTTTTTTTATATAACAGAATAAGCCCTTGTGGAGACCAAGCCAACCGACAATGGGCAGGGAACTGTGAGGCTCTTACTCACTAAAACCCAGAACGGAACCCTATCGCTGCTGCGCTTGCGCATACACTACAACATACCTTCTCCGCCGTTACTGAAGGGCGGCTGTCATCCTACTAAATTCTTCTTTAGTAGCCTGAACACATCTTCAACTTTCTTTATCCCGGTCCATTGTAGGATGTTGGAGAGCCAGTTGCACAACGCCCCTTTTTAGAAATAGGGCTAACTTTAATCAAATACAATCGTATAATAGGGAATAGAAGCAGTTCTTACAGCACAATGTTATCGGTACTCAATATGCCAGCTATTTTAGTGTAAAGTACGCCGTGCCCACGGAACTCAGCTGGCGTCTACATTGTAATAAATAGTGCATTGTCACTTACCGCGCCTTTTTATGTTCATTTAAAACGACACGTGTTTATGAGGTAATTTATACAAGACATTGAAAAACTGAAAATAACACGCTAATTTATTATGTACATTTCATATTTTAATACATACACAAATGAAAATATGTTATCATCAGTCGTGAAAAACCAATGACAGTTTTTGGCCTGTAATTGTTGTAATAATGAGAGGAAGTAATGATCTACTTAAATAAAATATTGAATTTTGCATTTGAACAACGACATCGGAACGATCAGTCATATCGCAACGTGTACTTTTCGTATGTTATAAATTAAATTAATTCGTATGAATAATCCATTAAGTCGGACGCGTTTGGGTCAGTGTAGGGGGCGGGCGCGGCGGTACGACTGCTTCCAGTATTTTCAAATACTGCGCGCTGTTTACAAAATATAAGCCGCGGACGGAAAATTATTCTTTTCTCTAACTCTTTTATTAGGCTTTTTGTGAAATGTCATGGGTGATTTCCGTGTGATGGGCGGCAGAGCTTGCTTCATACTGCTGTGCACTATCGTCAAAGCTGTGATCAGTACGGGACTAGGGAAATGTCCAATATACCCACAATTTCCCAATTACGATGTTACACGGGTAAGTACCTATTTCTCAGTTATAGAATTACAATATTCATTACTAGCATTACGTTTTAACGGTTATTGTGGAATAGATAGACTATCTAATATATAAATTCTCGTGTCACAGTGTTTGCAACAAAACTTCTCCGAAACGACTTGACCGATTCTTATGAAATTTTGTGTGTATATTCAGTAGGTCTGAGAATAGAATGTAAACAAACTACTTTTCATACTCCTAAGTGATAATGGTGGTCACCCCAAAAAAATTTTTATTATTTGGGCGCAAAAAAAATTTTTTAAAAAATAAAATAAAAAATACAAACCTAAATTTTCACTAGGGACAAACTCGAGCGGAGCGAGGGTGAGTCACTAGTATATAATATATACTATATATACATAGGTATGAGTATTGTATTATAACGTTTTCTCATGGGATTTAGATAATCTCCCGCGGTAAAACGTAGCCTATGTCACTCCAGCCCTTCTGCGTTCAACTAGATAGTTGGAGAGCTGGAAAGTGACATCATACAAAAAATCACGTTAATCTGTCACTCTGTGTCGACGTGAAAGAAGGACAAACAAACCCATTTTCACATTTATAATATTAAGTATGGATTTACGTATAAATGAACGTATTGCGATTTGCATCGTTTTCGTATCAATCATATTTTTACATCAGTCATAGACCACCGACCTTAACCCTCGAACGTGTGACCGATGGCGAGTTGGAATAACAATAATGTTTATAAATTACATGTAATATTGAAAAAGGATGCTTAATGTATCAAAACAAATTGATGCATGTCATGGCAGTTTATCGCACCGGTAGTCGCAGTGTCGATTCCCTTAAGATATGAATGCGGCTATTTACCATAGGTACAGATACTACAGACTAGTTAAGACGACGAATAGAACAGAACTATGAACGAAAACACAAACATATATTCTAAGAAAACTAATTTTGAATTTAAAATAGGTACTGTCCATTGTTAGTAAAAGGAAACTACCTAGTTCAGAAATTTCTGTAAAATCTTTACAAAAGCAGAAAGTAATATGTTCACTAGATTGCTAATCGTGTACCTATTAGTTTTATTTTTTTACATTGTTTCTGCTCTGCGAGTACTCTCCTAGTTTAAGATTGTGTCGATTATAATAAAAAAAAACATCATAAAACTCTGAAATACATATGTATTCCCAGCTACGATCGAACCCGTGATCACTTACTACATGAGTAGGTATAGATGGCCATTATCTAAAACAAATTTGTGTTGCTACACTAAAAAAGAGTAAATAATACAATAATCTTTTGATCTGTGAAACCTTTTAACCGTCCTTATTTCTTTATGGCTTCTTTGATGAAAGTCTACTATACATATAATAAAATTGTAACTAAGCCGAATCTATACATAAAATATTTTTTGGAAAATTTTATTGAAATAGACATTATTATCGACACAGAGGTCGAATATATAGTTTTTAGAATTTTTGTCTGTCTGTCTGTTACCGTATCACGGAAAAACCACTGGAGGGATTTTCATGAAATTTGCTATTTTGATAGCTGTTTATCTGGGTTAACATATAGGATACTTTTTACTGCGGAAAAATAAAAATATTTTATAGAAAAAGTCAAATGTGACTTTTTCGTTTCTCGCATATACCTCATACGCATATATCTCATTGTCAGACTCATAACAAAACGTACATAAAAAAATAATTTAGGAAAATTAAGTCTTTCAGGTTTTTTTTAGAACTTAACGTCTAACGTTTAACTTTAAAAGCAAAAGAATTTTAAAGCACCTAATAGTATCGAGTGTCGAACAAGAAAGCTGCTGTAGTACATTATTAAAGCTATCTGGGGACACGGCAGTGCTCCTGCCAAGTCGAGCAAAAAAGACAGCCGTACTATCTCTACTCTTTCATCGAAGCCATTTAGGACTTTTCGACCCCCCTTGTAACTTTGTTGTGAATAAAGCTAAAAGCCTGAATTTTAAGTGACTAAGAGGATATTAAATAAAACTATCTTTTCGGATTTTTTCGCGAATTTATTTAGATTTTTGGTTCCCGACGTTTCGAATGCTTTACCGCAATCATGGTCGCGGGAGAGACTAAGGTGTTAGATGTCTCTAAGGTATTATATAGTTGTTACAGACAGCCTACCCACAAATAACATAATGAATTCAAAAATTGAAAAATGGCACCAAAGTACCTTACAATATTTTAACTTTAAACATTTTTATATAATTTTAAAAGTTTAATAATATTATTTAAAAGTTTAATAATTTTAAAAGCTTAATAATTTTAAAAATGTTTAAACAATGTACAGATTCGGGTTGTGGACATCCAAATATTTTATCTACTGACTAGGTACTGTTATAGGAAATGTATACACTTGGAAATTTTTAAGTCCTGTTACATTTTACTTAGATATCTAACCTCGCGGTTATTTTCGATTTAATCGAAAACGTTATGCTCCTAACGTAATTGAAAGTTATATAAGAAACCTTAATATAATACGAAGTAAAATAAGTAGTTATTTTTATAGAATACACATTAAACTAGCAGGTCGGTAAGGCCGTTTCCCATATATCCGTAAACATTTCAACGTAGAATAAATACCTATACCTGAAAGGAAATGCCTATTTGTTTGAAGCCAGCAAAAATTAAAAACATACATTAATACACATATCTTATTCGTACAATAATTTGTGTAGTAGTAGGTAATACACGCACATGCATCGGAAGGCATGCACATTTAAAAAAAACTAAGGCGAGTTATGAAAAAATAGTTTTTAATACGGTTAGAAAGTCTAATTTTTAAATAGAGAATTTTTACTGAGTTTTGTATAGTAATTTTAAATCATGTATTGATATACAGATAGAAATTATTGTATTAATATATTCATAATGTAATTATTTGCAGATGACAGGTACATGGTATGAAGTGGAGAGATCGTTTCACTTGATGGAGATAGCGGCCAGCTGCACCGAGCTAGACGTAAGGATCGGCGATAGAGGGTTTCTTCTTATCACCGTCAACACTATTAATAGATGGTGAGACTTACATATTTAAATAAATAAACCTCTACAACTCTTATTATTTAGCGTAAGCTGGAGGTCATACATTAATCCAGTAAAATACAATAAAATTAATTCATTAATCCAGTAATTTCTCATTAAATATGTTTAGTAATCTTTAAAGAGTATCTGAACGTTGTATTTTTGTATGATTTATGAATATAAATGTAGTTTAACAACTGTAGGGCGAAGGGGCCACCAAATCTCACTTAATCTCTCCAAAGGAAGGAACTCTAAATTGAAAGAAAAACAGCTCATTTAATTCATGGTTGCGATATGTGTTCTATCTCGTCTAATAATAATGCTAATAATATTTAATATTCGAAAATTTAACTTGATGTGAATTGTGATTGAAAATATCTAAATTCTATGTGACAATAATAATACTGAGCTTAAGTAGATAATGTACCTATGTACATAATCTATACATATAATAAAATTGTAACTAAGCCGAATCTGTACATTAAATATTTTTTGGAAAATCTTATTGAAATAAACATTTTTATCGATCCAGAAGCCGAATCTATAGTTTTTAGAATTTTTATCTGTCTGTCTGTCTGTTACCGCATCACAGAAAAACCACTGGAGAGATTTTGGTATGGTGATAGCTGGTTATCCGGGTCAACATGTAGGATACTTTTTACCCGGGGAAAATTTCTCATTTCTGAGAAAAAATACAAAAACTGCAAACGTAAGAGTATACTAATATGTAAAACCTAAGAATTTGGTTTTTGGTCATCTGAACGCAGGCGGAGCCGCGGGCAGTGACAGTACATTATAAATATAATTTTAGAGATATTTATTAAATTCTCCACATTATTAGGAGTATAATTGTAAGCTTAATCTGGTTAAAAACAACTTCTAAAAGAGGAAGCTCTTAGCGCGTGTTTTGCTCTTTTTGTAAGTTGTGTTACGTGTTTATTCTATTCGCCTTTACCTAATTAGTTTTTAAGGGTGGAATAATAACTTTCTAAAGTATCTAATCATATCATAAGTATCAACTACCACTTAAAAATACAGGTACATATTACATATTTAAATATAAGTAGGTACCTAATATCTATGAAATATATTTTTGTATGTTCTAGGTCCGGTAGCCAGTCCACTAGTTATGGCTTGGGGATAGCAAGTCACAACGGTTCTTCTACGTTCCGCTACAAGCTGAATAATCGTATGCCGTACATTATTGGGAGACTGCTGCCAGGCGCTGGGCAGTACAATGTACTCTTCACAGATTACGACAGATTTGCGCTGGTGTGGTCGTGCACTAATTTTAGCATCGCCCACTCCGGTATGTCTAATTTATACATATAATAAAACTATAGAGGTCGAATGTCTGTACATAGATTTGCTAAAAACCGAGTCAGGGGGATGTAAGAAGACAAATAGAAGAAATCCAGATTTTTTCAAACTTTTTGTTTCTCTGTCTGTTTGTACGGGCTAATCTCCGAAACATGCAATGCATGGTGGTACCCTATAACCCCGGTCAACATTTTAGATACTTTTCATTTCGGCAAATTAAAGAGTTCCCGTGGGATAAATAAAAAACTCACAAACTACACAACAACTTATGCACTTAATAATTAAGTAAAATTTGGCATGCTGATACCTTATATTGCCGGTCAAACAACAGGTTTTACTGTAACTTTTTATCCCGGAAAAATTAACGGTTCCCGTAGAATAGATCTGTTTGTGCTTTTCTACTAGTAATACTATTACGCTATGCTAGTATTCAAATTTTTTTTTCGAACATTAGGAAACAAGTTGTTAATAGGATATTTTCAAACTAAGACGATGCTGTCTATGCTCTACCTAACAATAGAGTTACAGATATTGAAATCTCAATCTCTACCTAATACAAGAGTGTATTTAGACCATGTAAGCTTAAATTGACTTATTAGTTATTACTATTAGGTTGTCGCAATATTTACCGGTGTAAGGGGTATACTCCGGATCTACTGAACCGATTTAGATGAAATTTGGTAAAAAGATAGTTCGAGATCCTGGGAAGAACATAGGATATTTTTTATTTCGGAAATCATCCCTTAAGGGGTGAAAATAGGGATATAAGTTTGTATGGGGAATCAAGCTAGGGACGAACTCGAGCGAAGCGAGGGTTAGTCGCTATTATCATATAAATTGTGCTATGTAATATAATAGGTTTGATTTAATTTATTTTCTTCTTTTTAGAGAATTTAAATAAAAGCTTGTGTTTAACAATGTTTTTTTTACAATTTTTTTTGTTATTCGTATTCTTCTCAGCAAACCCTTTCATTTGAATTTTAATATCCATATCATAGGAGTGCATAAAAGAACATAGCCATGTTTGGGAGTCTGCCATTTTGGATTTAAAACGAAGTCGTTTTGCTTATTGTTTCACTCATCATACACTTTTACTTGATACCCATATCATAAGGGTCACTATGGAAATGATAAATCGCCATTTTCAACCGACTTCAAAAAGGAGGAGGTTCTCAATTCGACTGTATTTTCTACCGTCCGCCATATTAGATTAAAAATTGCGGCATTTAGGTATCCGTGCATTGTATCGGGAACCAAACTAGTGTGCCAAATTTCAGCCCAATCGGACGCTGGGAAGTAAGTCAAATTTAACTTGCAAGATTCCATTACACACACCGGGACAGGCGAAACTAAATAAAAGCTTGTAATAAGAGAAATTCCAAAGATCTTGCGAATAAAATCGATATTATTTAAGATTTTAATTTCCAGATCGTATGTGGGTACTGGGTCGAGAACGCGAAATAGAGGCGGGCCTTCGCGCGCAAATATACGCTCTGATGCAGGAGCTGCATCTCGACCCGGACCGCCTCATCCTCTCCAAGAACACTAACTGTACCGCCATCGAACAATCCTATGGAATAAACTAATTTTATTTATTTTTCTGTTTTTATACTTAACTCCCAGCGGTGTTTTAGAAATAAGTACACTACCTAATAGATTTTGTAAAACTATCAATACTTTAAAAAAAAGCCTAAGTCTAAAGCTGCCAAAATACTCAATATATATTTCCAAAATATATTTTTTATACAAAACTACTATGTTAATTTTTTTGGGTAAAATAATGTGGTATGTAGATATAATATATATCATAGTTTGAACATTATTACTATTTTTGAAAATTCTATTAAGGCCGGCTATACACGGACTGCTCGAGCAGTTACCCAGTGATCGACATAAACAGACCGCTCTTGCAGTCAACAAGTCAACAGCTTGAAGCTATCATTGAAAATTGCTGGAGCAGTTGATACCAAATGCAGCAGTTGGTATCAATTGCTCAACAAGTCGCGCTACTTTTGCTTTTTTTGTTGATCACTGGCCATAGCTGCTCGAGCAGTCCGTGTATGATAGGCACAACCTCCGACTAGATAACAAAACCGCATCGGAATAATAAAACAAACGTGTGTAATTTATTTTTTGGAAAAATATCATTTATTTACAACAATAGAGTAAAAGATATAAGAATCGAAATACTTTTTTTTGTTCGTTACAGAATAGTGAGACAAATAAACCGGCTACAAATATAATACAGGCACATTACACCGAACAGATATCGACATGGTACAAATAAATAAACATGCACGCCATATATGGCAATGTAAAAATAATTATTGCTTCGAACAGCCATAGTGCTTGCGCACGATTTCTCTCATTGTATTGTTTTAATCTAATATGAAGACTAAAATCCAATCAATGTCACATGAAACCTTGTTGCTTTTGTGGAACACTAAGTTAAGCCTATTTGAAGACCGATCAAATCCTTCACACAAGTAGAGATGGACAATAATGTTTTTTTAATACTAAAACAACTATTACATTCACTAAAGCATATTTTAATTTCATTTTAAAAGAAACGGTTTCAGGCATCGAATTCGCGACTTCTTGTGTAATATACAATAAAACTCAACTCACCACTGTACCATATCACTATAATTTAGCAATTACGAAAAATCGTTTAAAGTCCATCTCTCTCTTGCCAACTTTACATAAACAAGTACACTAAGCTTATCTGCATTAAATAGAATGCATTTTAATTTAAGAACAAATTACGTGAATGATTTCAATGATAAATATACATATTTGTGCTATCAAGAACCAGCTAGAGACAAATTCACACTATGTATATGGAAAAATTGCTATAGTAATAATTAGTTTGGTTAGTATTTGGCGTTACATTATTAAGTTAGCTTGCTGTGAAATCTAATACCAATTACATATATTTCCATAAAATTTAGATATTATATGATAACGTACTGAGACTCACATAAACTTCTTTTATTTGGGACTAAAATTTACACTGATAGGTATATTTCAAAATTTCATGCCAGTTTTTATTTGTTTATTAACAACCTCTAAAATGACAAACACTGTTCAGAATATAGTATACTTGAAGATACAGAAACAGAACAATATAATTATAGTTCCACTCTATCTTTCACAGCAAGTCGACATAATCACTATCAAATGTAAATATTACTTCTATTGGTTCCTATAATAAATATTTTATGAATAAAGAATGAAATCGCTTAAACGTTTAATGATAACAACTTTAGTAAATTATTAAACTTTAGTAAAATTGTATGACACAAAAAACACAGTGAGTGAAAAATTCTGTATATACTTGAATGCGAATCACAAATATACAGTATTGATAACTAATTATTGATATTACATCTTAATATTAGTAAAGTCTATTAGAATTACAAAATTGTCAGTCCCTTACACTTCTAATTTATATTAGGCCCTTATATCGCATTCTCTGGTGAGAGACGATGCATCAACAAAAGTAAAACAATTTCAACAACAAAATTAAATGCATAAAACAAAATAATTTTATAACAAAATAAAATATTTATATAACTAGACAATATTAAGTACGTAAATATTCTGTAAACGTCATTTCATTATCTGAAAGACATCAAATAAATAGAAATACGAATATGTAAAACTTAACTTTTGTACATTTTATTATTGGTGGCAGAAAGGATATGATATGATGCATGCATTATGTTAAAAACAAAGAAAATATAACAACATGTGAATTAAAACTCATTTTGGTATTATTTTCTTAGTGTCCAGATATTTTCAAACCTTTAAATACCACCATATTATGAAGGCACACTTGTGCATAAAGCAATTGTTTTGATTGTAAATATAAAAAAAATATAAATAGAGGTTAATACAAAAAAAAAGAAAAAACCTAAAAAAACACAAGTATGTAAGGTGAAAATATAGGTAATATGCTCAGAAACATTCAACAGTCCAATATCTAATGGCTAATACAGATCAGTCACACAACATACAGTAATGACACAACTGAACACATAGAGATTGCTATGCGATTATATTGAATGCACTTAATAATCTTCATTGACACAGTTCCTAACCTCATTTAGACGGAGGCACTCAGCATCCCGATTTCTATAATCACTTGTTGGAGTTACATCTGAGCTATCACAGTGATGATCCAAGTCTTTCTGGTTGAAATCGTTATGGTGATTTTGTAGAGCATATTGATGCATCCACAGCTGTTTCTCTTCTACCTCTTTACTCACAACCACAAATAGTTCCTTTTCCTTACTGTCTAACTGTTCCTTCAAATATGCTATAAGATCACTACTCTGTAAATAAGAAACGAGAAAATTTTAAATACATAAATAACTGAAAAAATATTTAGTGATAGTATGAAGGCAATGATTTTCACACTAATAAATGCTTATAAAATGGATATATTTTCTTATTTTAAGTGAAGAGTACCTATTAAACTTCAGTAAATTCTTTTAGAACACAATAGGCACAAAATTGATTAATTAAGCTAACTATTAAGAATAGTAAATTGTTATTGTATATTAATTACATGAACCTAAACAATACCTGTATTTTTTTAGTACATTATATATTGACAAGAATATTTACTAACAATATTTACAGAAAATATTCAACATACCCTTCCTATTAATTGAGGACTTTCTAATTTAGAATCAAGATTGTAGAAATTGCCTTGTATTTGTCGAATAGTGATCCAATGTCGTCGCCTTAAAGGTAGCATTACAAAGCCAAGTTTGTAATCTGATGGAACATTGAGAATAAAACCACAAATATTTGATAGATCTAAGCATCCAGGATCCCTAAAAAAGATAAATAATCTAAAAATATCTTTTTATATTATATCCTAATTGTTTGTCCTTTAAATATGTAAAAAAAAATGCACATAATATTGACATGTCAAATCTATCTGAAAATATCCATTCAAATGAATTTATAATTCTTAAAAATATTTAATTTTAAGACAAAATAAAAACTAATTACTTTCTTTTATCAAACCACACAGCCTCACAGCCTTTTTTTTGTAAAGCAGCCATTATGACATTAATATCATAGTTTCCCAGGCCAAGCATAGAACGATGGGGGTTGATCCACACATTGGGGGACAATCTACTACATATCGAGTCCAATTCTGATTTTGAAAATGTATTGCGAGTCTGGAATATACAATATAATTACTAGTAGTAATATAATATTACAATACATTGGTTAAATGACGATTTTTGTATCAATTTTTTTTTGTTAAATATAAAAAAATATAACTACATTCTAATTTTCTTTAAATTAATCTATTTAAAATCGTTTTCTAGATAAAGAGTAGGAAATGATATCATTTTAAAGACGTGCTAATTAAATTCTAATGACCGAAGCAGGACAATTTGTTTACATTGGCTACTCGGCAATTAGTAGACAAATAAGATATTTCACGTAATATAAACAATCATATCGGAATGAAGAACTTACCTGAAATAAATTGTTAAGCGCGTGCAGTGCACACAGCTCTTTTACTTGTTTTTCATGATATATTTGAGGTTTTGAACCCATGTCGTTCAAACTTGTAACATTGTTTGTATTACGGTGTGTAAATATCTTATCAAATTAGTAAAGTAATATAGAATCTCTCTTTTACGATCTTAAATTTTAGATGTAGTTATTCAATTATTCATTTCGCTAAATGTTAAATATTTTTAAATCGGAACAAGTTTTTATCAGCAAACTTGACAATTTTATTGACTTGATGACAGTAAATGTCATAGTGTAAGATGCCATAGATGATAGATGAAGAGCCAGTGAAGCCAGCCAATGAAGAGAAAGTGCTTACTGCCACGGTAATGAAAACGGCTACAGATGTAAACGTAGAAGTGTAAAGAAGCTGGTCCTTTTTAACAATATATTAAGTATTTTGTTATCAATCCCAATATATAAAAATGCAATTTAAATGTATCGTTAAAATAATTTATTATTTTCGTCTATTATTAGACTTTTAATCGTGTCCACGCGGACACGATTAAAAGTCTACTTTGACAAAGTAGTTTTGACGACTCTTGACACAACTTTGATCAAGTAAACGAGCAATCAAAGCGCACTTTGATGTGTCATGTGGACGTTAATCAAAGTGGACTTGGACCGTGGACTTTTCTCAAAGCCTGCTTTGGCAAAGTAGTTTTGATGATTGATCGTGTAATCGAGCAATCAAAGTGCACTTTGACCTGGGCGCTCAATCAAAGTGAATTTGGAGCACATAGAAAATTTCATATCAAAGCTTTTTGTCAAATCAGACATTGAGCGTGTATCCAAGTAAACTATTAAGAAAGCTACTTTGTCAAAACTACTTTGTTAAAGTGGATTGTGAGCGTGTCAACGCGGCGTTAAGAAATAAAATCTTAAGTCATAGATAGTTTTATTTAGTCATCTGTGGTTTCTACTTCTACTTTACTAGCTTATTTGTCATCCATGCTTACTGCTAGTGCTTAGTCTGTGGATACTCCAAACGTAAATACCGCCACAATCGTAAAATTTGTATTTTGTAAATTTTGCATACAAAAGTAGAACTAATAAGTAATAACTTTATTAAAGAATTATTTTCAGATTTTTTTAAACTTATAATGCAGAATTCACTATCGCAACGGTCGAGCAATCAACCTGACGTTGATTTTCTGTCTATAATAGATAAAACTAGTATAAATGAACTTAAAACATCTTTCAGAAGGTTTGACTTGTACCTTTACAAGTACTAAAGAAATAAATTGGTTCTTAGAAATAATTTGATTTGGAATTATACTAAAATATTTTTTGCAGATCCTCTAATTTTATATCCAGAACGATCTTAGATAAAGTATGGCGAGCTAATTCTGAATCACTTAATGAAAGAGCTATTGAACATGTTGTAGATTCTGTAAAGGAACTGCTAGAAGAGTCAGATATAAATAATGCATATAATTGGAATACAACGATAAGGTAAATCTTTCTCAGAAATATTTTACGTGCATGTATATGAACATTCTATCTAAATATATACCAGACATTTTGATTGCTATAATATCTGCCTAATTTCTTTTGTGTAAATATCTTTCTTTTCAGTAGTTTTACTGACCCAATAAAGCTATTTGAAAAAGTTTTGCCAGAATGCAAAAAATGTTTAAATGTTGAGCATACCTCGGTCAAAAATATCAAAGGAAATAGTTGTGTTTGTAACACAGATATTTTAAATATAGAAAAATTAGATCAATATATTAAACCACTAAATTCTGAGAGTAATAGTCAGGAATCAAAATCAGGAGATGAACTTAAACCCTTTAAACCTAAGTTTCGTCCAAAGACAAAAAGAAATATTCCTCTCTCAAAAAACATACAAATAAGAACTAGCAAAGAAAATTATGAAAACATACCAGCAATACCAAAACAAAGTAAAGAATATGATGTAGATGTAGAAAAATTGCACGTGGTTAATACAGACATTGATATGATAGATGAAAATAAAGCACACAAAAGTCAAGTTGCTAAAATAACATTTAAAACAGCTAAAGAGCAACTCTTAGCATCAAATCCAGCAGCACGTAGAACATTGGGAGCTTCAAGAAAGGCACAAGCAAAATTTATTTCGCCAATGCTTGGTGCTCAGTAAGACCTACATATTTTATATATGGAAAATGTTGAATTTTAAAAATGGATGATTATATTTTAAAAATGAGTGATTAAAAATTTATATTGGTAATTTAAATGATTACAGGGAAAAACAAGAAGTCAGTGAACCCATTGTAACAGATGAGAGGCTCAAACATATTGACCCAAAGATGATTGAACTGATTGAAAGTGAAATCATTGATAAAGGAACTCCTATAGGTAATTCAATAATATGGTATATGTATATGAAATAATTCAACTTATATTGTAATGATTGCAGTCTTGGATTGGACACACTTGGATTTAAATCTATTTTTTGATTTTGAGATTTTGATTATGAAATGGTATGATCATAGCTGGTTATCTGGGTAAATATATAGGACATTTTACTGCGAGAAAATATCTTTAAGAAATCTATACTAACCAATGAAAAGTTTCTAGTTTATTATAATAGTGTTGTTATTATTGATAAGGTCCCATAGTCTCTACTCTATAACTCAGGCTTTCCCATCGTTTATCAGTTATATACCGAAAGCAGGACTCATTCACTGCTACATGTCATTTTTTAAACTATGTCAGTAATTTTGGTTGTTTGTCGTAATCTCAAGTCAAAATAAACTGTGCAAAGGGTTTAGATCATAAAATAATAATTATTAAAATGATGTTTCAGGATGGGATGACATAGCTGGTCTACAACAGGCTAAGTGCGTGATTCAAGAAGCAGTAGTGTGGCCGCTACTACGCCCAGACATTTTCACAGGGCTACGCCGGCCGCCTCGCGGGGTTCTGCTCTTTGGTCCACCTGGTACCGGAAAAACGTTAATTGGTAAATTAACTTATAAAACACATCACTCATAAAACTAAACAAGTGGTTGTGGGTTTGATTCCAGCCTGCGCCTGTTTGTTAATGAGATATAGATATTCATTGTGATATAGATGTTATTATTTATATTTAAGACGAGTTGGCAAAGCTAGTAGAGTCGTTAAATGAAATCCGACTGAAGGTATAGTAAAAGATTTTTGGGTTTGAAATATGTATTTTAAATCATTTTTTTTTATATTTTACTTCTAAAATTCAATTGACCTTCCTCAGTAATAATGTAGCCTTTAAAGTGTAACCTATTCGTTAAAAACAATCACAAAAATCTATAATATTTGTGGGGGACTGTTTTAAGGATCATAAATGAAACTCTAAACATTGATTCTTCCTTTGTTTCCTTTCGTGTTGTCTCCTCTATGTCATCTGACGAATGGTACGGAACAAACAAAATTTCGTGTTTTTAAATCTAATTAACAATCTTATTAATATGTTGCTGGACTTCAACTTATTAGATTTGTGTCTCATGAAATAAGAGACACTTGGTGTGTACACTGAGTGTACCATATGATGATGTTCTCCTAGCCGATTCCGGCCACGGCGGCCAATCTCAATGAGATTAGCCAACTGCGCAGGAGATATTATAGTGCTCAAGTGTACGCGCAGACACAAGTGCACTCTCTATTCCTAACACTCTCATACACCGGTGGGACGACCACTCGAAACGACCGGTGAGAGTTAAGGCGCAGGACCGACGGCTTTACGTGCTCTCTGAGGTACGGGGGTGAAACACCGCCAACTTCCCAACTCCGGGCTGTTACTGAGACTTACTATACAGGAAGACTCAATAACTATACTTGGCCTGACCCGGGACTCGAACCCAGGACCTCCGGGTGTGCAGCCGTACATGCTAGCCACTACACCACTGAGGCAGTTTAAGGTGTGTATCATATATAGTGTCTTAGTCTAAACTCTCCTCAATATATTTTATTGTATGTGTGTTTGTGCGTAGGCAAGTGCGTGGCGGCGCAGTGTCGCGCCACGTTCTTCAGCATCTCCGCGTCGTCGCTCACGTCCAAGTGGATCGGCGACGGGGAGAAGATGGTGCGTGCGCTGTTCGCAGTCGCGCGCTGCCACCAGCCCGCGGTCTGCATTTCTTTTTTACAAGTTACACGATCTGATCATTTAATTCTTTTCATTTAATTTATTCTTTGAAATATTCCTATAATGGTTTAAATAATTTTTAATTATTATGTTTTTTTTATTTTCACTCTCATTGGAGCACCTAATGAAATTTTATTTTTGCGAAAAAAAGTAGCCTATGTTTTTCTTCAAGGTCTCAGGTCTCTATGCCGAAATTCATTAAAATTGGTACAATGGCTTAGGTGTGGGAACGTAACAGATAGGCAGAACAGAGTTACATTTGCATTTATATTAGACATTAGTTATAGTTTTAAGTTAAGTCATATTAGTAATACTAGCGACTTACCCTTGCTCCGCTTGGGTGCGTCCCAAGGTACCTTTTGAATTTTGTCAAAACCTACTCCAACACCTCAAAACACACACTCAAAACAAAAATCCTAAAATATATTTAAAATTCAACATGTCCATTTAAATAAAATTTCTAATCTACTTATTGTTTACAGGTGATATTCATAGACGAAATAGATTCACTTCTCAGTCAACGAAGTGACACGGAGCATGAAGCAAGTAGGAGGATAAAAACTGAGTTCCTGGTACAATTTGATGGAGCTGCTACTGGTCAGTCGGGCTTATTGCAATATTAATTCACCTGCCAAACAAAATTCAAAACTAAGTTACCTGCAATTCTGTTTGCGTGTGTGTGCTATTTAGACAAATGTTAAATTGAACAGATTTTAATGGAACCTCCATTGGAACATTGTGTAACTAATGAATTTAAAAAAAATATACATATATTCAAGTAAAACAATGGTAAGCAATGTACGCAGTCCTAACCCCTGAACTAGAAAACTGAGTTTCAAAGGCCTTCCCAAAACAGACGTACATATTCAATGCTCATACATAAATGAAATAACACTTTATAATAAGTCACTCATCACTTCTTTTTATTCAGATTTTTATCTGTTTAATAAAAAAGTATAATCCTTGTAGCTTATTTTACTTATGAACAATAGAAAAGAAGCTCTCGCCTCTCGGCATGGTGGGTATACATCTAGAGCAAGCTTAAGTTGCTCTTCGGTTTGCTCTGGATGTATACCCATTTATACTAACGACTAACGGTAACGAGTTCGGTAATAAATCAAAAGTTTTTTTATTTCAGTCCCGTCAAAACTGTTCAGCCGTTTTTGAGATTAGCTGGAACAAACAGACAGACGAAAATATTAAAAATAGTTTTTTCTTATAAGAACCATATGTACTTTCATATGTGTTTAGTAAAAAACTGTTATATTGACATTACAAGCTCTTCCAATTTTATTAATATGTACATAGTATAGATTTAATGTATCATTATTATGACATTTTATGTTAAGGTGACGAAGATCGTCTACTCATAGTGGGCGCGACGAACCGTCCTCAGGAGTTAGATGAAGCCGCGCGGCGACGCCTCGTTAAACGCCTCTACGTGCCACTACCTGATTTAGATGTTCGTTTATAATTTTTCTAATAATAATAATAATAAAAACTCTTTATTGTAGATACAAAAAGAAACAGTGTGGTAGGACAAAAAAAAACAATATATTGGTAGGAGAATGCACAAGAGGCGGCCTTATCGCTAAAACAGCGATTTGTTCCAGGCAACCTAATATGTAGGAAATAGCAAAGTGTGTAGTGAAAATCGTGGGAACACATAGCTTATTATAGCTCATTTTATTTGTCAAAATAAAATGCTTATCTATGGGTATATACTGTATCACTTCTCCAAGGGTACTAAAAAAAAAAAAAAGCTATCCTCTAGGGTAGGGGATGTTAAATTTAGTATAACTTATCAGTTATATTAATTATGAAATTATAAATTATTAAAGTAGTATAACCTTTTTTTGATTGAACTAAAAATACATATAAATTACAGGCACGGAGACAAATCATTAGTAATCTTCTAAAGAACGAAAACCATGACTTGTCGCCGCATCAAATAGCCGAAATAGCGAACCTGACTGATGGCTACTCTGGCGCGGATATGAAGTCTGTGTGCTCTGAGGCAGCTATGGGCCCCATACGATCTGTTCCTTTGTCGCAGATTGTCACTATAGACCGGGATAAGGTACAAATTATTCGAGGTTCACATAATACTTTCTTAGATTTACGCGAATACTTGACATTTTAAATAAAACTATCTTTTCGGATTTTTTCGCGAATTTATTTTGGTTTTTGGTTTCCGACGTTTCGATTTTTTTGTTTTTTGCTGTAAAGCATTCGAAACGTCGGGAACCAAAAATCAAAATAAATTCGCGAAAAAATCCGAAAAGATAGTTTTATTTAAAATTATTCGAGTTTAAGTAAAGATTTATTTAATTGTCAGTTTTGTGATACATCGTCATTGTTAAGTGTGTGAGCGATCTTGCGACGTGTCATTAAGACAGGGGAGGTTTCGTTGGATTTTAGTGAGTAGTACTGGCTTTTCTAGCCGGCGAGTCCCACTTAACCACCTGTATATATGCTATTCGTAAATGCATTTCCCAACATATAAAAAAAAGATTTGTGATGCTATTATTTTGCATGTAACGAAATTTAGTTTTCCCTTTAGGTTCGATCTGTTAATGTGCAAGATTTCAAAATAGCACTTCAGCGAGTGAGACCAAGTGTATCGCCAGATGATCTCGGACAATATGTAAAGTGGAATAACACATATGGTCAAGGATTTTAAATGAACCTACTACTTCTTAATAAATATTTTTGTAATAATCTGTTTTCTTATTCTGATACCCAACTAAAAGTCAACTTCTTATATTAAAATATAAGTACCTATAAGCCATAGAATAAAGAATTGAATTGAAAATATAAGCATTGAGTTAGTTTATATCGAATAAACGTCCGGCATCCAGCCAGACGCGAATCCAAGAAACCCCGCCTCGCAGCGTCAAAACCAAAATTACCGCCAAAATCACCGTTAAAAATTAAAGTTACATAACGAGAAGGTCCTTTCAAACCATGTCTTTGGTATGCATTATATCTGAACATGTATAAAAATCTTGACGGCTATAGGTTGCCCCACTCGATTGTTTTGGACGATTTTTTTTTAAGATAAATTGGCCACATGTTTGTTCTTTAGAACGCCACATAGGAACAAACATATATAGACTGATAAACATATAAGCCTCCTTTGCTTCGTGCAGTTGATAAATATAGAAAACTTAACTGCGTCGGTGGTGTAGTGGCTAGCGTGTACGGCTGCACACCCGGAGGTCCTGGGTTCCAGTCCCGGGTTGGGCCAAGTTTAGTTATTGAGTCTTTCTGTATAAGTAAGCCTCAGTAACACCCCGGAGTTGGGATGTTGGCGGTGTTTCACCCCCGTGCCTCGGAGAACACGTAAAGCCGTCGGTCCTGCGCCTTAACTCTTACCGGTCGTGTCGAGTAGTCGTCGTCCCACCGGAGTATGAGAGTGACAGGAATAGAGAGTGCACTTGTGTCTGCGCGTACACTTGTGAACTATAATACCTCCTACGCAGTTGGCTAGTTTCAATGAGATTGGCCGCCGTAGCCGGAATCGGTCAGGAGAACATCATCAAATATAGAAACCAAAGACGTTTTGTATCTGTGAATGTTTGTAATATTTTTGACATTACAATTTTATTTGTCATCCATGATTACAATGTTTTGAATTTCTATTTTTGACATAAAAGCGAAAGACAGGTGACCCGTGACATTTAGGTAGAAATTAGAAGATGTAGTTGGCGGGAATGAAAACTTCATAGAATTGATTTTTATGTAATAAAATATGAAATTTAGTTGTATGGGACGTGATTGTGAATTTTATTTTTGGTATTTTAATTACAATATCGATAATACTTAAAATGGATCAAGAAAATAGAATTGTTGCATTGATTGATATGGACTGTTTTTATTGTCAAGTGGAGGAAAAACTAAATCCTGAATTAAAAGGGAAACCTATAGCTGTTGTGCAATATAATCCATGGAAAGGAGGCGGGTAAGGACGAGAAGTTTTACCATTTACTTAAATATAAATTAATTTTATCAGTAGATTTATATAAAGATTGTGTACCTCTAAAATATACACTTTTAGAGGTATTTACTTGACCTTCATAAAGTTTTCATTTTCGGACTTCAGAATAATTGCTGTGAATTATGTGGCGAGAGCCATGGGCGTTAGTAGACACCATAGAGGCAACGAAGCTAAAGAAAAGTGTCCTGATATACAACTGTGTTCAGTGCCATGTCTGAGAGGAAAAGCTGATATTTCAAAGTAAGGGCATATATTTAGATAGCAAAAGATAAAATTTTATTATTAATGCATCATATTTCATAAAATTGCAAATAAACTTTAATAATACTGTTTTGAATATCAGGTATAGAGAAGCAGGTAAAGATGTTGCTAAAGTGTTGCAAAAATTCACACCATTATTAGAGAGAGCATCTATTGATGAAGCCTATTTGGATATAACAGCTGCAGTAAGTTTAATACATTTTTTAAGTGATAAATTAAAACATAATTATTATTCATAGATTTCAATTTATATTATTTATTTTTATTTTAGGTACAAAAAAGACTCCAAACTCTAAATGTACATACAATAACCAGTGATATGACACCTAATACTTTTGCTTTAGGATATGATACTTTCGATGAATTTATGTCTGATGTTCACAGCTGTAGTTCAGATTTTATTGACTTTGATTATGAACACTCTAAGCAATTACTCGTAGGAACTTTAATAGTGAGTGAGATCAGAGCTGCAGTATATGAAGAAACAGGTAATTTGTTTTTGCTAAACAGATGTGGTAAATGACTTGCTTTTACATTAGTTTTAAAAAAATGCTGAACATGTTATTATTGAAACAAGAATAAAGAAAATTTATTTGCAGCAGAATTAAGTTAAGACGAGACAAGTTAAGACTTGTAAAAGTCATTATATTCAAAAACTAGCATAGATAATGAGTGTTAATTCTTATAGGATTAAAATTGTTATGTATTTGTATAACTGCAAATAAATAATACATATTTTTAGGTTATACATGTTCTGCTGGAATAGCTCATAATAAAATATTGGCCAAACTTGTCTGTGGAATGAACAAACCAAACAAGCAGACAGTGTTGCCCAAGCAATCTGTGAACATTCTCTATAAGTATGTTTTTATATTTACAAAATATAAATACAATATATTATATCAATTGTTAATTGATAATCAAAATTGAAGCTAAGTTTTGTTATATTTTAAATACTTTTTCTTTATATAAACATTAATGTTATCAATAATTATTTTTAGGACTTTGTCCATAAAGAAAGTCAAACATCTAGGTGGTAAGTTTGGTGACCATGTTTTACAAATATTGAATATTAAAACGATGGGAGAATTACAGCAGTTTTCTGAAAAGGAGCTACAAACTAAATTTGATGAAAAGAATGGGTAAAGTATAAATATATTATATTTATTATATGTAGTTATTGTATTTCATATTATCAATTCTTTACCATTTAAATAATCTTATATTTATAGATTTGTCAAAAAAAAATGGAATGAAATTTAAAACTACATTTTTTTCAGTTTATGGCTGTTTAATGTAGCTCGTGGCATTGATTTAGAGCCAGTACAGGCCAGATTTAACCCTAAAAGTATTGGTTGTTGTAAGCAATTCAAAGGGAAATCTGCTTTAACAGATGTAGATAGTGTTAAAAAATGGCTGAAAGATTTAGGTGATGAAATAGAAGACAGATTAGAGAAAGATTCATTAGAAAATAATAGAACACCCAGACAGATGGTGGTCAGTTTCTCAATCCAACTTCCAGACGGCAGGGACTCTTGCAGTTCCAGATCACACAACTTTGTTACTGATGATGATTTGTGTGGTGAATTTTTTTGGACCAAGTCTTTTGAACTGTTGATGGAAAGTGCTGAGGGATGTAAGCCAAAAGGTTAGTTTTATTTTTAAAATTTATTCACCATGATAATATATATTAAATTTTATTTCATTAATTATATTCTTTTTAAAATAATAGTACAAGTAATTGTTTACAGAAGTCGAAAGTTATAGAAGATTGAAGGCGCCAATCAAATTTCTTGGTATAAGTGTTGGAAAATTTGAAGATCATTCCGAGAGTAAAAAAACGAAAAAGATCAAAGATTATTTCACTGCTGGAACTTCTAAAGATGTTACTAAAACTAACGAGCCTACAACGCAACATACTGTTAAAGAAAGTAGTGTAAAAATTAAAACTCAAGGAAAAGATTTTAAAGCAAGTGATGAAACTGAAATTGATGTAATAAATGATAAGGTCACTTCAATAGAAAATAATCAAGAGAAAACTATAGAATTGCCATTAGATAAGCAAGAATCATTCTTTGCCAGATATTTGAATGGTGGTCTTGCGCATACTGAAACAAATCATTCAAATAAAGTAACCAAGGAAGAAATAAAAGAAAGTAAATTACAAACTGAGGTTAATCGTTCCACTACGCCAATTTGTAACGTAATACCGTGTGGTGAAGACAGTAACGACACTATATATTCAGGATCGACGATAGACGAAGAAATAAACAAAAGCATAGCTCTATTCGAAGAAGACCCCAACGAGGTTGCGAGGGTTAGCCACATGCGGGAAATATTGAAAAGATCTAATCAAGCAGAACACATGGAAGGTATTATTAGGCCACAGCCAGAAATACAATCAAAGACAGTTCCAAACCCTAAATCTCATTCTGAAGATATTCCACCTAAAGTCAAAACACTTGAAGCTATTGTATGTCCCGAATGTGGTAAAGCAGTGTCTGTGAACACGCTTGACGAGCATGCGGACTACCATTTGGCGCTTAAACTACGAGAAGAAGAGAGACAGCAAGTACGAAAAGAAAGAGATAAAGATAGAACAGTTTTAAAAGAACCTAACACAAAAGATACTAAAAAGAAAGTTGTACAAGATGAGCAAAAACTGGATAGTATACCGTCAATTTCTAATTTCTTCACGAAACTTGATGATAAAGTACCAACTAAGATGTGTATGGAGTGCGGTAAAAAGGTGTTTGTGGATAAATTTTCTGAACATCTAGATTTCCATGAAGCTCAGAAATTAAGTAGGGAGTTAAACAATAGAACTATGACAAGTTCCACTACCAGTATTAAGAGGAAAAAGAAGTCAGCATCACCAGTTAAAAAGGCAAAAGTACCCTGTAAATCAATAGATCTTTTTTTCAGATGATATATTATTTTAATGTAGGTTTATAAAATAGTTATTAATGTAAATAAATAAGTTGTTTTTTTTATTTATATTTGTACAAATCATTACAGCATTAAAGAATTTTACTATGAAGGCTAAAATTTATTTATTGGAATGATACACCTTAGTCTTATTATAATGACAAAATAATCTATACATATAATAAAATTCTAACTAAGCCGAATCTGTACATTAGATATTTTTTGGAAAATCTTATTAAAATAGACATTATTTTCGATACAGAGGCTGAATCAATCGTTTTTAGAATTTTGTCTTAGACGTAGAATTTGTCTGTCTGTTACCGCATCACGGAAAAACCACTGGAGGGATTTTGATGAAATTTGGTATGGTGATAACTGGTTATCTGTGTCAACATATAGGATACTTTTTACCGCGGGAAAATCTCATTTCTGAGATAAAATACAAAAACTGCAATGTAAGAATTTACTAATATAAAAAACCTAAGGTAATCTGAACGCGGGCGGAGCCGCGAGCAATGCTAGTTATTGTATTAACATGCAATTCTGTACAATTCGCCACCGATTACATTATTTGTTACATGATGCAAAATATAGAGTAGTATTGGAACAGTTACATGTACACTATTTTCTCTCTCACTCACAATATTTTCCTCCACCGTAAGATAAGTAGTAATCATGTTGAAAATGATTTGGACATGAAAATATCCCAGGTGCGAGACTCTGGATTTGAACCTGCTTCACTAGGTTAAGGGTTTCCCACGCGATCGCGTTACTAGGCTACCGCTGCCTGTAGTGAGTAGTCTGCAACTGCATGGTAGGAAGTTGATTCTTCTAGGGGATGCATATTTGAAGCTACTACGTACGAGGGTGCGTTTTTAAGTTCGCGGAATGAGAGGGTTGGAGGCGGGTGATTAGGCTCATTAGGATCGTAACGTGTTTAGTGACTCATAATTAGTATAAATACTACTGTTATTGGACTATTAGTCTTTGAGCTATTGCCAACCAAGCAACATAATCAGGAGTAAAAAGTGAAATATGGAAAAAATCGAATATCGTGCCGTTATAAAGTTCCTTGCTAAGCAAGGAAAATCAGTTGCAACCATAATGGATGAGATGTCATCGGTTTACGGTGACTCTTGTCTAGGAAAAACCATGGTGCACAAGTGGCACAGTTTGTTTAAAAAAGGAAGGGAATCCCTTGAAGACGACCCGAGGCCGGGCAGGAGCATCGAGGTGACCACGCCAGAACTTATCCAAAAAGTCGAAAAACTTGTAATCGACGATGCTCGACTAAAGAAGAAACAACTCGCAGAAATGGTTGGAGTATCCAATACAACCATTTTTAAAATCCTGAACAATCATCTTGGCATGACTAAGGTCAGCGCAAGATGGGTACCGAAAATGCTCACGCCGCCGCAAAAACAACAACGCGTAGAGTGTTCACGTGCATTTTTGGACCTCTGCAATAAAGACAAGGATGGTGTATTGAGTCGAATTGTTACTGGAGACGAAACTTGGGTTACTCATTATGAACCTGATTCGAAACAAGACTATGCAGTGGCATAAGGGCACAGCACCCCCCAAGAAGTTTAAGGTGTCACAGTCAGCTGGGAAACTCATCGCAACGGTCTTTTGGGACTCTAGAAGCAATATTATTGATCGATTATAAAGATAAAGGTGTTTCTATAACCGGAGAATACTACCCTTCAATATTAGAGCGACTAACAGAAGCCATTAAACAGAAAAGACGGGGAGAATTAACGAAAGGTGTGCTGCTTTTGCACGACAATGCGCCCGTCCACAAGAGCCGCGTTGCGTTGGCTGCCCTGCTTAAAGTGGGCTTCGATATTTTGAACCACCCACCCTACAGCCCAGACCTGGCCCCGAGTGATTATTACCTCTTTCCAAAAATGAAAGAGCTGCGGGGTAAAAAATTTACCACCGATGATGAAGTTAAGGAGGCAGTTTCAGCGTATTTTGAGGACAAAGACAAAACATTTTTTTATGAGGGTATAAATAAATTGAAAGATTTGAAAAATGTGTCCGTCTTGCAGGTGAATATATTGAAAAGGAAAAATAATTTGGTTTTTTTATTTCAACCCCTTACCCTTCATTCCGCGAACATAAAAACGCTCCCTCGTACCTATTTGGAATTTATACAAAGTTGAATGTCATTAATGAAACTAAAAACAAAATTGGTTCTAAATGCTACCCTTGTGGTCCTGATGTAAGAAAATGTACAAAACTCGTGTTGAAAACAAGAGATGGTGATTAGTGTTTTGTTAATACTGAGACTATTTTTTTCAGTGAGATTATGCTTATAATTTTAATATAGCATTTTTCACCCTTTTTGTAAATGGGAAAAATGTTTAGAAGATATAGTTTCCTTGTTTGAAAAACTAGCTATAATTTTTCATATCATGTAAGTATAGTAAAATTTCAAATGTTACTTGATGAATGAATACAAAATCCATAATAACTTGTTGTTTTCTAATTAATAATAATAATTATAGGATTGCAAATTTTTTCAAGGTCAACTTTCTCTTTGTTCCTATATTCATATTTGTTACTTATTCTTATTGAGTTTTATCAAAAAATATTTTTAATAATTATTTAGAATAAATAAAACTAAATATAGATAAAACTTCACAGTTTATTAGATTATGTCATATTACATATTGTGGATCTCTGTCTGAACTTTCCTCCAAGAGTCTAGAGGTCCATGTTCGGGACGGTAGCGCACATTGCAGCCATCATTGGCAAGACGGCCATCTTCACGCAGCTTCTCGAACTCCTCACGCTCGTACTTGGTGAAGCCCCATTTCTTGGAGACATAGATCTGGAAAATTTATGTTTATACAATTATTATAATAATATGACATTCAATTTTTTTAAACAGAAAATTTTATCTATATTATTTAACAATACAGCCTACAATGAAGAACAAAATGCTTGAATTTAACTTTTAAACATTCACCTAATAATAAAGAAATAAATATGTATGATACTTAGATTTATGCAAATATTTGACATTTTGGACTATTTTGAGACTCACTCTCCCATGACCATGATTGCTGTAAAGCATTCGAAACGTCGGGAACCAAAACTCAAAATAAATCCACAAAATAATCCGAAAAGATAGTTTTATTTAAAATAAAAATGTATGAATTTATTCAATGAAAATATTTGCTTCCTTTTATCTTTTTCTTAAAGGCCTACCAAACTGCACAGAGACCAAGTTTAAAGAGGCTTATGTTAAACATTTTAACTCACTAATGATATACAAATACCATGAATATCTGCGCATATAGTATGCAGGGAAAAGTTGAAAAATGCAAAATTGCTTGTATTCATTTTGAGATAAAAGAGCAACAAGCACTCATCAACAGGATATAAAAAAAGCTGTTTGCTTAGGCTCTTTACACACCTTCTGGCGACCAGGGAACTTGAACTTGGCACGACGCAGAGCCTCGATAACTTGCGCCTTCCATCTGTCACTGGAGCGCACTGACATGATGGGTTGTCCAATACGCACACGAGCTACGGTTCCTTGTGGTTTACCGAAAGCACCTCTCATTCCAGTCTGGAGCCTGATATACAAAAGCAATTGTTTAAGTAAATAAAAGAAGAAAGGAATAATACAAAAAATTGAGTTATCATTATCATTAGGTCATTGATACAAAATATAAAGAAATATTTATGACTGGTAAAGACAAGGTTGCGCCGTGAGTGAGCGACTTTATGCATCGCGTAGTTTTAGGAGCGGGGGATGCCGGACGACGCTATAAAAGCTGCGGATCGCTGGACGCACAAAAAAGAACGACTTTAACTCACGTTACGAAACGCTGAATATATTGTCGGGTTACCACTCTGTGTAGTCTTACTTATCTAATAAACCAATTAAGTACAGTCCACTCTTTAATTATTATAGGGTGGTCAGTTGTCCCTATCACGAAGTGTCCAGGGCACTGTCCCCATCAATGACACAATAATTCAAATATTTATATTATATAGTTTTCTAATTTGCTTCAAAAAAGATCATAATCATGATATTAATAAATGCACATGCCTATACTGAAACCTAATCATATGATAAATACTTAGTAAACATTTGAAAGTCATGATTACAATTTGCAAGAACCAAAACAGTGACTAATGCAATAGGTGACAAAAGTAGACTTATGATTTCAGTGAAAATTAATATTAAAATTATACACTTATCATATTTATTCATCTCTATATCAACTTATATTCAAATTTATTGATAATAGTCTCATAATGAAAATGTAGGCACCATGAATTATAAACATTGAAATAAGAGGAATACTTTGAATATAATATATTTTTATTCAAGTAAAAAGTGTACTAACCTATCAGCTCCAGCGCACGATAACATTTTGTTGATGCGGATAACGTGGAATGGATGCAACCTCATGCGGATGTGGAACTGATCTTTACCGCAGTTCTTAACGAGGTACTTGTTGCAGCAAATACGTCCTGCTTCAAGTGCCTCAGAGCTAAGTTGCTCATACTCATCAGACACCAGATGGACACATAGTGGGAAGTCATCTACAGTGGCCCTCTTCTTTCCCAAGTCAAAGATACGGATTTTAGGATCTGGTACACCACGACAAAACCGCGATTTTGGGTACGGTTTGTTTTTACAATACCGATAGCTAAAAGTAATATCGAAGTATAAGTATAATTAGGCAATCACTAACAATTTAACAAAATCTTTAAAGTTCACGATATTTACCATCTTGCTGGACGGCGCCCCATTGTGACCTGAAATAATTAAAATGCTACACTTAAAATAGCTTAGAGAATATATTTATTTAATAACACATTAAAAAAATACTAATTGTATTAAGATTTTTTGAGATTTAAATCATAAAAATAATAAAGCACCTACACAAAGTGACACCGACACCTAGCAAAAGAATGTTGACAACCGGAACTTCAGCGGTCTATATATAATACAGATATAAAAAAATTATGTCATAAGATTGTGTGCATGACATATCCAATAAAGCACCAAAGCGCATCATGCGGCATAATGCTCAATTTCGAATTTCTCAACTACAGCAACGCTCCGCAAATCGAGCACTTTGAAAAGTACTGCTTTAGCGTGACCAACCAATTCAGTAGTTAAAATACAAGAAGTGGTCTTTCGCGTTTTTCGTGTTTATACGCCACATTTTTTAAAATTATTACAATATACAGACAAACATAATTAGGAATAAAATTATATTTTGCATTAACAACAATAAAAGCATCAAAATAACAAAGATGTATCAACAAAATTTCATAAAATACAAATCACTATGTACACAGGTTATTATTTACTAAATTGCAGTATACGTAAATAGTTGAGATTTTAAATACTGCATATTTCTTAGCTACAGAAGTCAAAAAAAATATTAACTTTTTCAACCCATTACACTTCACTCTGTTTTTAAGTACTAAATTCATATCATTTCCTACACTAGCGCTATTTCGGTGAGTGTTGGAACAATACTTTACTGTTTACAAGTAGACACTTTTTCAACTAATCCCCCCAAAAAGACGGTCCTCCTTACTTCTACCCTCATATGATGACAAATAAAGATAGATTAAAAAAAATAAATGACTGTCAATTGTCAAGTCTGTCAAACTCAAATCACAATTAATTGCAGAGTATAGATATATACTGATTAATTGTTTTCTATTCTTCATCTGTCAATACGTGCATGTAACTACGAAATATTCATTGCAAAAAACTAATATATTCAGACCAAAAACATACACGTCCAACAAATAAAATGGGAATTTTGGCCAGTAGGCAACATGCTGGGGTAGAAGAAGCAGATGTAGTTTCCAATCTAGCTTACAAATATCCACCTAGATCGGGTAGGTCTGACCTCTATTATTATTCCATTGATTATTTTCTTTTGTACCTTTTTAGTATATGTCGAAATAGTAAATGATAAATTTATTCTTACGGAATGTTATTAAAACCTTAAATAGAAGGTAAAAAACAATATTTTTATGGAAAGTTTTATTATTTTTTGTGTATCTTATTAGGCTATACTATGTCTACTTATTAGCCTTGTTTTTATCTAATTGGAATTTTATCACCAGTTTGTGTATTCTTATAATGCAGCATTTTAATGGGAATTTCTCTATGATTGTTATTGACATTTGTCATAAAAACTCAATACTTGTATTGTTAATTATATTATTCTTGAATTATACATTTAGGTAATTACTTTGGAAGTCATTTTATAATGGGAGGTGAGAGGTTTGACACACCCCAACCAGAAGCATATTTGTTTGGTGAAAATGCTGATCTTAACTTTCTGGGCAGTAGACCTACACCAGTATGTATTACTTATTAAAATATTTCCAGTATGTAAGTCATAAAAATTAAGATTTAAATTCAAAATGCAAAGTAATGTAATAATTTACTTTATGTATGATATCAATTAATAATTTTTTTACAGTTTCCATATCCTCCACCACAATCAAATGAGCCAACGAAAACCTTAAAAAGTCTTGTTAACATTCGTAAAGAGTCACTTAGATTTGTTCGTTGCCCAGAACCTGTTGGCAAGATAAATGATACAAATAAAATAGGTGATGGAATTGTGAAATCTGTAGAATGTAATGGCAAAGGTTCCTACTACAACATTGAGTTCACATTTGATTGTGATGTTCGTTGTGCCATAACAATTTTCTATTTTTGTACTGAAGAAGTTACACCTACTGGAGTTGTGTAAGTGGTCACACTTATGATGTATTTTTTTATACTTAGTTTGTATATCTATACTAATATTATGAATAGGTAAAGTTTGTCAGTTTGTGACGTTGTAGAGGGTAATGTCTGGATCTACTGAACCGATTGAGATGAAATTTGGTAAGAAGATAGTTTGAGACCCTGGGAAGGACATAGGATACTATTTATCCCGGAAATTATCCCTCAAAGGGGTGAAAATGAGGATGAATGTTTGTATTGGCAAGCAAGCCAGGGACGAACCCAAGCGAATCGAGGGTGAGTCGCTATTTTTAATAAATTAAAATGTGGAGAATATTTTTTTATGTATAATTTTTTATAGATACTATCCTCGAGACCCTTCGATTACATCACAAACCTATCATTACAAAAAAGGAGCTAACCAACAATTTTGTCAGATATCTCATGTGTTTGACCCTTCAAAGCATCCTGAAGAGGATTTAATGTATAATGCTGATAAAGAGATAATACCCGTTGCTATATATTGTGTAGTTGATGAAGGACAAGATGGTGTGTATTAAAACTTGCTGTTTTATAAAATTTACCTTGTAATGTAATGATAATAATTATTAAAAAAAGTTAAATGTCTATTTATTATTATTTATCACAAAGGCCGTGGTAGCCCAGTGGTAACGAGCTTGCTTGGGAAACCGAGTGAAGCGAGTTCAAATCCCGGGTCTCGCACTTCTGATATTTTCATGTGTGAATCATTTCCAACATGATTACCACTTGTCTTAACGGTGAAGGAAAACATCGTGAGGAAACCTGCATGTCTTAGAGAACTTAGCAAGTTTTCGAAAGCCATGTGAAGTCCGCCAACCCGCACTCCGCACACAACGCCAGCGTGGTGGACTATGGCCTGACCCCCCCTTGTACTGAAGGGAGGCCCGCGCCCAGCAGTGGGACGTTAAAAAGGGCTGAATACAAATGTCTATTTTAAATAGCATGTAAAAAAAACATTATTATTTGCTGTTCTTTCTTTGCCTTTAAAAAAATAGAAAACAAAATAATGCTTTATGTGGCATGTTGTTTAGAATTTATGTGGTGTCACTAGCTTTGTCCTGTTTGTTAATTTAGGGTAAAAGCTATATTTTTATATTTAAAAGTAACAAATACAAAGATAAGCTTATGCATTTTTATATTTAGATAATAAATTTTGTTCTCATTGCAGAAATACGGCAATCACACACTACTATAGCTGTTATAGAAAAACATTCAGATGGAACATATGTGCTAAAGGCTCTTAAACAGAAACTATTTGTGGATGGACTTTGCTATCTGTTGCAAGAGATATATGGCATTGAAAACAAGAATTTAGATACTAAGGTAATTTTCATAGTCATTTTTTTAATTTTGTTTTCCAGTCCACTGTAAGAGTTTCCAGTACACTGTAGAATATTTATCAGATATCATTAATATTTGTGCACTACACATGTATGTAATTGGTTTAAAACCTATTTGATTTTTTGAAGCCATTATAAATTAAAGGCATATTGAGTGAGCTCATTTACTATTGTTTAATTGTGAGGATTCTTGTAGTTGTGTTATTATTCCTATTTATTTATTTTTTGTCGGAGAGAATATTGCTTAAATAAAAATACACCATCAATGCAATCATTTACCATCTGCAAGTGTCGAACCTGCTATATCCTGAGTAGTATAGATTAAGTATAACTTGATTAGTGTTGGCGTTTATACTTCCAGCCAAGTTCTGATGAAGAAACAGAAGATGGCGGATCTGAATGTGTAATATGCATGTGCGATGTTCGCGACACACTAATCCTGCCGTGCCGCCATCTTTGCCTTTGCAACTCCTGTGCAGATTCACTGCGATACCAAGCTAATAATTGTCCTATTTGCCGGGCACCGTTCAGAGCCCTACTACAAATTAGGGCTCTCCAAAGAATCACTAATCCCTCGATGCCGTCTGCTCCAAGTCCACCAGATGTGAGTTTGTTAGATACTACATCATTATACTACCTTTAATAGTTGTAATTACTGATGAAAGTAAAGTATACTTTTCGAATAATAATAATTTAGCTATGGAAAAGACCAACACTTTACGATACCAAGAATTTAAAAAAAGATGCCGACAGTCCCTCCATACAAAAATATATGATTGACACTGGCTAAACCTTAAGAGATACATTAAAACAATGTACTAAAAAATTATAGGTCTTAAATAAGGCCCACAGACAAATCTGCAATAGCATATGTCTTTCTCCTAATAAGGTACACTCGCAAGAACTATTAATATCTATTTAAAAATTACCTAGATGTATATAGTACCCGATATGGATGTCACTAGTTATAAGATAAAGTGTTTTGAATGAGTATGTTCACGGTCCGCAGGGCAGCATGGAGAACATCCCGGCGGGTTACGAGCCGGTGTCGCTGATCGAGGCGCTGAACGGGCCGCCGCCGCCGCGCGCGCGCGCGCCGCCCGCGCCCGCCATCGCCAGCCCCGACACCGACACCGCCTCGCAGGTAACTTCTTCTTATTCTTCTTTATCTTCTTCATAAATTACTTTTGTGGGGTAAGCATATATAATCAGCAAATGGGGCATATTAATATACTCTTTTTAAGGTATCTTAGCTGAGCCAAAGAGCTAAAATGAAACCATTTTAGTTTCGATAAGTTTGTCTATCTGTTTGTCATAGCCGCTTTACTGAGACTATCGTATTTCAGTGAAATTTGATATATAAATTTTCGTAGGTGTACAAAAAAAAATTGTAAAATAAATAAATGGAATGGTAATCCATACATGTAACGGACTGGTGAACAATAATTGAGTCTACTTAAACGTGTGGGGTATATCTTCTGATAATGTTGTTAAATTTAAAAATAGGTTGAATTAATTAATGACTTCGTTTTAATTGAGCTTATATAATTAATATTTGTATGAACTGGTCAGTATAAGATGTATGTATGTGTGTGTGTGCAGGCGGCGGAGGTGCTGAACCGCTGCAACCTGGAGCGCAGCTCGTCCACCAGCCTGGGCAGCGCCGGCAGCCGCAAGCCGGCGCCCGCGCCCGCGCCGCACGCGCCCCTCACGCCCGAGGTTCACACTCTTGACCTCGACTTGCATTATATACTTTATACAAAATATACCAACGTGTATTAAAGTACTTTTTTTATTAATATAAGTTAAAATACTTCCGTATGAAAAATATTTTTATAATCAAAATCATCTAAACGTAAATACACAAAGAAATAGAATCGATTTGTATATTTAGGTAATTATAAAATTATATTTAAGTGATAATTCCCTTAGTATTAATACTTATTATATAGACATCAAAGACATCTGTGCACAGATATACAATGTTGTGCTTATGTTTCTCATCAAATCTCGTCAATATGAATATCGCATACACAAACACAACCACACATACACAAATATATCTCATACACGCGAATAGAATAAAAAAAAATTAATATTAAAAATGGGTTATAACTATGAGTTATGACCAAACACTAATCTCGTCAGCCCTATAATATTGGTATAGACTAGCGACTACTCTCGTGCGCTTCGTTTCATCACTAGACTAAAACAAATATATCCCACGGGAACCGTACATTTTTCCGGGATAAAAAGTAACCATTTGCTATTCTAAACATAGTCTATCTCTGTGCCAAATTTCATCCAGATCAGTTCAGCCGTTCTGGTATGAAAAAGTATAAACATCCATTCTCACAAACTTTTAATATTTATGATATTATTATAGATAGACTAGCGACCTAGCTTGATTCCCCATACAAAATATTATCTCCATTTTCACGCCCTTAAGGGATGATCCCTCTAGGGCGTGAAAGGAGATGATTCTGTCGTTCTGATGATTGTTTCGAGATAAAAAGTGTCCTATATCCTTCCCAGGGTTTCAAACTATCTTCTTACCAAATTTCATCTAAATCGGTTCAGTAGATCCAGGGATTGCCCCCTACAACGTCACAAACTCACAAACTTTACCTTTTTATAATTTAAGTACAAATATAATATTTTAATGAACGAACTAACAACATAACGCCACAACGTTGCAGTTCCGCATGTCGGTGCTGCTGGCACGCGAGGAGGAGAGCGCGCGCGCGGAGAAGGCGGCCAGCCCGCTGCTCAGCGCGCGCCGCGTGCGGCTGTCCAAGGTAAAAAAGACACAAAAAAAAACGTGTGTGTACATATGTACACACGTAAGAAGTTATACTTCTTTGGCGTAACTGAACAAAAATAGCTAAAGATTTCATCACGTACATATGTCACAATTCTCTGTTTTCAAAAGGAATGCAGCTAACTTCATCACATCGCTTTCAGCTAACTTCGTCATGTCGCTTTTTGGCTGTATGTATCACATCGCGCACAGATCGCGCATCGAAAAATTTCATTCTCATAATTGTTTCCAAACGTGCCTAAAGAAGTATAACTTTAAAAACTTGAAAACTGTTGCATATGTAGAGGTGTTGGGTTTGAGTCTCGGGTCGGTCCAAGTTTAGGTTTCTATCAAGATTTTGGTATTTTATGTCTAGAAAATATTTAATGTACAGATTTGACTTAGTTACAATTTTATTATTATATGTATACATATACAGTTGAGATAATTTTCCCTAGTATTACATAATTTATTATTTTTATACATTTACTAATACTATGACACATGTATGATATATAAAATAGATTATATTAATGCTTCGAACATGTACGCGTAGAGTTCGCTGAACTCGGAGACGCGGTCGGAGGAGGAGGCGGAGGGCGCGGCCGACGCGGAGCCCGACAGCGACGCAGAGCGCCGCTCGCCGCTACTCACGCAGCTCACCAATGGAGTACGGTTATAATATTGTTATTTTATAATACGCATTTATTTTATAAATCAGTGGGCCACGTCAAAATTTTGAGTTTTTTTTAATTTCAAAAAAAAAATTCTTTTATAAGCTCAAATTCTACCTCCAACCTAAGAAAAAAAAACAATTTGTTTTACTCCACCTAATGTATATACTATACTCAGGTACTGAAGTCCCCTCCTGCCAACGGCGTGGCGGCGGGCGCGGAGGCGCTGGCGCACATCGACGACACCGACACGGACGAGCCCGACCAGCCGCCGCTCTGTGAGTTGCACATCATATTGTTTTTTTTTGTAACTGTCAAAAATTTTAGAAAGATGTCGATATCGGTTTTAAAATTTAAAAAAAAGAATAATTATTTTAGTAATATATGTAATCTTTTTTTTCTGTGCAATGTAATATTGTATACATACATTAGTAGATTATTATATATATGTATATATATATATATATATATATATATATATATATATATATATATATGTATTTTTATTTTTTAGATTAGCCTTAAGAAATACTTTTTCTAATTTTTAAAAGTAATATTAGTAAATATGTGAAATATGGCACGGTCTTATATTTTAATGTGAAAACTGATTGGCTTAAATAGTACGAACATTTTTATTAAAATTATAACATGCAACAAAATGTAATGTAAGGATTATAGATATGACATACAAAAAAAATTTGAATTCAATTTGCAAAAATTTTTATATATAAACATTTATTGTATATTTTGTTTCCAAATAAAACAATCTGTGGGTAAGGAATTGCTTTAATACATAAACGCTTTTTAATGTAGATTGTGCATTTTAAAGGTAATGGTGATTTTGTTATATACTCGTACGTCGATAGATATGTATGTAGATAGAAAAGCAAATAGCTTTAGTAAAGCTTTAAAAGTACGTTAATGTATTGTTTTCGTTTATGGTGCGATTTCTATGATTGAAAACTAATTACCATATATATTTTAGGTTTTTTTTGTGTCTTTGTGGTGTTTATTTTTGAGGGTAGTGATGTGATAGTGTGTTGTTCATTCTATGGTATGGTTTCTATTTTACACCATAAGTAAGATACGTGTATATTGGGTGACAGGAACGAACACCGCTCCTAATTAAACCTATTATTTACTTACCTGCATGGTTCGATCGTAGGTCTGTGAAACATACACAGATCACTAAAATTGATTGTCAAAATGACTTATATGACTAATATGTATAATCTCAAATTTAGGACCTTTGAATTCGTGTTCTCGAGCGAAGAACGGATTATACGCTACACAATCGTCAGTGAAATAAACGTAATTAGATTTTGTTCTTTGTTATTTTCGTAATTAGTTTTGTTTTTGTTATACTGTATTATGTTTTAATTTTTTTAGGGTAACTTGTAAAGTGGAATCAAATAACACTAGGTTTACTTGTGTAGTATAAAAATAATAGGTAATTGCGTGTAAAATATTAAATTATTCGAAAGATGATTGCTTTCATAGTCCATATATAGTAGGTGTTAATAGTAAAACAATTCAAATAAGTATTTGTTTTGTGGATATGAACACCTTTATTTTTGACACCGGATATTTATGAAAAAACAAACGAGATAATGGATCCCGGATGGTTGGATGGGTGACTCTTACGTAGGGTACATTTAAGTTTTGGTGCAAGCAGCGGTGCCGGAGCCGCCGGAGCCGCGCGCGGACGACTCGGACTACTTCACGCCGGAGGAGCCCGCCACCACCATCCTCACGGCGCCGCCCGCGCCCGCCGCGCCCGCCGCCGCGCCCGCCGTGAGTACGCGCGCCGGCACTGACGCTCACACTTGGACTATTATTATCTTATTTATTGTGATGTTTATTCGCGGCATTAGAGACTATGAGTACATAAACAAAGTTTCATACAATCATGTTTACTCACCCTCACTCCACTCGGGTTCCTCCCTAGTTACATTTTAACGTTCAGTATAGATTTCTCTGAGATGAGATATTTTCCTGCAGTAGAGTAGTATCCTTTATGTTGATCCGGATAAGCTATCCTCATACCAAATTTCATCAAAATCTGTCCAGTGATTTTCTCGTAATGCGGTCACCGACCGACAAAAATTCTAAAAACTATAGATTCAGCCTCTGTATCGGTAATAATGACAATTTCAATAAGATTTTCCAAAAAATATTTAATGTGCAGATTCGACTCAGAATTTCATTATAAGTATAGATAGATAATATAAGATGGCAAGTGTGTACGTAACAATTCATAACACTTTCAAGATTGTTGATAATGTAAGCCACACATGTCACAAATAAAAAAAGTGTTGCTATCTTTGCACGGTTGTATGAAGCTTTGTATCTGTAAAGTTATTAATTACTCATGTGATCTTGTTCACGCTGCCTCTCGGACTATGTCACTTTGACTTGATTCACTTTCAGATTTTTTTTATTCTATATGTTACAATGGTTTACCTATTTAAGTAGTGTATAATAATATATAAAATTAATTCCATGGTTTGTAATATATTAAAATTTTATCATTGTGTTATAAGTTATATTTTATATTTTGTGTTTACTGCATAAAAGCGCGTCAGTGCCGGCTCTCTATCCAAGCTTAGGTGTACCATCGCCGCTGTCATTAGACGTAGAGTGTAGACGTTGTTTCATTTTTGGTTTCTTGGTTGTCGTTATCATGGTTGCGTTGTGGTTTTATTTTAGCTTTGTCATGTCATTTGTGTTTAATTTGGTTGTAGAGTAGTTTGGTGTGTCAGTAAGTCTGTGCTACGCGAGAGTGTACCAAGGTGTGTTTGTTGCAGGAGACAGCGCCCGGCGCGGCGGCCGAGTGCACCCCCCAGCGCTGGGTTCTGCCGCACCACGTGACATCCCTTCCTGGTGAGATTTCTTTTCTTTGTTTCACCTATTATTATAATTGCGTAATTTTGTATGTTTGTGTGTCTGTGTATGTCTAGGTGCTAAATCCTAGGCTAGGTTACACAGACGGATTTGGATGGAATTTGATGTACAAATATGACCTGGAGTAAAACATAAGCTTAACACTTATGAGCGATGAGCGATAAGAGAGTAGTATGCCTTTTGTTAATAAAGGTTGCTTACATTTACATACAAAGCGGGAACTAACGCTGGGATATGTTTATATATATATATATTCGTGGGCTTCGATTCTGAAGTGTCATTGGACAGTACTAGTTTTGATATTATCTATACAAATAAATGAAATTCAAGTATCTGTTTACTAAATGCTTATAAAATTATATACAGTACTTATAAGAAAAAAAAACAATTTTTAAATTTTTTGTCTGTTTGTTCCATTATTCTCCGAAACGGCTGGACCGATTTCGACGGGGCTTTTACTGGCAGACAGCTGATATTATAAGCAGTAACCCAGGTCAATAAACTTTATCACCTTCCGCAGGCACCCCCCTCTCCCAGTCCAGCGTGCGGTCGTCGGGCGACTCGTACAGCTCGACGTCGTCCACGCGCCAGCTGCTGGCCGCGCCGCTGGCCGCCGACACGCCCTGCTAGCGCCCAAAGCGCCTCTCCGTACTGAAACACTCCACCACCCATCTCTGATCTAAGTCATACAGTGCCCACAGAGCCCTATATATCCATATAGAAGATATCCACAGTATAGTTAATATACATCAGCAATATATTATGCCACGTGATAGCCGTTGATTATAACGGAATGTTGTCAAATGTAAAGGTTATCAAGAATAAAGTTAAAGCTCCGTAGTGCCATTTTGTGGCAAATTACAGTTACATCCGACAACCCTAAAGCCGGTTCCCGACTGTCATGTGAAAGTAAGTATGATAGTCGGGAGGGATCTTCCCGCACGATTGCCCTGTCCAGACAGACGCCATCGTTAGTCGTTTATTTGGTTTAGTAGTAAGAAAACCTATAAACAATAATACAATAATAGTCGAATATAATAAAATTATAGTAAGTCACAATCGCATTCTATGTAAAATTTTGTTTGAATATTTAAAGTAGAGCTATTTTCTTTCAAGTATTATATTAAAATCAATTATTTGAATTTAAAAAAGTATTCAAAATGTTGCTTGTGTGTAGTGTGCCTTATTTTTTTTCTTCATAATAAAAATAGTATTTTTATCGTAAGAGTAATGTTAATTGGTGTAAAATTTTATTGTAATTTAAAGTAAAATGTAGTGTATAATAGTAATTATAGAGTTTAATCTGCCATGTTGATCCAGTTGTACGCCGATTGCTATAAGCGTGGCCCTCCTTATGATTTGCGAGTTGAAAGAAGTGTTTATCTGTAATATCCAATGGGTTTATCTGTAATCTGTGCACTATCGCGGTCCTGCGCCATCTTGTGACAGATATCGGCAACAGGTAATAATGACTATAATATGGTTATTCCTGTTCCCCTCGCGCTTCCCACGCACCATCAGGAGGGCGACGCTTATAACGGTCGTAGAGCGCACTATAGACTTTAAATTTAATTTTCTAAACTATGCCACCGGTCACTTCGGATTTTAATGTGTCGGTGATTATAAATCATATTATATTGTTAAGGTCCGGTCCACACTAAAGTGCCGCTTACGGCTCGCGGTCGGTCCGATATCAGTCTGGTAAAGTATTTTATACAATAAACAATGAGTGCATTCACACTATAAGTAAGTGTGAAGATCCGGTCGAATCACACTCCAGCATCAAATCAAAAAATATCTAATGCACAGATTCGGCTTAGTAACAATTTTATTATATGTATAGATATAGAAGTAGGATAGGTGGAAATATGATTATGTATTATGTGTCAGCTATATATTGTGATAACGTAGATTACAAAAAATGAATCTGTATATAAAATAAGTATTCAAAATACGCTAGGTCAAAGGTAACTGTATTCTTTAGTATGAGATGAGTATGCCGTTTTTTATGTATTTAAAGAAAGAATTTATTTGTAGGATTTATTATATTTAATAATTTCTTTTAAGCATCACAATTGTTTCTCTTTTTCTTGAGTTGTTTTATAAATAAAAACATCTGGACTATTATAAAGTAGAATACCCTACTTTAATTAACTATATGCAGTGTGTATTATATATATACATACGATGGTGGGATAATAATCAATGTATCCTCTAGTTAAACTTGTGGATAAATGAATGTATTGTTACTAATTCATAAAATGTTCTCAATTGATGATGTATGCAACCCTTTTTAACAATACGAGTGGGATCAGGTCATAGTCCACCACGCTGGCCAATTGAGAGTTGGCAGATGTTAAATTCATTCATTATTACTATTAATTATGGCAGCTTTAGCACAAATCTCTCACATAGGTTCACAAAAATATTGTCAAAATAAACAAGTAGATCATGTAAAAACAGATTTTTATAAAAGAAATAATGATTTCATCAAGTATTGTCATTTTTTTTTATATTTCATTGCAAATGTCTTAAGATGTTACATAAAAAATAGCATCAAAATGTAGTTTTAAATTTAATTTATAAAAAATATAATTTCTATCATCTTTTAACAATGTATGTTTATTGTCTACAAATAATGATTGTTAGATTTGTATATATTATGTAGTTGTTTATCAAATGGACTGATCGAAACATTCCCAGACGTTGTTAGCGAATCTCAAATGTATAATTTTGATTTAATGAATTTAAATTTATTGTATAAGAATTTCAGAATTGAAAATATAAGTATATATTCATGGAATAAACTTGTTATTTTTCTTCATTTATTATAGAATTAGTCAATAATTTTTTGGATATTGTTAGCTTAGAAAACGAATTTTGTTTTGAGTAAAAATGTTATTAAAAATATAATAGAGCTGACTATAAAATGCCTTTATTAAGTTTTTAGCACACACTTGATTTATCAGCTGGATAAATAAACATTTTGTGTTACGCAGGGTTACCAGATGTTTTCATACTAAAATTGCTTTTAGTTACACATAATAATAAGTATACTATTTACATAATAATACTGCTCCTATACTCCCAATTCCACTATTTTTGTTTTTATTCAAAATTAAAGAACCAGGCCAATTTATTCCTCTCTTGCTTTATTATTCTCTGGCAACCCCTAATATGTACAAATATTATGTAAACTAAAACAGTTAATTACATATTGTTATTTAAAATTAATTCTCAAGTAAAAAAAAATCATATAGCTGAAAAAATAATAATCTTTTTTCCTATACTTTACAAAAATTAAATAATAGAAATGTATTGACATTATAAAAATAATATTTCTTAATTTATACATAGTTTACAGAAATAAGTTTAGGTTGTTCTGTAGCTGTGACATTCTACATTCGCAGCTTTGGTTTGGCTCACATTGGTAGGATCATAATTTGCATATTCTGATGTGAAGCTGTTCTCTTGACTGGGATTAATAACTTTTTTCATAGCTTGTCTCTTAGCAGCATATGCAGACATTCTAACCAGTCTAGCCTGTCTCTGTTCAGGGCTTTCATTAGCCAATCTCTTGGCTGAATATGCCGACATTCGTGCCAATCTACGCGCTCTCTGTTCACTACTCTCTTGCGCTAGTCGCTTGGCAGCGTATTCGGACATGCGTTTGAGCCGCAGGGCGCGTTGCTCAGGAGTTTCATTAGCAAGTCTCCTTGCTGCATAAGCCGACATTTTAGCCAGTCTTGCAGCTCTTTCTTCGGGAGTTTCATTTTTTGAGGTTGAACTTCTTCGACGTACTCTACAAGATGCAGTTTCAATAAGTAATGGGTCCATCTCTTGTACCATAGTCTCTGCCTCAACCTCATCATTTTTTGAATTATCTTCATCTTTCTCACTCTTTATACTTTTAAAATCAATAGATAAATTTGTAGTATTCATTGTTGAATGAATTGGACTTGTAGAATCTTCCGACTTAATCGTAGATATCCATTTATTATTCGATTTAGCTATAACCATTTTTTTCCAAGAACAGTCTGAGGCACTAAAATCACCCATATTGATTATTTAACGACAAAGGTATCCATAAGATCATTGTTTGTAAATAAAGATGAATATATGTGATATTTCAAATGTAAGTCACTGTAAAAAAACTAAATAATTCCTAAAAATTATGACCATTCCAATGTAAATATTAATCACACAACAGATGAAAAATGAAAATATCTAAAATTATATGCACGATCAGTCACAGATAAAAAAACTATCATAAAAAAACTAATCATAATGAGTCGAAAATAATATTTATGGTTACATTATAGAAAATCAATAAATTAGCTTAAAATTTATATTAAAATAATTTACACAGGAACTTGTGCTACGAGTACTATAGTTATTATTTTGAGAAAATTGAAAATATTTTAAGTTATGTATTCGATTATATGTGACAAAAACTAAAAGTGGCGCAGCACTTGCGGCGATTTGAGCTGAGTTGTCAAAAAGTTGGCATTTCTTCCATCTGTTTTATTTTGCTGAAATCTATTTCTATAACTTGTGGCTCGTGTATGTGAATGGATTTATTTGATCGGCAGTATTTGTAGTGTTAATTGTTTATGAATACAAGTTTATTAATAACAGATTCCAATTAGAATTTAAAAAAACAATTAATACCAAATATATGTAAAAGGTGAACGATTTTGTGTTTTGAAAAATAAAAAATGTATATACAATCAAAACTACTACTGGGAATGTAATGTGATGACATAATGGTATAATTGTTATTGTGAATATAAATCTTCGTAATTATTCAAGAATGGACAAAAACATGGATTCTCCGACGGCTGCAAGTCCTCTGCCAGAGCCTGAGGGCCAAGATAATGAGACCGACTACTCAAGTATTAGAGGAAAGGTATGTATTGCCTAGCGTTCACTATATACCTTGTTTTTTTAGCGCGAAACTATAACAATAACTCAATATTTTACATTTTTGTACAGATTCCGTTTATTATTTTACGCATATTGTATTCGCTAATCAATAAGACTAATGTATTTTTTACATGAAATGTCTCAATAAAATATTGTTATACATTGATTAAAGGTTTCATCACGATTTTCATAAATATTTTGTTGCTGTCATATTGCATCATGGTTACTGTAGAATCAGTTCCTTCTGATGCATTTGTAATAAAGAGTAATAATTATTAATTAATCTGAAATTTTAACATTAATTGTTTATTTGATACTAGCGGCTTTGTTTGTGTTCGCCTCTAGGAAAACATAAACAAACCTATCCTACGGGAATCGTACATTTTTCCAGATAAAAAGTAGCATGTGTGTTATTCCAGACTATAATCTCTCTCTGTGCCAAATTTCATCCAGATTCGTTCAGCCTTTGTGGCGTGAAAGAGTAACAAACATACTTACATACCATACTCACAAACATTCACATTTATAATATTTATACATATTGTACTAAGATTTTTTTATTGTCAAAGGTTTGTAGTCAAAGGTTGTTGATGTTGTAAATCTATCATACATCATTTTTATTTTTAGATGATATTAGTGAGTCCCACAGCTGATGAGTATGATTTACTCCGCAAACAGTTATTAGAGAGGCTAGAGGCAGGCAATGGGGAAATTATTTATGACATAGGACATGGAGAGGGTAAGTTTTTTATATAATTAATACTTTCAATAAAAATTCATTTTTAAAACAATATCAAATATGTCACTGATTCCTCACTATATTTTCTAACTAGCGACTCACCCTCGCTTAGTTTGGGTTTGTCCTTAATTATATTTGAACTTTTAGTATGGATTTTTCAGAGATGAGATATTTTTCCATAGTAAAAAGTATCCTATGTGTCGACCCGGATAACCAGCTATCATCATAGCAAATTTCATCAAAATCTCCAGTGGTATTCGCGTAATATGTTCCTAGATAGACAGACAGACAAAAATTTTAATAATTACAGGTTCTGCATCTGTATTAATAATAATGACTACTTCAATAAGATTTTCCAAAAAAAAAATTTACTGAATTTTATTATATGTATGTGCTATTATCCATATATTTTTTGATTTAGTTCAAATTAAACTTTCTTTAATCTAATTTTCTTTAATGAAAGATAAAGTTTGTTTCAAAATTGCATTCATACACATAATATTGTGAAATAGATGTAACTATTATCAAATATTACATTTCCTATATATAGATTACATCATGCTTTAAGTTTATACTAGAAGCAAAGATAACTTAATTTCACTAAATTATGTATTTGTTACTTATTAATAATATTTTTTTATTAATACATAATTAATATTAGTTTATGATGAAGAAAATTGCTTAACTTTGAGGCTTTACAAAATAAAACTCAAAATTTTTGGCAGATTTATGGTTGTATGATAAATGTAATAATAGCAGTAATACTTATACAATACTTATATAAAATTAAATTATTAAATATACTATATACTTAATGTGGTAGTGTAGTGCGGTCGCTTGGGAAACTAAGTGAAGCGGGTTCGAATCCAGGGTTCACACTTCTGATATTTTCATATGCAAAACATTCCCAACATGATTACCACTTGTCTTATGGTGAAGGAAAACATCGTAAGGAATCCTGCATGTCTGGGAGAACCTAGCAAGTTTTCGAAAGACATGTGCAGTCCGCCAAACTGCACTTGGCCAGTGTGGTGGACTATGGCCTGCTTCTCCTCATATTGAAGGGATGCCCATGCCCAGCAATGAGATGTTAAAAAGGACTAAATACACTAATTTAATACATTACAATTTTTTTCTCAAACATTGACAATTTTTTTTAGTTATTAACTTCATTGAATTAACCATAATTACTTGTAATATTTTATAAGTGCCCAAAATTATCTTGGGTTTTTAATTAAATATATTTAATAATGAAATACAATAATGATTATTTTAACAGATGGACGAGGTCTCACAGAAGATGAATACAGTGCATCAGTGGCAACGCTGCAGTCTCTAGTAAGTGGCGAGCGCATATCTTGTGTGGAACTGCGGCGGTGGGACTGTGGCACTGGCCTCACTGGCCAGTACCTGCTACGCACTGAGCTGGACCATAATGATTTTATGGAGATTAGGTGGGTTTTTACTCATTAATATTGGAATAAAGGTATAATAAAAAAATACATATAGAGAAATATAGATATCCTATTCAGAAGTTGGTTAAATATAAATAAGTAGATAATTGCCAGAAGTAAAAAAAAATGTATACTTTTTAAGGTTTTAGCAATTAAGTATTATAATCATTAACATTTTATACATTGATAGTGGTAGTTGTCAAATAATTGAAAAATAAGTGGAAGTTTAATAGATTAAAAATAAGACAATATAATTGCACTAAAATTCTTTTCCAATACAACTATATTTTCGGATTTTTTTAACAGTTTCATTGTCATATTTGTATACCAACGTTTCAAGTATCTCGTCTCTATAATATGTGTAGTAGTATTATTGTATAGCATATGAGACATCCGGAACAATAAAAATAAAGCTATAAAAATAAGTTGTCAAAGACACAGAGTTTGTATAAATCTGAAGAAAGTATATAAATAAATGAATAATTTAGGTACCTTAATTGGCAAACCAGCCAACTCCATATTTCATCAAAAATATTTTTTTGTACTCAACAGTAATTCAGTAGGATTATTTTAGTAGGATTTTACATTAACAAAAATAACAGTTAACGATATTATCTACTAACGGTATTTTCGATTTTTTAATAAGTATACCAAAAAATATAAAGTGTTAAGTGTCTCCTGAAAAATTTGCTCATATGGAGTTAGCTGGCTTGCCAATTAAGGTAATTTTATTTTAAGTTATTAACTAATTTTCCATAATTGTTTGGATCAGAGTGGCAGTAGTGGGCAACGTGGACGCGGGCAAGTCCACGCTGCTGGGCGTGCTGACGCACGGCGAGCTGGACAACGGGCGCGGGTACGCGCGCCAGCGGCTCTTCCGACACAAGCACGAGGCCGAGAGCGGCCGCACCAGCTCCGTGGGCAACGACATATTGGGCTTTGATAGTATAGGTGCTTATACACTTCATTTTTTTATTTTTATTTGTATTCTCCCCTTTTCAACGTCTTGCTGCTACTGTTGGGCACGGCTCTTTCTTCAGTATGGGGAGGATCACGCCATGTTTCACCACGTTGGCCAACTGGGTTGGCGGACATCACATGTCTCACATAGGCTAGTTTCCTCACGATCTTTTCCTTCACCGTAAGACAATGGTAATCATTTTGGACAAGATTCGCACATGAAAATATCAGAGGTGCGAGACAATGGATTTGAACCCGCTTCACTCAGTTTAGCAAGCGAGCGCGCTACCACTGCCTTACTTATTCTTTTTTATTTATATCATACATCCTGTTATTAGTGTTGTTGCATGTTATTATGTGGCTAAGCAAATATTGGATATAGATTTTATCCTACTTCTAATGTCGTAATGATTGAAATCTTTGTAGAGAAATCTGGATGACAATACAAATAATTTTGTACTTATGAATTAATTTTACTTCATTCCTCACATAAATTGAACCAATGCATGTATTCCACTCATTTATAAATAATTTGTAGAGATCAGTTGAACTACTATTATGTAAATTTTTAAAATTGTTTTATTCAAATTTATATCACGCATTCTATGAGCGAAAATAAAGAAATTACTATTGCGTATTAAAAATATGACAAAATATAATATATTAATTTTAAAATATCATTTGAATGATGAAAGCACATTGTAATTTCAACTGTTGGCTAATGTGATAAAGCCCGGGAAAACCTGATTAGTCATATTACTCTTAAAACTTGTATAGAGTTGTGTGAACTTGCAAGGATGCTATACGAATGGTTTTTATGGTTTTTAACTTTTTATATTTTTATGTTTCCTTTATATTTATGTTCTTTAATAACTTTTTGAAAGATATTATCTACGTGTTTTTCTTACGGGAATTAATTTCCCTACTGATATTCAAAATATTTTATAGCATTATTATCATATAGAAACGAATGATTAAACGCATTTCAAATTTTATAAGGAATCACTTTTGTATTACGAACTAGCGACTTACATTCGATGAGCATGTATGTTTGTACTCCAGTCTTGGGTGTTTATATTTATAATATGTATGTATTTAAAGTTATATACGTTCACACGCAAAATAGGCGCATAGTCGTCGAGTTGCGGAAAACAGCCCGAACATACCATACCATACCAAGTTATATACGTGTAGTGTATCAACTGTCTGGTATCCATAACACAAGCCTGGTAGCTGACCTGGATGGAACTACATGGTGCTGTGTGTTAATGTCCCAACATTTATTTATTCTAATGCGTTTGTAAATCCATCTTCAGGTAACGTAGTGAACAAGCCCGAGCACGGCGCGCTGGACTGGGTGAAGATCTGCGAGAAGTCGTCCAAGGTGATCACGTTCATCGACCTCGCGGGCCACGAGCGCTACCTCAAGACCACCGTGTTCGGCATGACCGGCCACGCGCCCGACTTCGGCATGCTCATGGTGAGATACTGTGTGTGCGACTGTCGATGCGGAGGTCCTAGCTTCGAGTATCGGGTCGTGAGACAAATTCTCAGTAGCAGGATGTTACACCTTTTGAAAGTTTGATAGTGAAAGGAATAGAGAGTGCATCTGTGTGATGCCCTCATATGATATATTTAGTGCTGTTGACTAGTTTCATTGAGATTGGCCGTAACCGAAATCAATGTCGCCCACAATTCCTTCCTTACTTAAATAGCTTACGTGTTTCCAGAAAGAAAAATGAAAATGAACAAAAAATGTAAAATGATACTGATATATTACTGATCCATTAACTTAATATTAGATTTAACCTTTCTTTAAAGATTGTCTTGTGTTATTTTGGTCCAATGAAACTTTCAATAAGCCTTCAATCAAATATACAACATAAATGTAAATATTAATATGTAAACATTTCCGTAGATCGGAGCTAATGCGGGCATAGTGGGCATGACGAAGGAGCACCTGGGGCTGGCTCTGGCGCTGGCCGTGCCCGTGTTCGTGGTGGTCACCAAGATAGACATGTGTCCGCCAAACGTGCTGCAGGTAAGGCACCAGCCATTTAGGTGCTAGTCCAGTCTCCAGGTTGTAGGTTATCTGTTTACTAAAGTTCATCCAAATCCCTCCAGGGTTTCCAGTTCCATCGTGAACGAATAATAAATAAAATAAATAATAAATTCTTTTAACTAAATGATATGTTACAGCTTTAAAGGATTTTTTCTAACCATATTAGTGGTTTCTATTCCTGGGGCTTATAATTCTATAAGATAGTGTCAAAAGTAATAAATTGGCAAATGGAAATAGCATTAAATTGTGGGATACAAGTTTTAATTTTCTTTTTCAGGATAATCTGAAGCTACTCATCAGGATCCTTAAGTCGTCCGGCTGCCGCAAGGTGCCAGTGATGGTGAAGACCAAGGATGACGTCATCGTCAGCGCCACCAACTTTGTGTCGCAACGGTGGGTTCTTATTATTTACTTAGTTTATTACAAATTAGCAACTCACCCTCGAGTTCATCCCTAGATACGTTTTAATGGTTAGTATGGAATAGATAGACTGTATATGTACATAGGTAAAAAAAAATCCCTATGCAAACTTCCACCCCTCTTTTTACCCCCTTAAGGGATGATCTCCAGGATAAAAACTATCCTATGTCCTTCCCAGAGTCTCAAATTTTCGTCATACAAAATTTTATCTAAATCGGTTCTGCGGATTAAGCGTAAAAATGAAAAAGACATATAGACAAATTTACTTTCGCATTTATAATATTAGTATGGATGATCGATTTCCCTCGCTTTTGTGATAAATTTAGATGGATGGATAGGTACATCTGAAAGACTGAAAGAAAGCTTTTGTCGACATAAGCACTTCTCACGCACAATAGTTGATGTCAGTTGATGTCAATTGATGAAATAAATCCAAATATATACACATACTGTTCAAGAGTTATCTTTTATTATCGTTGTTTCACATAAACATATGGTCTGTCACTAGACTATGCCCAATCTTCCAAGTGTCGAACGTGACTGGCGAGAACCTGGAGCTGCTGACGATGTTCCTCAACCTGCTGAAGACGCGCATGCCGTCGCAGGACGACAAGCCCGCGGAGTTCCAGATAGACGATACCTACTCGGTGCCCGTGAGTCTCGTGTGGAATTACATTTACATTTCAAGTTTATTCAATAAGACTATCTTTTAGGATTTTTTCGCGGATTTATTTTGAATTTTGGTTCACGATGTTTTGAATGCTTTACAAATTACAGCAATCATGGTTACATAGTCAAGTCTCAAAGGTTATTATTTTACAGTTGTTACAAACAGCATCTATTTACAAAATTACAAAATGATTTTAAAATTAGTAAAATAGTACTAACCAATCAGAAAAAATCTAAGAAAGTATTTACTTTTTGAAATCGAACAGACACCACGCATTCTCGTCTTGAAAACATTTGAAGTTTATTTTATGATATTTAAATATTGTGTATTTAGCTTTAAATAAAATAATTATACTTTAATTTTAGCATTGAAATTATGTAAAATGAACGTTTTTTTTACTAAAAAATAAATATAATTAAAATCAGTTCACATGGCGATAACATAGTGTGAAATATAAAAAAAAAGGTAAAATATGTCTTTGAAATGACACACATTTCTGTTTTGATTTTAGTAGAATATTATTATTATCCATCTTCCAACATCTTTTTTTATGGATAGTACAATTAAAACTAAATTTAGCCACAAAGTCGATGAATATTTTGTCAAAACTGTAGTAAACTAAACGTGTGAGTGATGTTCCATATTGTGTGACGTTGCGAGCAGGGCGTGGGCACGGTGGTGTCGGGCACCACGCTGGCCGGCGTCATCCGCCTCAACGACACGCTGCTGCTGGGCCCCGACCCGCTCGGCCGCTTCACGCCCATCACCGTCAAGAGCATCCACCGCAAGCGCATGGCCGTCGCCGAGGTGCGCGGCGGACAGACCGCCAGCTTCGCGCTCAAGAAGGTATCTTACGCGCACGCACACGCACGCACGCACAGACACACACATGCCTGATGTGTGGGAATGTATATAATTCAAATAACTGCGTTTCATGCATCACGTACGACGATCAAAAAAGTACTAGATACACAATCAGCGAAAAGATGTCCTCACTGGATGAGCGTTCATTTGAACATTTGAATGCGTTATTAATTTAATAATATATATTTGAAAACAACTAAGAATTGCATTTAGGTTTCAATTTATATTGTTGTATATTTGTTTCAAGTAGAATAATTACATAAACACAATTGGTGACAGTTTTAAGAGAACTTTTGCATGGGATTGTGTATCTAATACGATGGTCACGTACAATATAAGAACGATGACGCCGCCGCACTTTCTACACATTTATGATCTATATCCTTATATAGATAAAGCATAATATGTCTTTGGAATGAATGGACTACTTTTTAACAACATATTTTTTACTAAAAAGTAAGCAGAGAAGGGGGCAAATGCTAACATTAAACTCGACTGCGGTCTGCCGCGACGGTTTTATTGAATTGGCGACCATAAACTAATGTAACACATATAATTTACACAACATGTTCCTGGTTCGTATTAGAGATAGGTAGGTAGATTTGTTTACAGCAGGGATTCCGAAACTATTTTGTGCAAAAGACCCCTTATCTAAAATGAACTGATACCTGAAACCATAACCAAATCTATACATATAATAAAATTCTAACTAAGCCGAATCTGTACATTAAATAATTTTTGGAAAATCTTATTGAAATAGACATTATTATAGATACAAGAGGCCCAGAGGCCGAATCTATAGTTTTTAGATTTTATGTCTGTCTGTCTGTTACCGCATCCCGGAAAAACCACTGGAGAGATTTTGATGAAATTTGGTATGGTGATAGCTGGTTATCCGGGTCAACATATGGGATACTTTTTACCGCGGGAAAATATCTCATTTCTGAGAAAAAATACAAAAACTGCAATGTAAGAGTATATTAATTAAAACCTAAGAATTTGGTTTTTTGGTGATCTGAACGTGGGCGAAGCCGCGGGCAATGCTACCACTTACATGCGACCACTTCGAGAATTTTTACAGGATGTACTTAAGTTTAGCTTTGTTGTTTTTTTAAGGGAAACCAAATACTGAATTTTGAAGATATTTTTGTTCTTAATAATTTATGACTGCCAAAATTGATTAATTATTTTGGTAGACATAAATTGTTAAAAACAAAAATACGCCTTTATTTTTTTTTTGACAAAAAATCTTAGGCGATAATAAAAGAGGATCATCCTCTTTTGCCATTTATTCTAATTATGATAGATGACGGTGGGATTTGAACCAGCAGTCTTTGAATGTTGTCTTTGAGATTTCATTGTTAGACCGTAAACATCTTACTGAGGTCGACGAAATAGCTGTCTGCAACTTAGGAACGAGTTTATTTTGTCAACGAAACAACAACGAACGGGCGAAATATTAACATCCAAATATACAATCTTTACTTTATAAATGCACTCGAGCGAAGCGAGTGTAAATCGCTACTTGCTAGTATACACAGTACCTACACAGAGTAGGAAGTGTTACAACGTTATGTTTTATACTATTTGATATCATTAGATATTATGGATATAATATTATATACTAGCATTGCCCGCGACTCCGCCCGCGTTCAGATGAAATTATGGAATTTCCCATTTGGGAAATCTTATTGAAATAAACATTATTATCGATACAGAGGCCGAATCTATAGTTTTTAGAATTCTTGTCTGTATGTGACTGCATTACGGAAAAACCACTGGAGGGATTTTGAAGAAATTTGGTATGGTAATAGCTGGTTATCCGGGATAACTTTATACTGCGAGAAATATCTTATCTCTGAGAAATCTATACTAAACGTTAAAACGTAATTCTAGGGATGAATCCGAGCGGAATAAGGGTGAGCCACTAGTGGTATATAATATGTAGATGTACAGTATAGAGTAATGTGTGGTCAGATCAAGCGGTCGGCGATCCGCAAGGGCATGGTGATGGTGTCGCCGGCGCTGGAGCCGCAGGCGTGCTGGCAGTTCGAGGGCGAGATCCTCGTGCTGCACCACCCCACCACCATCTCCTCGCGCTACCAGGCCATGGGTGAGTCGTCGCTCGTGGGGGCTTCATACATCAAGGAAAGAAATGGAAGAAATTAATAAATGGTTTAATTTATCGAATTTGAAAATTAATATATCATAAATTCTGTTCTAAATTGATGGTTGGATTAATTGGTGGAACCTTCATAGTTTGAAAGTGAACATGCGATTTCCGCTGCATTTAAATAATATATTTACGCATTCCGTTGTCTTAGTGCCTATTTGTCCAAATGTCCACCTAACCGAATTATGTACTTCCTTTACTGAAAAAGTTTTTAATGCAGTATTATTATTGAGTTTTATATGTCAATTCTATTGGTATTAAATACACTTTGTTTTTTAATCTGTATATGTTGTAAATCTTGAAATAAAATTTTGTTTTTAAAATACTGTAAAGTTAATTTAAGTATTTGTGGTTTGAACAAAAAGCACTAAGGCGGTGATTGAATGACATTTGTATATTGTACACACCACGTGCGCAGTGCACTGCGGCAGCATCCGGCAGACGGCGTCCATCCTGTCGATGTCGCGCGAGTGCCTGCGCACCGGCGACAAGGCGCTCGTGCGCTTCCGCTTCATCAAGCACCCCGAGTACCTCAAGCGCGGCCAGCGCATGGTGAGCGACACCTGTTGTTGCTAATTATTATATACATAATGTAGTATATATATTCAGCTTACTTTTGCAGTAAAAAAGAAAATTTAAATAATCGAAGTTATTACATTTTTTATTTTAAATATTTACTTCCGGTTTAACACTAGAAAAATAATTCAAATTTGGAATCTGATTAATAAATCCAAAAGAACAGTAAAGTTTCTATACAGAACACTACATTTATTATTTTATTTCTAATTACTTCAATATGAAAAAAGAATCCAAAAATCCCTTCCTTCAATATGATCAACTCTTTAAAATCTCATAACTTGACAACTAAACCTCAAATAAAAAAAAATATTCTGGGTACATGTTCATATCCCCTAGACTTTAGAAGTTTAAATATGCCTAATATGAACGAATTTCACAACTTCACTTTTTCGTTCGTTCGTTCGTTGTCCTCTTCACGTGAAATGATCCATATTCAGCAATAAAACTACAAACTGAAAAATGATTTCAATTATGACATAGGTGTTCCGCGAGGGGCGCACCAAGGCGGTGGGTAACGTGCTGCGGCCCGAGCCCGCCGCCGGAGCCGCGCGCGCCGCGCCCGCGCGCCCCGCCCGCCACGCCGCGCGCGCGCCCGCGCCCGCCACCCTCGCCACACCCGCGCCTGACGCGCACGCGGTCAGTGGCGCGGCTATACTACGTTTATATCTTAACCGACTGAGACTAGCCAACTGCGCAAGAGATATTAAGTGCACAAGTGTACTTCTCCATTCCTAGAGGATAAATAATATTTTTGTATATTTGTTTATTAAATGGATTATTAAACTATTATAATAAAGGCAAATATATGTACGTATGTTTATTTCTCCTACACGCTGAAAAGGCTGGACGGATTGGGATGAAATTTAATACACTTGAGTTTTATTAAATACCTAGAGAGGGATAGTTATTTTTTATATTTTATCTTTCTATAGGAGATTATTGGGGCTATATTCTAATATATGAATTGTACAATGTACAGCAGACGCAGGAGAGTGACGTGACGGCGGTGGACTCGCCCTTCGAGGTGCAGAGCGACAAGCGCGCGCCGGCGCGGCGCCGCAAGCGTCACGACAAGCCCCCTCCCGCGCCCGCGCCCGCACCCCTCGCCGCCAACTGAACACACACACACACACACACAATACACACACGCATATACACAATACACACACATATGTGTATTAAATATGTAACATTTAGGTACACTATACAAATAGAAAATGCTACTACTACAACTCATAAGGTTATTGACTTAACATATATTTCGTACTTTATCTGTTTAAGGATTTATATACTTGGTGTCATCAAAGAAATCCATTTACAAACAGGGTTACTATCACACTGTTGCTTTTCAAAATAAGACTTTATACCGATAAGAATAATGTTGAAATATAATTAAAAGTATTCATCAACCATTTCATATAGCTGTCTACTATTTTATTTTCAAAACTTCATGTTGACAACTGTGAAAATTCCAACTTATTGCAATATTTTTATTATAAACATGGCCACACTAAGCAAAACAAAACGAGACAATCTTCTCAGTATCTACAATATCGTAGGTAGCATAATTCGTATTCTAAATATGAAAAATTAAAAATCCATATTTTATAAAAAATCTTTACCACTTTATTATAAATAGCCATTGAAGGCTCTCCATTCTACAACGATATAGTAAAACTAGTTTAATATTTCAAATTTATAATATAGAAGTACAATGTAACGTATTTGATAATGTATAATATGTAACACTCGAAATATATCGAAGTTTTTAAGAATTAAAAATAATTGTTCTTACAATTATAGTTTCCGCTGTATAAAGTGGTGTTGTGGCTTCGGCTTAGCTTATGTTTAAATTAGAAATGTCTACTTTAAAAACAAAACAAAATGTTCTTTTTGTTTGGTATTTGATTTTATGTTATAAAGTATAATTATTTGATTGATTAATTTTGAGTTAGTATAAATGCAATTTTTTTCGGAATTTTCATATTTTTGGCAGATAGCACTTTGACATTGTTATGGTTAATAAAATTAAGTCTTAATATTTATGATGTTTAAAATTAATTATATTGCCTGTAGTATAACTTTGTGTGGCGTTCGAAAATAAATACCACTTTCCTATCAACTAGTAGGAAAGAAATATGTTATAGTGTCTAGAAACATAACAATTTCCATACTATTATGGGAATTGTTTTTGTTGTCAAATGTCATTAGCTCTTTATGTATCTAAATGTGTATTCAGGCAAAGTAATGTCCCTATTTGTAAATTCATAAATTCTCGCTTTTTAAATAGTAGAAATATAAATTAACAAAAATTTCGAAAATCTATGATTTTCATCACTGGCATATTTTAGCTTTTTTTAGGGATAAAAGCATATTTATGTTATAATAACAGTAGACTCCCTCCTTTGTTATTCTAGCCAACTGCCAAGCATATCAAGAAGGTTGTTTTGTTATTTAATATTTACTTAAAACTTTATTTTTAATTGCAACAGCTATTACATTTCGTTTTTGTGTGAAAATTGTGTAAAGATTATTATTATTCATCATATTGTCTCTTATTAGGTACTAAATTTAAATATAAAACTATTATATTATAGTAGTTACCACAAATATTAGAAAATAATAAAACTCTGTAATCTAACTTCTTTCCATATTTACATTAAATGTTTACAATTTTGTACCGCCTCAAATTGAATAGATTTTATTTTCGGCCACTCATTAGTGTGGCTAGCATCTAAACCTTGCTTCATATCATATTTCAGTATTCACTTTCAGTACCATTGTATGTGATTTTATAGTTAAGTAAGAGGATATTTTTATTGATTTTGAGAAATAAAACTAGCTGGAAGTGTAAAATGTGTCTTTTCTTTAATTATCTTCCTAGCTTATCTAAGAGAGCATAATATATTTAAAAATATTACAAAACTTGACATAATAATCTCAGAAGCTACATGAAATTAATTTATTATGACATTGTCAAATTTTCATTCATTGTAGGTATATATATTGACATGTTAACATTTGAACGAAAAAATGGATACATTGAAATTTGAATGGAAAAATCCAACTAATTACTTTTTTCTTATATTTAACATTATCTTCAGCAGAAAATTTAACAATTTAAACCTTTTTTTTACTTTATAGGGTGCTCTGGAGAGATTTTAACATTTTATGGTCATGGTCATTTTTTGATCTGTTTTTTTGCATCATCAATGCCTTGTTTAATATTTGCACTAAATTTTTTTAAGAAAGATACCAGTCTGTTCACCTTAGTAGGATCTACATCTGAAAGCCTTTCCTTTCCTTTAAAAAACATTGAAACTGCCAGTTGTGCCGCTCTTCTTACTGGATAAGATTCTGCTATCTTTTGAACTAAGTGTTCATTATTTGCTAAATACCTCAGTAATGTACGCAAAGGCATATTGAATTCACTTGAAAGAAGTTTCAAAGGAGCACATATTACGATACTTCTGTAATAGTTCTCTTTTCAGCCTTAGCTGGGTCCTGAGAATATCAAACTGTTTTAGCTGATCTTGTTTATTATATTCTATACCCGGCAGACGTCTTATCTGAAAAATAGCAAGATGTATAATAGAAATGCAGCTCAAAATACTTTTATAAATCATGTGAATATTTGTCATTTTAAATAAGACTATTTCCTTAGATGCATTACAGCAAAAATTTTGTAGGGTAAACAAAAGACAAAACTAAAACGTGAAAATATATTTAATTTAAAAATATAGCTCATTATTGCATAATTTTTCTTCCTAATAATATGTTTCTTAGCTATAGCTCCATAAAAATGGGAAATGATAAGTTTACATAATAGGTTAAATAATATACCTGAGAACGTGCAATGTCAAATTTCTTTTGCAATTCCAACACTTTCAGGCTGCAATCTTGTGATTCTCTCGCCTTAGCTGAATTATCGTGGAAGTCCCGCTCGACACTATATAACAATAAAGCAAACTTTATTAAGTGTCAAATATATAAATGACGATAATTTATCTAAAAATAAAATGGTAGGTACAAAATGTATACCTTCGTATGATTTCGTACACAATCGGTAGAAAATCTACATCAACTTCTTGGATAGTTAATGGACTAAAATTGTTTGGATCAGCATGATCTGTGTTATTATCCATATTATGTTCACTATATTTATTAATTGTTCAAAAACGACTTGCCTAGCACAAACGATTTAAGCTCATCAAAATATGATCATTGATCAAAAAAAGTCCTCCAAATTCCAATCACCAAATTAACCTTTTGAAAAGTGAAATCAGGAATCATAGTTATTTGTCAAAAGTCAAAACTTTTGTCAATTGTCATCTATGGTCAAAAGTTCAAAACACAGATGCAATATAAACAGATGAAACTGCATATCATATTATGTAGATGAGTATCTTGATAGAAACCTACACATAAAATAAAATTCTAAATCCGAATCTGTACATTAAATATTTTTTGGAAAATCTTATTGAAATAGACATTATTATCGATACAGAGGCCGAATCTATTTTTTTTTTAATATTTGTCTGTCTGTCTGTGTGTTACCGCATCACAGAAAAACCACTGGAGGGATTTTGATGAAATTTGATATGGTGATAGCTGGTTATCCGGGTCAACATATAGGATACTTTTTACCGCGGAAAAATGTGTCATTTCTGAGAAAAATACAAAAACTGCAATGTAAGAGTATACTAATATGTAAAACCTAAGAATTTGGTTTTTGGTCATTAAAACGCGGGCGGAGCCGCGGGCAATGCTAGTGTATTATAAATATAAAGGTAAATTTGAAAAGTTCTAAAACAGGCCATACTATTGAAATTTAAAAGACTATCTCAGTTTATTAAAAAGTCTCTAAAATCCTTGTTTTTCATGAAATTCAAGGTTAGATATCGTGCGATAAGATACGCTCGTGTACAAAATCTCTTGGACTATAAATTATTTATCTATACAATTATTCATCTATGGTATCAACATAGAGTATATTGCTACATGGTATCAATATGTGAATATAAATTATAATCTATGTTACATTGTTACTTACATTTATTTATTTGTCATCCATGGTTACTTAGTGCTCGGCTCGATGAATACAAATCACAATAAAATTTAGTAATGTCTTATTTTGTGATAAATCCTGTTTTATTGATGAGGATTAAATAATAACTAGGTTCTTAAGATGGATGAAGTTGCAAAATTAGAACATCTCTCTCTCGTATCTAAAATATGTACAGAGTTAGATAATCATTTAGGACTTAATGACAAGGACTTGGGTAAGAGACTTTCGCAAATATAATATATATTAATTTATTTATTGGTTAATTGTTAAATTTTATAGTAATATAGTACTAATATAACATTTATTAACATTTACAGCTGAATTTATTATTGACTTAGCGGACAAGAATCCAAACTTCGAAGGATTTAAAAAGGCTCTTATTGAAAATGGGGCAGAATTTCCAGACTCGTTTATGACTAATTTACTTCGTATCATACAGCATATGAAGCCAATTTCTAACGAAAGTGAGAAAAATGAGGAAAAAAGTAAACAATTAAATCCATTAGCGTCAAAATTTCCTGGACTAGCCATTCCAAATGACAAACCTAGTCGATTTTCTTCCGATGACGAAAGTGATGAGGATAAACATACTAAGAGAATAACTTCAAAAGATATATTTAAAGATGAATCAAAAGCAAAGGTATCTTCTATAAATGTAGTAGATGAGGCTATGGCAGCCTTAGAGGCGTTAGCTCCCTCAAAAAGTGGTATAACAAGTGATGAAACTCAAAAGGAAGATATAAAGAATGAATACAGTAGAGATTGTAAGGACAATCACACAAAAAGAGATAGTTCAAAAGAAATAAGATATAGAAGTAGAAGTCGAGACAGACAAAGTCGTAGTAGAGATGTGAAAAGCAGTAAAGATAGAAGAAGTCGGAGTAGGGATAGAAGCAGAAGGAGTAGGGATAGAAATCGAAAAAGTCGAGATAGAGACAGGAGAAGTAGAGATAGAGAAAGAAGGAGTAAAAGTAAAGATAGAAGAAAGAGGTCTAGAAGCCGTCAACGACACAGATCAAGATCAAGGAATAGACACGGAAGATCAAGATGTAGAAATAGGAGGTCTAAATCTAGATCACGTTCACATGGTAGGGAGGAAAAAAATAAATATAATACTGATTATGGTAAAAAACCTAGAAAGAAAAGCCCTGATGTGGAAATTAGTGATGATCCTGAGCCAGGCAAAGTAAGTGTTATTAAATTATTTTTCACCTAAATTACATATAGTGATATAATCATTTATCTGGCTTGTTATCTACATATTAAACTATTTAATAGCAAACTTTTATATCTGATAAACAATTTATTTTTTAAATTAAAATAGATTTAACATACTTTGTTTATTTTTTAGATATATAATGGAAGGGTGGCCAACATAGTCCCATTTGGTTGCTTTGTTCAAATGGAAGGCTTGAGAAAGAGATGGGAGGGCTTAGTTCACATTTCTCAACTGAGATCTGAAGGCAGAGTAACTAATGTTTCTGATGTTGTTGGCAGAGGTGATAAGGTCAAGGTATGTAATATAGTTTTTTGCCTTTTCTATTCGAACTTTAATAAACAACTTAATATTATTTAAATTTAATATAATATTGTAATAGGTATATATTGTTGATATACAAAAAAATATAAAAAAGTAAAAGATAGAAGATAGGGAAATTAAATTGTGTATTGCAAAGTTATCTATAGTATATGTTATACTCTTCATATAATGTAAATTTTAATCCCATACTAGTATTATAAATGTGAAACTTTGTAAGGATGTATGGATGGATGTTGTTATTCTTTCACACCAGAACAGCTGAACGGATCTGGATGAAATTCGGCACAGAGATTGTAGTCACTATAGGACAAATGTATGATTCCTGTGGGATAGATAGATTAGTTTTTGTTTTTCTACTAAGGACAAACCTGAGTAAAGTGAAGGTGCTAGTGTAAATTGAAAATGCTCAAGTTTCTTAAATTGCATTAAGTATTACTTAATTATTCTACAAATTATAAATGTAATATTTTTCCATAAAATATCACTTAATAATATGAAATTAATTATTTTAAGGTTAAAGTGCTATCTGTGACCGGACAGAAGGTGTCCCTTACAATGAAGGATGTATGTCAAGAAACTGGCAAGGACTTAAATCCAACATCTCATGCACATTTAGAGGTGAGTAAGCTAATTGATTTCACAATAAATATTCAAGTAAAGTAATATGGTGTAATAAGTAAATAATATTTACTAGTAAATGAATCATATTTACTAATATTAGTCTTAATACTCTAGAACAGTGGTTCTCAATTTTTTTAGCCACAAAACCCTATTTGCTAATATTTTTTTATCAGATACTCATTTTAAAAATAACTAAACTGATTTTGTTGTAGTTAGAATACTTTCTTGTTTGACGTGAAATAACAAATCATAAATAAAAAATATCAATTCTTTTAATAAAATTTGTTGTACCATAAATATAACCTAACTACTCTCTCTGACGACACATTGGGCTTAGTTTGTTGTAGTGTATCAAGTGGTGTCCATGACACAAGCCTCGTAGCTTATGTGCTGTGTGTTAGTGTCCCAACATATTTAATTATTATTATTTACTATTTTAATGTGATAAATGTTTTTCTTTACATATTTATTTATAACAGCACTAAAATTAGGCTTCATTGCTGACAACGTTTCATTTAACTCTCGGACGCAAACTCGGAACCGCTGTTATTTCACGGAACCCTAGGGTTACGCGGACCACCATTTGGGAACCGCTGCTCTAGACTTGTGAATAATATGCGTGTAAACTCATAATCTCTCAAATAAACTTTATGCTTTACAATAGTAACGTGAATTTGTAGTATATTTTCTGTGTTTTATTCTTAGTAGTGGATTTGGGTTGACAATACATATTGTTTTAATCAACTCTTTAGGCAGAACGTGAAGGCCGTAACCCAGATAGACCCCCACCAGCCGCCACAGTGCTAGCCGGCCTCCAAGGTGGTCTGGATCCTGACGAGGACTCGAGCAGGAAACGCGTCACGAGAATCTCTAGTCCTGAACGCTGGGAGATTAAACAGGTATAATAATAATTTTATTTATATAGTTCTTGTTCACTAAATAAGAGATTTTAAAGTGTTAATTTGCTTGTTGACGGTCCCTTTATCGTATGTTTATAGTGTACATATTTTATTAATAAATTTTAACTGCAAATATTAATTATAGAAATTGAATTGTTTCATTAGTTTGTCAAGTTGGACTTATTTTTTAAATTAATATATAAATTTGTTTGCACAGATGATATCCTCAGGGGTAATTGACAAGAGTGAGCTCCCAGACTTTGATGAAGAGACAGGTCTTTTGCCAAAAGATGAAGATGGAGAAGCTGATATTGAAATAGAGCTAGTGGAAGACGAACCACCTTTCCTCCAAGGTCATGGCAGAGCCCTACATGATCTATCTCCAGTAAGAATAGTGAAGAACCCCGACGGGTCTTTAGCTCAAGCGGCCATGATGCAAAGTGCATTAGCCAAAGAGCGTAGAGAGCAAAAAATGATACAAAGAGAACAAGAAATGGAAAGCTTGCCGACTGGTTTGAACAAAAATTGGATTGATCCATTGCCAGAATCTGATGGGAGGGCCCTCGCAGCGAATATGAGAGGGACTGGCATCACACCTCAGGATCTACCAGAGTGGAAGAAGCATGTGATAGGCGGCAAGAAGTCTTCATTCGGTAAAAAGACCAATTTGTCCCTTCTGGAGCAGAGACAGTCGCTGCCTATTTATAAATTGCGAGATGAATTGACAAAGGTTAGTGAACATTAATTGAAATATTTGAGTAAATTGCTGTAAAGTTGGAATTGATTTAATTGATTCTTTGTATCGGCGAATAAGTCTTATTTCTTTGAATATTGTTGATTTTAATTTGAGAATTTTCAATGTTAATTTAAAATCTATTCAGTGATTACGTTACAAAATTTTTCTCTGTAAGTACATTTAATTTGAATTAGCATAAATTGGGTTAAATTATGTAATTAACAAAATATTATTATAAATATGAAATATATATAATAGGGGATTAAAGTTTGTTATTTTTACTACATACTAGCGACTAACCCTCGCTTTGCTTGAGTGCAACTCTAAGGAACGCATTAAATACAAATATCCAAAGAAAATTTCTTTTCTTGCGCAAGGAACATTGTGTTGTATACAGAATAACTAACTAGATTTTCATCACAATTGGATCAATAGTTTAGGAGTTTAGGAACGCATAGAGGACAAACATACGAACATTCATTTTTTATTTATATAGATACATCGTAACAATAACAAACATAATCATTATTACACAGGCGATATCCGACAACCAGATCCTGATAGTGATCGGCGAGACGGGCTCGGGCAAGACGACGCAGATCACGCAGTACGTGTGCGAGGCGGGCGTGGCGGCGCGCGGGCGCGTGGCGTGCACGCAGCCGCGCCGCGTGGCCGCCATGGCCGTGGCCAAGCGCGTGGCAGAGGAGTTCGGCTGCCGCCTGGGCCAGGAGGTCGGCTACACCATACGCTTCGAGGACTGCACCAGCCCCGATACTGTTATTAAGTGAGTGTTTGTTTACCTTTACAAAACAAATGTATTCCACGGGAATCGTACATTTTTTTCGGGATAATATATAACCTATATAGCCTTCCTCAATAAACAGGCTATCTAATGCAAAAAGAAATTTTTCTAATCGGGTTTAGGTGATCCAGAGGTTAGCACATTCAAACAAACAAACTCTGCCTCTTTATAATATTAGTATAGATTATAATTGTAATTGAGCCCTTCTAACGTTTCTCTGATAGACTAAATTCGAGTAGACATGCCTTAATGAAACTAGTTAGGTTTCATGCAGTACAATGTTTTTCATTGTCACATTGGCAAGTGGTAATGTGCTAGAGGTTCTATAACCTCTTAACGTGGTCTATACCCGGGCTAAGATTAGGCTTTACAAACAAGTGTGTTACCAATAGGCTAAGTAAAGTACTATAAATGTACCACAATTAGCCTTGATTATAATTTACAAATATATCGGTATTACTGTACCATTCTGAAACACTCTTCCAAAATAACAAGTTGCTTGCACTAATAGAATGGAGAAGTTTCCCATATATTTTTTTGTGTTAATTATAAAAATTTATGTAAAATATAACGAATTATAAAAAAGTATGAAATAATTATCAAAACATATATAAATAATAAATATCGCAACAAATGAAAAAGTTATAAAATTTTAAAGTTGCGCTTGTAAGAATAATTTCGTGACATCACACGACCTGAACCGCCGTTTGCATTAGTTTCTCAGTCATTTATTGATAGATTTAAAAAAAATATCACAGATTTATTAGTGTTGCCTTGTATTGCAATTCCATTGCGTTAAATATGATATTAACAAAATCATGAAACTTCTCTAATATAGCTACAAAATTAAAATACAAATATTGCTACTAAGTCATAATATACAATGTAAACCCATTTTGTTATTTCCAGGTACATGACAGACGGTATGTTGCTCCGAGAGTGCTTAATGGATCTAGATCTAAAGAGCTATTCAGTCATTATGTTGGACGAAGCCCACGAGCGCACCATACACACAGACGTACTGTTTGGACTACTCAAACAAGCCGTACAGAAGAGACCCGAGCTCAAACTAATCGTCACATCGGCCACATTAGACGCTGTTAAATTCTCCCAATACTTCTTCGAAGCACCCATCTTCACTATACCCGGAAGAACTTTCCCAGTCGAAGTCCTGTACACGAAAGAACCTGAAACGGATTATTTAGATGCCTCTCTAATAACAGTCATGCAAATTCATCTCCGGGAACCCCCGGGAGATATCCTTCTGTTTTTAACTGGTCAAGAGGAGATTGATACAGCATGTGAGATTCTGTATGAGAGAATGAAGTCTTTAGGCCCCGATGTGCCAGAACTGATAATTTTGCCAGTATATTCTGCCCTGCCATCGGAAATGCAGACCAGGATCTTCGAACCTGCTCCCCCTGGGTCTAGGAAGGTGGTCATAGCCACAAATATAGCAGAGACGTCTCTAACGATAGATGGTGTGTATTATGTAGTGGACCCAGGGTTTGTGAAACAGAAGGTGTATAACTCCAAGACCGGTATGGACTCGCTGGTCGTTACTCCGATTTCGCAGGTATGTTATTTATTTAGTTCATTAAAGTTCATGTTATATTATAAAATATTTTCTTCATGATGAACTCAATTTATATTTTTATTGATTATTTTATATGACAAAAGTCTATTTCATCATCCCTAACAATATAATTTTCTATTACGTCAATTTCATAAATTTTTATAAGCTAGTTTATAATGTTAATTATATTACATTTGATTGATATAATTGGTTAAATTCTATCTTAAACACATAACTAATAATAACAATAGAAAAAATTGTATAAGATATAATATTTTACTCAAACTGTCCAGGCGGCGGCCAAGCAGCGTGCGGGGCGCGCGGGGCGCACGGGGCCCGGCAAGTGCTACCGGCTGTACACGGAGCGCGCCTACCGCGACGAGATGCTGCCCACGCCCGTGCCCGAGATACAGCGCACCAACCTCGCCACCACGGTACACACACGCCCGCACTCAAGCACATACGCACGCGCACACACACACACACACACACACACACACACACACACACACACACACACACACATACGCGCGCACACACACACACACACGCGCGCGCGCGCGCACACACATAAACACGCACTCTCACACACATACACATAGCCCGTCCGTGATGTATATCGGTGCTTTGTTTCGGCTTGCTAAACGGACAAATAATATTATACATGTATATTATTTTATTTATAGTATTTTAATTTGGTACAGCAAAAATATAGTACATGTTAATATTGTAAACTTACTAAATAAGAAAACTCAAAAATTACTTGACCTATTAAGCTGATACGTAGGACTTTTTTAAACAGCTTATACATATGATATGTCAGCTGACATACCTAATGATATGTTCTTTACATATCTACCAAATAAAAGGACTCTAGTTGTAAAAATTTACCTATTTGGATTTAGGAATGTACTTAAAAATTATAATAAATTATATATTCTGTATCATTAAATGTGAGGAATTGAATACAATTTTAAAAATTCGTTTTTCTTATACTCTAGGTGCTACAACTGAAAACAATGGGTATCAACGACTTGCTACACTTCGACTTTATGGACGCGCCGCCAGTGGAGTCGCTCATCATGGCGCTTGAGCAGCTGCACTCCCTCTCTGCGCTTGATTCTGAAGGATTGCTCACTAGACTCGGCCGAAGAGTGAGTATGCATTGAAAATGTTGTTATGAGTTTGGGTTGGGGATCGAAAATTAAATTTAATCATTTGTATTGATATACAAAAATTCAAGATACACAATTAGTGTCTCAAAAGTGTCCTCAAAAAGAAGCGCACAATTCGAAATTGTGCACTTTTTGAAAATGGATGACAAAATTAAAACGCACGTTGTTTCCTTTTAAAACAGTACTTTATTAAGTGTGCTTAAGATCGAATTTGTGTTTAGGCAATTAGAACTTTCGATTTTTTTTTATTCTTTAGTTTAACTTAAGGTCGCATGTCGTCGCTACTTTTTGTAGAGATATTTGTTAGGAATTGTATATCTACGTTTTTATATATCAATATTTGTTTGTTTAGATTTCTTATTGTACCTATTGAGATTGACTTAAAACAGTTCACAGTCAATTCACTTTATTTCATTTTTCTCTTCTTTGTATTTCTTCTGTATCTTCCCTTAATTCCTATACTAAACAAATGTACCTTAAATTGTATTTTCATTAAATAATCAATTTATTTATTTTTTTACTATTTTTACACAGTAAAATAAACCACATTTAATATTTTACAGATGGCTGAATTTCCCCTGGAACCGAATCTCTCAAAAATCCTCATTATGTCAGTCGCCCTGCAGTGCTCCGACGAGATCCTCACGATCGTGTCTATGCTCAGCGTCCAGAACGTCTTCTATCGGCCCAAAGACAAACAAGCTCTAGCCGACCAGAAAAAGGCGAAATTCAACCAGCCTGAAGGAGACCATCTTACATTATTAGCAGTGTACAACAGTTGGAAGAACAATAAGTTCTCAAACGCATGGTGCTATGAGAACTTTGTGCAGATCAGGACGTTGAAGCGAGCGCAGGATGTCAGGAAACAGTTACTGGGTATTATGGATAGGTAGGTTTTAGGTTAACATTCTTTATTACGAATTTCGTCTCCTTAGATGGCAATCGCATTTATAATATTGTTCAAAAGGGGCAAATTTGATTCAATTCTCTTGTTAATGGCCTTAAAATGTGCCAATTGAACACCGACTACTTCACCAATATTACGTAGAATATAGAACACATGAGAGAGATTGGTTGGTTTCAAATTTATCATTATACTGCACTGGTTAGATCATGTTATATTAAGTCACTTATGTTTTAAAATGTCAATTTATATCTATACATATAATAAAATTGTAACTAAGTTGAATCTGTACATTAAATATTTTTTGGGAAATCTAATTGAAATAGACATTATTATCGATACAGAGTCCAAATCTATAGTTTTTAGAATTTTTGTCTGTCTGTCTGTTACCGCATCACGAGAAAACCATTGGACAGATTTTGATGAAATTTGGTATGATGATAGCTGGTTATCCAGGTCAACATATAGGATACTTTTTACCGCGGAAAAATATCCCATTTCTGAGAAAAATTGCAATGTAAGAGTATACTAATATGTAAACCTAAGAATTTGGTTTTTGGTCATCTGAACGTGGGCGGAGCCGCGGGCAATGCTAGTATACTATAAGTAGGGTGGCAATATTTAAATATTTCAATCTATTTTTATTTTTTTATTTTAACAGGCACAAGTTAGATGTAGTATCAGCTGGAAAAAACACAGTGAGGATACAGAAGACAATATGTTCAGGCTTCTTCAGAAATGCTGCAAAGAAGGACCCTCAAGAAGGATACCGGACTCTTGTTGATAGTCAAGTGGTTTATATTCATCCTTCCAGTGCTTTGTTTAACAGGCAGCCAGAATGGTACGTTAATTTAAATCCATACTAATATAGATTGACCATGATCCATACTAGAGTGGTTTATATTCATCCTTCCAGTGCTTTGTTGACCATGATCCATACTAATATAGAGTGGTTTATATTCATCCTTCCAGTGCTTTGTTTAACAGGCAGCCAGAATGGTACGTTAATTTAAATCCATAGTAATATTATAATTAATGTGAAAGTGTTTGTATGTTTTTTTTGTTTGTTTGTCCTTCTTTCACGTCAAAACGGAGTGACGGATTGGCGTGATTTTTTGTGTGGAGATAGTTGGAAGCCAGGAGAGTGACATAGGCTACTTTTTACCGCGGGAGATTATCTCATTCCCACATGAAAACACGTTATAATACAACCCACAAAAATATTAATGATTAGAATTACTTGACACTTGGTATTAATGATCTTCAAAACAATTAAAGAAATTTGTGAGATGTATTTTGTTTATATAAAATTTTAACCAATTGTATTGTTTTAGGGTAATCTACCATGAGTTAGTTCAAACAACAAAGGAGTACATGCGTGAGGTAACAACGATTGATCCAAAATGGTTGGTGGAATTTGCACCAGCTTTCTTCAAGTTCTCTGACCCAACCAAGTTGTCTAAGTTCAAGAAGAACCAGAGATTGGAGCCCTTGTATAATAAATATGAAGAGCCCAATGCATGGAGAATATCAAGAGTGCGAAGACGTAGAAATTAATTTTGATCTTAGCATTTAAAACTTAACCTGTTAAATAAACGAAATCAATCTAATATTGTTTTTTATTTTATCCATAGTGATAATATTAATATAATTTAATAATAATATTAATATTAATAATTTATATAATATTCTCTTCCACCTGACCAATATAACTACGGGCTACGGCGGCCATCGAATGTCGATGATGTTAAAAGGTTAAATTTGATACGACCAGGGAGACATTACCCGTATAATAATGGCTTTAAAAACTCCACAATTCGGGTGTAATGCAATCCAACAACAATTTGTATTAATTTCGTACGAGGCAAAATTTAAGACTCTAAATCCAGAGACCACAGGCTCCACTAATACTTTTGAAAAAAACTTCGGAGCTATGGCAACATTGTTTTTAGCTGTCAATTGTCAGTGTCAATTCTACATTTTTTGGTAATGAAGGTGTACTTGTTTTAATTACATGTAATATGTATTAGATAACTTTGCGGCAAAATGAATTGAATATCATTTTATAAAAAGTAGGATTGACATAAATTTGTTGTGCTTAAAATATTAAACACAATATGGATTTCTTATCTGAAATAATCGGTGAAACCGTTATACTCGGTATCGATTCCTTAATTCTTGGATTTTGTGTAAAACAGCTGAGCAAATGTAAACACATCTTGAATGCATTACAGGTAGGTTAAATAAACTTTTTTCTTAATACTTTCTTAAAAGTTTTCCTATTTGAAACTTAACAGTTCTATGATCTCATAAGAAACTATGAAAATGATTATTAATTGAGTTGATAAAAATAGTAAAATTTTTCAGTCTGCTCCAGTGCTGGACATAGACTCTACTTTAAACAAAGAGATTAATAAGTATCCAAACAATGTTATTCCTTATGTTGTCATAAGAGGCATAGTGAAACCTCTTGGCAACCCTATCACAAGTAACTATAACCAATCAGTTACAGGAGTGATCCAGAGGTAAGTTACATCAAGACTGAACTCACAATATGTTTTTAAGGATGGTCTTATTACATTTTTGTATCAATTTCTTCTATTTAAAAATTGTTTACTTTTTTTTAGTATTACTAAGTTTTAATCTGTTGAATATTATTTGTCTAGATTAACAATTAAAGAACATGTGATAGCGAGAACATCTGCAGGATTTTGGTCAGATCAGACTCGCACAATACATGAAGTATACAACTCTACACCATTTGTTTTGAACAATGGGAAGTACAGTATCGAAGTTGTTGATGCTTTAGCTGCAGAATTATTAGGTAAATCAGTGTAAATATATTAGTAAAGGTAGATGGTTCGAAAAACCTATTTAGCAAAATTAAACTTATTTAGCGAAAACATTATAATACTTTAGTCATCACTTCCACAGTATTTTATTTCTAGTTAAATATTAATCAGCTCATTTTTTGGTAATGTCAATCAAAACAAAAACTACAATAGATAAAGAAGATAAAAAATAATTTATATTTCAGATTTAGACGTAATATCAGACAAATTTGAACCCATGTCACCTGGTGTGATAGATCATGTATGGGGATTTTTCTCTGGAGTCAGACAAAGAGGTCTTCAAACAATGGAAGAAATGCTCAGGGATGGGTCCTACATCACTGCTATTGGTGAATTAAGTACAACAAGCGGGGGATTGAAGATTCAACCTCCTAAAGATGATCTTCCTCTTTATCTTACAACTGCTACAAAGTCAAGTTTACTGAAGAGACTTGCGAGTTCTAGGGACTTTTTAAGGTACATAACCCTTTTTTTTTTAATGTTGGGATTTACGCATACCACTGTGTGTATTGTTATGGTTTTGTGGGACTCACCGGCTAGAGAAGCCAGTACTACCCACTAAAACTGAACCGAACCTCCCCCCGTCTTAAGGTAAGGTTCATAAGGTACATAACTCTAGTTTTTATATCATCCCATAAGTGAAATAATTGGAGATAATACTTATCTAATAGATGTTTTGTAACTACTTAGAATGAGTTCACTGTACTACTTATTTAACAGTACTAGTTAGTTTTATCATTTAAAATAATCCTACTTTGATATAAATATATTTTTAAATTGACTATCAGTACTAATTTAATTTTGTGATCAATGTTCTCATCCTACATATTATGTTTTTTTCATTGGTACAATTTTTTTTCATTGAGATTGTATGGTTTCTTCCTTAAATATATGTTTTTTTAAGTTATTTGTTAATTAAAATATAAGGTTAGAATGTAAAAATTAGTCATTTTTTTTCATTAAACATATACATGTAGGATATATATGTACCTATGAATCAAAATAAATAGAAATCAATTTGTCTTACATTGGAGAGACGATTCAAATTACTTGCACAGTATTTCAATAAAGCACCATTTTAATAACGATTATAAATTTTAATTAAACCATTTCATGACATCACTATAATTATTTACCTTGAATACAGTAAGTAACAATAGCACATTGAAGTTTGGTACAACATACTATATAACACGTTCAGACGCTCAACTTGAAAATTAATGTATAGTATAGGTATAACATTCTTAATGACCTATCAATTATTCGTGTCAATCGATTCTGATTACGAACCGCCCGTAATTAAAGGCTATTGAGTTCATATTCCCGCGTTTCTATCGCCATGTTCGCAACGACTGTGTAAGTTGTTTTGTTTTACATTTATTGTCTCTTGGAAATTATTAAAGTGTAATCATGAATCTAAATGCCATCACTTTTTATAGTAAACAGTAAAAATAGAATTTCTTAGTATATTTTCAGACCATGTATAACCATGATCATGGTCACGGGAGAGACCTCCCCTCGGAAAAATTCCGAAAAAATAATTGACATGTTAAATATACGCGTAGATCTATATAGAAAGTATTAATAATTTTCGATATAAACTTTATCAAAATCATACTTAATTCTTATTTTTCTTTACAGAATTCTACTTGTTGTATTCGGAACAGTGGCAGCCATAGCTTCCGGCCGCATCATGTACAAATATATAAAGAGGAGAAAAAGGCGGGTAGCGGAAGAGATTTTGAAGAAACAATTAGCAGCAGGAAGGAAAGAAAGACGCGCGAACAATAGAGATAAAAACCTCAGTGAAATGCAGCTATGTGTCGTATGCACTGAGAACCCTAAGGAAGTAAGTATCGCGATTATCCAAGTTATTGGTGCTCATCAAAGATGTTCGACTTGACATGTAATTTTGTATGTTTAATCCCCGACACAAAAGGGGTATTATAAGTTTAACGTATGTATGTGTGTCTGTCTGTGGCATCGTAGCGCCCAAATTGCTGAACCGATTTTAATTTAGTTTTTTTGTTTGAAAGGAATTTTATTAAGAGTGTTCTTAGCTAAAAATCAAGAAAACCCGTTTTTCTTTCTTTCTTCTTCATTGTTCCGTTTGTAAGCTATCAGTTCTTTGCTATATGGTAAAAGGATATGAATAGCTTCTAAAGATTTAATCCAGTCGAAACTTACCATTCAGTTACTTCAATGACATTGCAACAGTATGGTTACCATGGCCTGATGCTGTTTCTTTGTTTTATTGAATGGGTTAAAGGAATTTAGTAAATGGATAGATTCTGACATTTTTAAATTATAAGAAATTCATATCTTCAAGAACCTTACAAAATTGAATAAATCATTTTAATATTATATTATCTTTTCAGATTATTTTGCTCCCATGTGGCCATGTCTGTTTGTGTGAAGATTGCTCAGAAAATATTAAAGATAAATGCCCAATCTGCAGAGAAAGGATAGAGTCCCGTGCACCTGCATTTATTACATAGACTGTTTCATTTTTTGTTTTTACTGTTAATACATAAAACATACCTCATATTACATCATATATTATAACACCACAACCTTTCATTTTATTAAAAAAGTAAAAATATCAATTGTTAAAGTGAATCCAGTGATGAAGAAAAGTGTAGTGATTTATTTTAAAATAGATTGTTCAATTATATATCAAAAGTGAAATAGAATATTTTTTGATTTTTTGCCTGAATTTACAGTATTTGTACTGTAAACAAACAGAAGAGTTATAAGAAGTTATGTACATAATATATAGAAAGTTTATACTTTAGTTTGTTTCAGCCTAATATAATTGACTGTAAATGAAGTTGGAATGAAATAAAATATATTTTAATACAAATATAATATGTATATTATTTGATGTCCCTTTTCTATTTTTGTGTTGATTAGAAAAAGTTCAATTATAATATCTTCGCTTATTATATACATACATAAATAACATATGTACAAGAATTAAATAATAAATTCAATAGAAAGATTGGTTATCTAATTATAAGCAGTTATCAAAAACCTATATGCAATGAATCAATTTTACCACAGGCTCCAGCACAGGTTTCATCATCTTCTTTAACATTTTCTTCTACATCGTAAAGATCAACTTCAAAGTCCACATTTTCAGTGTCCTTATTTGTAACACTTAATAAATTTGAATTAGGTACACCTTGTGTCTCGTCAATACTATACTCTTTAAGAAGCACATTCAGTTTCGAATCACATTTACTTTTAGTTCTTTCTCTCTCACAAGACCCATTACAACATGACTCTGAATGGTTTGAATGAACTGTTGTTTCAATATTTACTTGTGCATGGCTCTTACATGAAGACCTACAGATTTTTCCTTTAGAAATGCAATTATTTTTCTTAGATTCCTCATTTATATCTTTTATAGCACTCGCTAAACTACTTTGTTTTGCATTATATTCTTCCAACATCTTTTTTGCTTTAGAGCTTTTACCAATACCAAGCTTTGGTAGACCTTTGTTTAAGCCTTCTAATAACACACAAGCTTTGCATACTTCTTGGGATGAAACAAATTTACACCTTGAACATATCCTTTGTGATGGCAAAGAGATATCTTCTTTAACTGCCATTGTTTCCCCTGTAAATATATTATTGATTGTGTCAAAATTATAATTTATAACAGGAGTAATATCTGTATAATTTTTTTTGTTAGGGTGTGTACCTAGATGTTTTTTTTTTTGAGTGGAACCATAAATTTTGAGTGGAACAATAATTTTTTTTTAAATAAAAGGAACCCAAATTACTCCTTACAATATCAGCTATCTACCAGTGAAAGTCCCACCAAAATCAGTCCAGCCAGACAGAAAAATTGTTAAGCAATTGTGTTTTTCTTATAAGTACCACATAATTTCATATACATTTAGTAAAAAGCTGTTATTTTGACATTACAAACAGACATTTCAATTTTATTTATCTGTATAGATATATATTTTATCATATTATGTATAATCATTAAAAAGACAATTTTTAATGCCATGCCAAATTAAAATTTTATTAATATAAAAGAAAATATTAAACCTTTACCTGAGTAAATAATGTCCATTATGCAAGTAGGTCTGATTTTTTCCATATCTTTCAATAGAGCCCGAGCATGACCCCTATAAGCATTTGGTGCAAATACACATTCAGTGGAGAAGTAAACTAATTTCTTATAATGAGCATACATTACTATCTCTTTTTCATATGTATACTTTAACGGCTTCACTCTAGGAATGGTTCCTTCACTTCCCTATAATAATATAAAGAAATCAAAATCATAGAATCGATTAATTTTTTACTGAAAAAATTGTGTATAAATATATTTTTTTCTAAAGGAAATATAAAACTTACGGTTGAGATGGCAGTACATCTTTTCAATCTGGCAATGTCTCCTCTTAAAACATTCATAAGCACTGTTTCTGCTATGTCATCAGCATTGTGGCCTGTTGCTATACATTTAACATTAAGCATTGCAGCTCCTCTATCTAAAGCCTGCCTACGGAACACCCCACAAAATGTGCAATTATTTTTCCTACCAATTTGTGCCACAATTTCATCCATGGTCCAGCCATATAAATCTTTATATGATAAGATTTTTAAAGACATTTCATAGTCATCTCTATTTTGTTTGACTGTTTCTAAACTGTCATCTCTATATCCAGTGATACCTTCATCAATAGATAAAAGCATAAGGTTTAGCCCATAGTTATACCTTTGATTTAATGTTTTCATAACATGTGCAAGTACTGTGGAATCTTTGCCTCCTGATGCAGCAATAGCTACAGAGTCCCCTTTATTAAATAGCTTTCCTTTTGTGATTGTGAAGTGTATTTCTGTCTCAAATGCACAATAGAAACATTCTTTGCACAAAGCATCTCCTGTTTTCGGGCGCTGAAAAGAAAATTCTTTTATAATTTATACTTAACAAAAAAATAGAAGAAAGTATTCTAAATAAAAATAAATATTTTTGTACCTTAAGCATAGCATTTCTTCCACATCCGGTTCTGCAAGGCAGTGGCATATTAATTTATTTAAACAATATTTTATAAGCACAAGAGTTCCAAAGTATATAACCACTACGTTTTATGTATATTTATTATTTTCAACTTGTTTTAACTTTAGATCATAATGTTGCGTTATTCTAAGTTCTAACCTCTAACTTTGTTGTTATTGTAATTTAAGTTCTATAGCTAATGTATTACAGCTATTATTTTACATACCAAGGACTTAATTCATATTCTGACACTTGACAGATTCACGACCTTGAAGTTCGAAAATATTAAATATTTATGGTTCCAACCTAAAAAGGTTAAAAATAAGATACTATTTAGTTACTTCTATATTAAGCACTTGATAATTTACAAATGTAAATTGTTTATTTATAAACAATAATAAATGAAAAAATATATAAGATTGCTGTACTGAACAATTATGAACTCAATAATAGAGTGAGAGTATCCGAACTTAAAAGTTCATTGACTGCTTGACGTTTAGACAACGACAAGTCAACCAAATCCGTCTTCCTAATTTCAGAACGTATACTTTTTATCACTAGTGAAATTTTGCAAACATTATCTTATTTTTACTTCGTTAGAAAGCTCGTATGTTAAGTAAATCATAATAAATATGAATAAAATGTGGTTTTTGATGATTATACGAAAAAGGAGATAGGCTCTGTAGGCTGTAGTGTGAATGTGTCCAGTCAGTTGTTTGTTGGTGGTTCAGGCAGTTTTGTTGTGAAGTTACGTTATTTAGGAAGCAGTATGCATGAACTGCTGAAGCACGTGCTGACGGAACGGGATTTGACCCGGGCAGGTGATATTTTCGCTATCCCGGATTCGGATATTGTCGACGACTTGAACGAAATAGTAAGTCGTGAAACTTGTTTATCATCAATAGACATTAAATGTATCTATACATCGATTACTTTTCCCTTTTTCAAAATCTAGGCTCCTTATGAAATATTTCTTATTCAACTTAATTGTATAACTTGAATAATTTATCAATAATCACATACTTTCACTACTAATTAGTTTCAACTCAACAACTTAATGCTTGTGTGTTAAGTAAATAAATCAATTGGTTACAACATTAATAGAATTATTATTATATTGTCTTTTTATGTTACATAAATTACTTTATTATGTACATATTTTTAATGTTATATATATTTGTGAAGCAATATAAACAATAATTTTATTGAATTTGTTTAACATAAGGTTGATTAAGTGATTAAAATACATTTTACATGATTATATTATATCAATATAACTTTTTGATAATTTTCTTTATTTTGAACTGTTTATTTGATTTTTACCTGATTAAAAATAATATCTTCGTCAATGCCTCATAATTTAGTATATTTTTTCTGTTAAATTATTTAGTGAGTTAAGTTTCTGTTGCTGGTTCTGACTTCTGAGTTTCTTTTGCCAGTTATTTCAGGACTAAGGATTTTTCTTCCTTTTCTTTCAGTATAAAAATGTAATTATTTATTTATTGATAAATAAAATATTTTGAATTTGTATCTTGTCAGTTTGCTTTCATTTATTTGTTCAAAGTTTTAAACTAAAACTTTTTTCATATTATAAGTACCATCACATAGTTTAGAAGAATTTGGAATATTAATTTAAAAACATAAATTATTTTTCAGCTAAAACAAATAACAGATATATCATCAAGACCTGACTACACAAGGAATGACCGTGACCAAGCACTCATAGAGATATGTGTGACCAGAGTAACATCATGTATAAAAGAGACTGGTACACTGGAAAAATACTGTGGTGGGTTAGTTGCTTTGTTGGAATCCTGTCTGCATCACAATTTGATGCCCGTTGGACATTTGCGGGATGATGATCCTCCACATGCTAAAATTGCATCAGATGTTATAGCATGCATTGTACTGGTATGTAGATATATTAATCTCTTATTCATATTGAGTTATTACTAGTTGTCAAATTATAATTACCTACAATTTTATTTTATTTGTAATGCCTCCTTGGCCTCTAACCACAGATGATATAAATGCCTCCTTGGCCTCTAAGCACAGGTGATATATACTAATACAGCTGATAGCACATTCCTTACAAATGAAATGAATAGCTTTAATTTGGGCTATTATTCAGGCTATTTTTTATTTGTATGTATTGTTATTTAGCCCTTTTTAACTTCCCACTGCTTGGCACAGGCCTTTCTTGAACACAAAGGGTATCAGACTATACTCCACCACACTGGCCAAGTGCGGGTTGGGTTTTATTTGTATACTAGAATAAATAAATATATACTTGCATATGTTAAGTACAGCCAAAATAATTTTTCACTTAATTTATTAATTTCAAATTTTAACAAGTTACACTGCTTTTATCCATTGGGCATTGTGAACAACAAAAAAATGTAAACTGCGTCAATTATAAAATGCACTACATTAAAAATATCATAATTAAATTTTTCAACATTCAGTAAAATTATGGCAATATGATAGAACAACATAATTAAACAAGCCGGCAAGTCAAAGAACAAATTTTTTTTGTATCACTATAAAGGGCTCACATGTAGGCTATAATGTAATGATTTTTTACTTAACCAATGACTAATCTATACATATAATAAAATTGTAACTAAGCCGAATCTGTACATTTTTGTTTTGGAAAATCTTATTGAAATAGACATTATTACAAAACCCGAATCAATAGTTTTTAGAATTTTTGTCTGTCTGTCTGTGACCGCATCATGGAAAAACCACTGCAGGGATTTGGATGAAATTTGCTATGATGATAGCTGATTATCCGGGTCAACACATAGGATACTTTTTATTTTGGGACAATATCTCATTTTTCAACATTCAGTAAAATTGTGGCAATATGATAGAACAACATAATTAAACAAGCCGGCAAGTCAAAGAACAAATTTTTTTTGTATCACTATAAAGGGCTCACATGTAGGCTATAATGTAATGATTTTTTACTTAACCAATGACTAATCTATACATATAATAAAATTGTAACTAAGCCGAATCTGTACATTTTTGTTTTGGAAAATCTTATTGAAATAGACATTATTACAAAACCCGAATCAATAGTTTTTAGAATTTTTGTCTGTCTGTCTGTGACCGCATCATGGAAAAACCACTGCAGGGATTTTGATGAAATTTGCTATGATGATAGCTGATTATCCGGGTCAACACATAGGATACTTTTTATTTTGGGACAATATCTCATTTTTCAACATTCAGTAAAATTATGGCAATATGATAGAACAACATAATTAAACAAGCCGGCAAGTCAAAGAACAAATTTTTTTGTATCACTATAAAGGGCTCACATGTAGGCTATAATGTAATGATTTTTTACTTAACCAATGACTAATCTATACATATAATAAAATTGTAACTAAGCCGAATCTGTACATTTTTGTTTTGGAAAATCTTATTGAAAAATGACATTATTACAAAACCCGAATTAATAGTTTTTAGAATTTTTGTCTGTCTGTCTGTGACCGCATCATGGAAAAACCACTGCAGGGATTTTGATGAAATTTGCTATGATGATAGCTGATTATCCGGGTCAACACATAGGATACTTTTTATTTTGGGACAATATCTCATCTCTGAGAAATCTATACTAAACGTTAAAACGTAAGTAAAGACGAAACCAAGCGAAGCTAGTTATTTATAAGATGTAATGCCCATTATACGTTTCTTTGTAGCAGCTATAAGATATCACTGCTAAACCATTCTTGGTCTATTGTGATAGTCCATTATAAATATCCATCCATCCATCCAAGTCATGTTGTCATAATCTAAAGGTAACATCACTTTGTGATGATAACCTCAGATATAGATAATGAAAACGAAAGTATAACACTTTCGCTTTTCACTCCATGGACCAATAAATAGAATGATATCATTTTCAAGCCACAAAACAACACGCGTATACATTTCTCAGGTATCATTTCCCCTACAAGCGGACAAGGAAACGAGTGGTAACGCGGAAGTGATGGAGCTGTTCCTACCGGTCGCGGTACAGTTCCTACATAAGGGCAACAGGGAGATATCTCGCCATATGGCGAGGTACTTGTCCCTAGCAGCGGTACACCATGCCGTGCTGTTGAAACCCCATGTGCAGACCATCATGGATTCTATTATGTCGGGTGTGTGAGATATTTTACAAAAAATATCTAAGTGATATAGTTTTTTTTAAATAATAGTACATAGTTTCACCCGACTAATCTTTACGTTTTACTTAGTTTTTTCTTGACACAACATTTTAAATAAGTGTTGAAGTGCATTGTTAATAGAACTATATTATATTTTATATAATTTAAATTTAACAAAAAAATAAAAAAAAACATAAAAACAAAAAATAGAAAAATATAATGCCGTAGCCTAAACTCAAAAATGCATTAAAAACTTCTTCCTTTTTTCAGTTGATTGAAAAATTTAAATAGTAATTATAAACAGAAGGAAAACCAAATTAAAGTGATCGCCGTTTAGCTCATAGTAAGATCAATTTGTAATATAATAAAACTGGAATTTGCCCGCGGCTCTACCTGCTTAGTTTGAAAATAACGAATGTTCATATAAACTTTGAACTCCCCTCTTTACATCTCTAGAGGTTGAACTTCAATATTCCTTTCACACGGGATTTATGAAAACTACACAGATTTTCATTCAAACCCAATTTCAGATTAATTATAAATATGTTAGGACATTATATTATGAGGATAATAAAATTGCAGGTAACTACCCATTATGTCGGATATTGACAAACTTATACGAGGTATGTCCTGAGCCGCTGGAAGGTCACGTGACGGCTCTGGTGTCCTTGTTGCCGCACGCGGAGCCCGTGGAGAAGAGCTCCCTCTTCGCCCTCTTCGAGCAGATAGCCGCGAGACGCCCCGAGGCGTTGAAGACCGCGATACCACAGCTGCTGTCCTATTTGTGCCCGAACACTGCCAGCCAGGATGATCCGGGGTGCATGTGTATTGATCTATTACAGGTGAGGTTATTTGTGCTTTTTATGTCCGAATTATCTGGATGTTTTTTTTTGATTTTATGTGAAAATTATTATTTTTTAAATTATAACTTCATAATGGAGGAAAACCCGCTTCCTTACGTAACGCGTTACGGCGCGAGTCTGTCTTTCCCTTTTTCTCACGCGTACGACAGCGGTAGGCAAACTCTTCCTCTGTCACTTTAACCCACAGCGCTAACCGTATATATGTATATAGATTGAAATATATTTTATAATCAATAAAAGATTTTATAAATAAATAACCTTTCCTTACATTATCATATTAATATACATAAAATTTAAGTAATAACTTAAGCTTTTCTCAAGTTTAACAATTTCAATATTAAATAGTTTAAGTTATCACTTCTGTCAGACGTCCTGAGACGCACACGTTTTATTATAATTCTATGTTGGAATAATATATTTTAGGTAATAAATAAGTATTTAATACATCAGATTAACACATATCTTATATCTTTAAATGAGCAATTCTTGTACATATATTACTTTTGTTTTTTTTTTAAATATTTATTTAAGTTTTTAGTTTAAAAAGAAAAAAAGAAAATTGTACTTTAGGCTAAAAACTCCGAGCAAAGCTCCGGTAGCCAGGTACTAATTTATTAAAATACAATAATACATTTTCAATGAGACTATCTTAGATCTTTATATTTATCTAGAAACGGCTGGATCGAGTTTGACGGGACTTTGAACTTTACACTGGCAAGTAGTTGATGTTATAAGGCGTAACTTTTTTCAGTAAAATAATTAGGGTTCCGCTCGAAAAAATCAAAATGTGCCTAGGGACGAATGCGAGCGAAGCGAGGGTGAGTCGCTATTGAATATAATAAATGTTGTGTCGCAGGTGATAGCGAGCGTGAGCCGCAGCCGCGCGGCGCTGGTGGCGGAGCACGGCGCGGCGCTGCGGCGCGGCGCGCGGCCGCCGCACGCCTCGCCGCGCGCCGCCGCGCTCGTGGCCGCCTCGCTCGCCGCGCTCGGCTACACCAGCAGGGTCGGTCACTGCTTTATAATAGTAGTACTTTTCAATTCTGCAACATGAGTAAGCAAATTAATGTGAGGATTCTATACCTACACTCACATTTAATTATTCAAGATTCATTTAGTTATAAAGTTTTTTGGTTCAAATTTGGATAAAGCCAAAATAATCATTATTATTACATTTTTTGACATAAAATTCCTAGTTAATTTCTATTGCTTGGATTTGGAAAGTCAGTGATGTATAAAATCCTGTGCCTCGGAAAGAACGAAAAATTTATTATAAACGAATAAAGAGTGAACTTGTGTCGCACACATTTATAAACTATATTATATCCGGCAGTTGGTTAGTCTTAAGTGAAATAAACCATACTTTTTATATGGTGTATAGTTATTATAATAACTCGTATGCTACGAGCAAATATTGCTATATAGTGTTTAGCTATGTCCCGTGGTTTCATCCACGTTAAATTTCATTATAAATATTAGTTTTACAATAACGTATAGAAGTCTGCCCGGTTTGTTGACATTTATGATTACTGCTCCGCTCCCTTGGCTAGTAGCATGATGATATATAGTCTATAACCTCAATAAACGGGCTATCTGATACAAGAAGACTTTTTCAAATCGGATTAATAGTTTCTGAGATTAGCGCGTTCAAACAAACAAACTGTGTCCCTGTAATATGTATCAGTATAGATGTATGTGTCGGGCGCAGGAGCGCGCGCAGGAGGCGCTGAGCTTCATCGTGGAGCGCGTGGCGGGCGGCGGCGCGGAGCAGGCGGCGCTGCTGCGCGAGGCGGCGGCGCTGTGCTCGGCGCACCCCGCGCTCTTCACCGACCGCCTGCTGGCCGCCTTGCGCGCCAACACGTCTGTACACCACTTTATTCTATTTTTTTGAGGCTCAGTGACGTATGTACTTCCTCAGTACTTCTGCTGTCCTGGTTGTTGAATAGCTTCTCACGCCTTTGCTGATATATTGCTTGTATTTTAATGTTGGCAAATGCATTTACGCACACAACCTGTGTACTATACAGAGGGTTATGTGAATCACCGGCTAACGAAAGTGCTACACATTAAAATCCAACGGAACCTTCCCATTTTAATGGAGTATTGCAGGACCGCCCGCAGCTGCCTGCCGAAGCAGATGCGCTGATTCCACAGTCACTCTGTTACTAGAGAAATATCAAAAATAATCCACTGTCTCGCAATGTGTCTCTAAGCTTCATACTTGTATGGATTGACGGTTTAAACTTTGATGTGGAATAAGTAATGCCTATGTGGCAACTGTTATACTCTTAGAGAAGCATCTGAGTAAAGTGAGAGTAGATCGTTAATATCTATATAATATATCAATCTAAGCACATTTTTAAATAATATCATTCGTATATTTAACTTTTTTTGAATAGTTTATAATTAATCAAGTATAATATTTTATTTATCTCTACTCTACATATTTTATAATGAATACCTCTTATAACAGAAATCGTCCAAAGTCCACTCACGGGGAAGTAAACAGAACATCAGGTGGCGTGACAATCGTCAAACTGGGAGGACCGACGACGCCGGTAGCGAGCACAAACTCCGTGGCACCAGCGGGGATACCGACGACCCCCGGGTCGAGTGGGCCCCCAGCGTCGTTGGGGTCCACTGGGCCCCTTGCGTCCCTGGGGTCGGCTGGACCCTTGCCCTCGCTGGGGCCCGCGGGCGCGGCGGCGCCGGGCTACACGCGGCGCGCCAAGCTGGGCGACTCGCGCAGCACGGGGCGGCTGCACCCCGGCCCCAACTCTCACAGAAGTATGACTCGGTTGAATGTTGCCGGTTAGATTAAATTTTAAGTTTTTTTTTCATTGTATTCAGCCCTTTTTGACGTATTGCTGGGCACGGGCCACCCTGCAGTACGAGAGGGATCAAGTCATAGTCCACCACGCTGGCCAAGTGTGGGTTGGCGGACTTCACATGTCTTTCGAAAACTTATTATGTTGTCTCAGACATCAGAAGGTTTCCTCACGATGTTTTCATTTACCGTTACACTAGTATTAATCATGTTAAAAATGATGCGCACATGAAAATATCAGAGGTACGAGACCCGATATTTGAACCTACTTCACTAGGTTTATTAGATTTTTTAAACGATCATTTGCTACCAATGGGCTAACATTGCTTCATTTTTCTGGTTTTTATATACTTTTAAATATAATTATTAAATAAACAATGTTGATTACTATATTTCACCGTTTTATTGCTTATTTGTTTGAACAGTCAACACTTATTGTACTTTACAATAGAGAGTCTTTTTCTTCTATTTTAAAATTAAAGTTTTATATTTACGATTAATATATGTACATTGTACATATATAGATACAAAATTTTTTTTAGAATTGACATTTAAAAATCAATCATTCTGTATTAAAAACTTTCGGTGAATTGGTCGTTTGGACAAATAAGCATTGAGACGTTGATTTAACGTCTATTCCAGTCCACTGGTCTCTCACAAAGACTTCTATTACAGTTATAGTTAAGTTTATGACGTAGCAAACCTTAATATATTGGATTTCTGTAATGAGAAAATAAGTAAAATAATTATTGAATAAAAACTTCTATAGGCAGATTTGGATGAGTAAATTCATGTAAATCGTCATCGACATGGTCACGTGACGTGTTAACGCTAGCACTCAAGAGTGCCGATAGATGTCAAAACCAGATAAATATAAACAGTTTTAATTTACAAATTTTAATTTAAGATCACAAAATTAATTAAAATATCCATAAATAACAACTGTTTGTTTATAGTTTTAAGTTTTCACTTCTGTCGGCAGTCCTCATGACTGCGTTTTTTTTTTCATTATTATTCCAGGTGGTTCCGTCGGTGGTCTGCACAAGAGCATGACGCGGCTGTCGTCCTCGCAACAGATAAACGCGCAGCAGAGTGGCGCCACTCCACAAAGTAATTTTTACATTTAATTTAAATACTTATATTTGTTGGGTCATTTTTGCATTATAAAGTAGACCTTGAGCAATTTCAATATTAAGTAATGGATTTAGTAAATAGCTCTGTTAAGTTTAGGTCAGTTTTTGATGTAAAATTATTAAGCACAGTACCTTTTTCCTCCTCGCTATCCAAGAGCGTGAATACAAATGAGACTTTCTGTAATGCGGGCCAAATTAGGATATAGTGTAATATTATAATACTGCCCAAGTGTGTAGAAAACCACTATAGTGTTAGGATGGATTGGTTAGTTGGGTACTCTGACTGCCTCGGTGGTCTAGTGGCTAGCATGTACGACCGAAGATTCGGAGGTATTGGTTCGAGTCCCGGGTCGGGCCAAGGTCAGTTATAATGTCAAGAAACTCAGAAGTAGCCCGGAGTTAAGAATTGGCGGTATTTACTCTTGTGTTTCGTAAAGTACACGTAAAGTCGTGGATCCTGTACCTTAACTCTCACCGGTCGTGGCTCGTGTTGTCCCACCGGAGTATGAGAGTGACAGGAACAAAGAGTGCACGTTGTGTCTGCGCTCTCCCTCACACGCGCTGCACTATAATATCTCCTGCGCATGTGGTTAGTCTCAGTGGGACTGGCCGCCGTGGCCGAAATCGGTCGGGAGAACAATTATTATTACAAGTTGGACTTAAAAAATCAAATGCTCTTATTTTTTCCTTTACCGTATTACATGAGAATCATAAGTTGAAAATGAGGTTCGCAAACATGTGAAATACTAACTATACTGTCAAAGCGTCTAAATAGTATGAATTATTGAAATGTATAAGTATCGGTGCGATGTCCGCAGGCGGCGGGCGCGCGCGCGGCGCCGCGCCGCACCGCCACAGCATCCTCATCGGGCCCGCGCCCGCGCCGCCGCCGCCGCACGCTACAGCCACGGTAAGTGCTGTTCTATATTCCTTATATATATATATATATATATATATATATATATATTATAGTAAGTATCCTATGTCCTTCCCTGGGTCTCAAACTATCTTCTTACCAAATTTCATCTAAATCGGTTCAGTAGATCCAGAGATTACCCCCTACAACATCACAAACTCACAGACTTTACCTCTTTATAATATTAGTATAGACATATATTAAAGCTACGTTTTAGTTTAGTATAGATTTCTCAGAGATGAGATATTTTCTCGCAGTAAAAAGTATCCTATATGTTGATACGGATAATCAGCTATCGTCATACCAAATTACATCAAAATCTGTCAAGTTGTTTTCTCGTAATCAAAAATTCTAATAACTATCGATTCGGCTTCTGTATCAATAATAAGGACTATTTAAATAAGATTTTCAAAAATATATTTCATGTACAGATTCGATTCAGTTAGAATTTTATTATATGTATAGATTACGTGTATATCTCAAACTAAAAAAATATCACTTGAGTTTGCCAAGATATAATCTTAAATCCGCCAAAAATTAAAAATTGTGTCCGCCAAAATATATGTCGAAAATAGTAGCATGATATGCTGTTTATGCTACTGTTCTCGATTTTACCATACAGATTGTTTACTTTTTTTAAAGAATAAGTTAAATTTTAAATTGTATATATGTAATAATTAATATACAATTTTTGAGAATAAAATACGAATAGTAAAAATAAAACTAGGTATGTTCTTTTATATTATTTAAGCGTCAACTCTCTTTCCCTTAAAAGTGAGATAGCTTAATATTAGTTTTTTTTTCATTACTATAATAAAATCCGTTAAACATTTTTATTTATTGACATTTATTTACTTATCACTCAGTATACAAATTGTCATTTGTATGGTATTTTAAAGTACTATAATTGTTTGGCTTCATGTTTAGTTCTATGGCACACTATCTATATTATTCCTTAGTCAGAGATGCCTATTTAGATTTTAAAATGTCTATTATAATAGACATTTTATTTATTTGAATGAAGTCACACAATATTTATAATTTCCAATGTTTATAATATATGACTACCAAAAGAAAAATATTTGAAAACCTATCGGAAGACTTTTCACATACTCAGGTTTTTTACTGATCATACTGATCAGTTACATTTATGGAGTGCCACTGTTACTCAATATTCTCACACAAGTCTATCGTTCTAATATTTGCTTTCTTGTATTAGTAGTCTTTAAGTAGAACATTTGATCGAGTGTTACATAGAGACAAACAGATAAGGAACATATGATGAATGTTGTTGAAAAAAAACTTCATTTTCGCTTACAGAATTCTGGCCCAACAATAATCTCCGGAGTGTCCGTACAAAGCCAATCCATATCAGTTAACCCGTTAACGTCCGGCAAGTCATCCGACGCGCTCGTCCCCGCCTCGGTCTCCGTGCAACACTCCAACACCGCGCTGGGGCAGGTGTCGGTTATCACCAGCACGGGTCCGTCCGGCCCCACCGGCCCCACGACCAACCCTGCCCCGGCGGCTGCGGTCACGGTGACGTCACGCCGCGCGAACAACACAAGCGTCACGATGATCAACTCTAACAACTCAAACTCCAACTCGAACTCTAACTCCAACTCAAACCATAGGATAAGTGTGTTCGAGCCGTACCCCATGCGGGACACGGTGCAGCACTTCTGTGAAAAGCACTTGGATAAAATAAAGGCGTACATGGATAACGTGTCTCTGAGGATACCGCCGCCCGCCAAGTGCACTATTGAAGGTTAGTTATTGATATTCAGAATGTATGTACAAGTACATATAACTAGCGACTCACCCTCGCTCGGGTTTGTCCCTACTTACGTTTTAACGTTTAGTATACATTTCTCAGAGATGAGACAAAAGTATCCTATATGCTTTCCCGGATAACCAGCTATATCATATCAAATTTCATTAAAATCCCTCCAGTGATTTTTCCGTGATGCGGTCACAGACAAACAGAGAGGAATTCTAAAAACTATAGATTCAGCCTCTGTATCGATAATAATGTCTATTTCAATAAGATTTTCCAAAAAATATTTCATGTACAGATTCGGCTTAGTTACATTTTTATAATATCTGTAGATGAAGTGCATAGACTGTAATATGTTATTTAAAATGTCACATCTTTCTACTTCTTTCTATGTATAATGAAAACGATTTTTCCCTTGTCACTCCATTACGTAAACACTACTGAACGTATCGGTATGGGAATCGGGATGCGGGATCATTTGTAGATGGTTTATAGACTTTTTGATGACTTTTGTATTTAGATATATTTGTATTTCTGGGTTCCATAACATCCCACATTTTTTTTATGTTTTGTGGTAAACTAGACCATGGCTACTTGAGTCTTTCTGTTAACAATATCTTACATACATATCGGAGTTGAGAAGTTGGTTGTGTTTCACTCTCACAAATAGTTTTGCATCTGATCTCTCATCGGTGGTGTTAAATTGTCACCCCACTGGAATTTGAAAGTGAATACATAATACTTAGCACTATAATATCTTCTAAAATTAAACTCAAGTTTAAAGTAGAATAGAATCTTTATTGACACAATTGTTTGTTGTTACATAAGCCTGTTGAAGCCTCTGACTCCCAAACTAGAATAAACCTATATGTCAGGAGTCAGTAAAGTAATTCTATTATAACATAAACCGGGATATTTGTTATATTCATCATTTACTCTCGAAGATTCCCGATATTTGGGCATTATTACAATCGTCATACGGTTGTATTAAATTCATTCGAAGTCGAACCAATAAAAAGTAGCTAAACATAGTAAAGATCCTGTTTTACATAATGACAATATTGTCAATGACCATGAATGTCTGAAGAAGTGAACCCAGTGGCAAGAGTGAAGCGTATTCAAATCTCAGGTCTCACACCTCTGATATTTCCATGCGCGAATCGTTTCCAACACGATTGCTCCCCCAGAACGGCGGTCCAAGAAGCAGGCGCGGCTGTCGTTCGCGTGCGGGCGGCGCGGGCCGCACTGCCTGTACGCGCGCGCCGCCTTCTCGCTGCGCACGCGCGCGCCGCGCACCTGGATACACCTCATGTTCCTGGCGCTGCAGGCGCGCCACGCCGCCGCGCTGTCCTCGCGCGACCCCACCGTGGCCAGCCTCAAGCACTGCTGGGACATCCTCAAGTGCGAGAACAAGACCTTCCTCACGCTCGTCACGGGCGCCTTCCCCGGACTCAAGGTACCACCACACACATACATACATATACACTGGACTGGTCGGTAATATTTTTTTTCTGACGCCCCCTTAAAAGTTTCCTTTTAATAAAAAAACGCGATATTTTTTTCCCCCAAATGAAACATCTCTTCAGCAGTCAATTTCAATTGTCAATTTTGTGTGTATGTATATATATATATTCAATTATTACAGCCTGAATTAAAGTGACTTGTGTGCGACGATGTATATAGTTCATACACGACTGTAACTAGCAAGAAGTGTCGGAAAAAATCTTATTACATTTTTTTCGGCCTCGCTCCTATCGGCCCAGAGCGTATAATGCGCAATTTAGGAACTTCGTTCCAAAATTTTAATATTAATTAATTTTTATATTATTTTGTTTATTATTTATTAACTGTCCAGATAAAAAAAATCATAAATGATGGCTCAAACTTGTAGTACAAATAATGTAAATATTAATCAATAATCCGATGAATTTTGAAAGTTTCCACATCACATGTACTATGTGTCATGTATAAATATATTAAATTCAGTGATGAAAAATATATCGTATGCACTACTATATATGGTACATTTTACATTGTATCTTCAGGTGTGTTCCGGAGGTAGCTGCGGCTTGCGGGATTCTTCATCGATAAAATATTTAGTAGTGTAAATGACGTCCCCGTGTCCCCGCAGGAGCAAGAGATGCTGCTGAACGAGCTGCGGTCGGCGGGGTTCTTCGACGTGTTCGAGGTGACGGCGGCGAGCGCGCGCGCGCCCACGCACGCCACGTGGGGCTGCTTCCTGTGCAACCACCCCGAGCGCGCCGTGGGCTTCCTGGCCGCCGATGAGCCCGTCATCGAGGGCCAGCTCAAGGAGAAGAAGGGCCGCTGGCGGCTGTTCCGGCGCTGGCGCACGCGCTACTTCACGCTCTCCGGCGCGCATCTCTCCTGCAAGGGCGCGGTTAGTGCACACCGTGGCATGGCATACTCTCGTATATACTGCCCATAGTCTATATTAATATTATAAAGAGAAAAGAATACACAAATATATAAACATATTCAACAAATTAAATACTACCGTATCCACTCAACGAATTAATTTTGGACCAATTTTCGATTTCCAGAGTGGAGGCGAAAGCATAGACATCAACCAGATCAGATCGGTGAAGGTGTCTCGCGGTGCTCGCAACATCCCCAAGGCCTTCGAGATCTTCACCGGAGACCAGACCCTGATCCTCAAACCTAAAGATGGGAAGAATGCTGAGGAGTGGGCACAGTGCCTCAGCATAGCAGTAGCTCATTCCCAAGCACGTGATGCCCCTGCAAAGGCCAACAGCCTTCCAGCTCGGGGATTGACTTTGAAGAGCTTCTGACATATACTCAAACTGTAGTCTAATGTTTTGGCACACCATTCTCAATCAAGAGAAAAGCACACTTTAACCACTAGGACAAATAACTGGACGATAAATATAGTTTGATATTATATTGTATAATTGATTTTGGTATCTCCAATGAAATAGGTCACTGCCAAAAAGTTTGTTTAATTTTACAAGTTTTAAGACATTTATGTACATGTCACTTTGCCCGAGTCAAGGTAATGATGCTTGTGGTATGTATACGTATTTATAGAAATAATTGAAGTATAAATGTCTATTGTTGATCAACTATATATAATTCTATGTATTTTAAAATAACTGAGTTTAAAAACTCAGTTATAAAGGAATTTTTAATTTTCATTCATAATAATCATTAATTTAAATCCAATTCGACATAATCATGATATAATTGACTACTAACAATATGTTAGTTATATAATTATTATATAAATGACTGTACTTTGACAAAACTAACTATATAATAACTCAATTTGCCAAACTATTTTCTTCTGTATCTATACACATCTAATATTATCAACCTGTTGATAGCTAGTTGTTAAACCGATTTTTAATTATTATATAAAATACTAGCGGTAAAACGAAAATTAATCTATCCCACGGGAACCGTACATTTTTCCAGTATAAAAGCCTATGTGCTATTCCAGATTATAATCTATCTCTGTGGCTAAGTTCATTCAGATCCGTTCAGCCGTTCTGGCGTGATTGAGTAACAAACATCCAAACATTTATTTAAACTTTCATATTCATAATATTAGTCAGATATGACAAATTTGTAAGGAAAATGGTTAAATCTTCACTTACTTTTCATTGTAAAAATTAAATAATTAATATTGCAGATTTCTTATTTTGTTATTTTTAAATACAAAAGTCTTTATGATGAAAGTTTAGTTGTATTTGTTATATGTATATAGATGAGATGGCATGATATATCATTACTACCTTTAATCCATTTTAGTACTTAATGTTACGTAGAATATACATACATTTCTACTTATACCTGTTACAGACCAAACTAGATTTCAGGCCAAACTGGTTTGTCCTAGGCCAAAATTAGGCCTTGTGTCAGGATATAGTAGTTTAACCGGTAACATACCGACATAAGTCAGTCATACAAGAAGTCGTTTTTGAAGTTATACTTCTTTTGGCACGTTTGGAAAAAGATATGAAAGTAAAATTTTTACGATGCGCGCGCACACCGACAGCCAAAAAGAGACATGATGAAGTTAGCTGCATTCCTTTTCCAAACAGAGAGTTGTAACATACGGGGTGAAATCTTTAGCTATTTTTGTTCTGTTACGCCAAAGAAGTATAACTTCTTACGTGCGTACATACAGTACACACTTACGTTTTTTTTGTTCATCGAGTCACATGCATAGTTGCATGAAGTCATACGAAGTACTTACAAACTTTCATTGCCAGTTGTGCCTTAACTTTATGATATAAGCGAATGCGATTTTTTTTTAAATAATTTTGTGTACTTAATTTTTTTTGTATTATACTTTTTTCAATTAAAATAATAAGCTATTGTGTTATTCAATGACATGAGTTATGGGGATTTTTTGTGATTTTTTTTATTGTCATGACATATTGAAATTATATGTGCATTTTTTTGTTTGATATTCAATGTTTTAATATTATTTAAGCAAAAGACAGATTTACGTGAAATGTGAATTTATGTAATATGTAAATACTGATAGTACTGACTGTGTTAAAGTACAACGTTTTTATGTTTTGCCCATAGGTTAATTGAGGTATCAATTTTTGAAATTGTTTTTTTTTCTGTATATATGATACTAAAGCAGTTGCGGTGGGTCGAAGACTGAGCAAATGTAGAGAGTTTGTACTTAAAAATCTAAAATATGGGGTCTCCCATTTTTGTTTTAACAACAGAGTTTATTTTTTTTTAATTTCAATTTAAATATTGATGTGCAAGGTTTGTAATTCTTTATTTAAGCGTATGAGTAAATAAAATTGAAATATATCATCTCATCTGAAACGAAAGGAGACCCTGTGTCGCTCATGGTTTTAATTTTTAATGTTAAAACCGTTTTTAAAAGACAAAAAAAAAAGATTCCGACGAACCTCCTCCTTTTTTAAGAAGTCGGTTGATAAGATATAATGTGATCACTATACAAATGTAGACGTCAATAATGTTCGATGCACTATTAATAATGTTTTTATTGTATATTTTAATGTCCTATTATGTTATATTTCAATCATAGACGTAGAGTATAGACTGAGCAATACTGTCATGAAATTGACCATTATCTAGAAAGAGAGAAAGCGAACGTGCGGCCAATGTCTTTTATTCCAATTTGAATTTATAAACGGAATATAAAAATATAAAAAAAAAACAAAAACAAATTATCCCACGGGAACCGTACATTTTTCCGGGATAAAAAGTAACCTATGTGCTATTTCAGACTATCTCTGTGCCAAATTTCATCCAGATCCATTCAGCCGTTCTGGCGTGATTAACAAACATCCATACATCTAAACTTTCACATTTATAATATTATTAGGATTTAAAATTATAATATTATAATGAAACGAAAAACGGTTGTACGTATCTATCTTCATTAATCGTATTTCAATGAATACAGAAGACGTCTGGCTGCACATTTGTTTTGTCTCTGTCGCGCGAGTCCGCCATTTTTAGCTAACGGCTAAGTTAAGTAACGGTTAAGTTAAAGAAACACTCAGTCCACTTTCTATGCCTATGATTTCATTTAAGATTGTCGCCAAAAATATTTAATATTAAATCGAATACGGCGAGTTGTGATTCGAAATTGACATTCCGGTTGTTATAAAATGTTCGTGGTCTCAAACTGTGAAAAGGTTGTTATAAATTATTGATTTGATTATATACATTCTTTTTTAATAATTTTTGCTGTATTATTTTGAAAGTTTTATTAATTAAGATACCTTTTGAATATTTAGTAAGTGTTGGTAGTTTAATTTTGTAGAATGTGAACATTACTTATATACTAAACCTATTGAGTCATATTTGCATGAGTTTTAATAAAGTTTTGAACACAAATTTGGTGGTACTAAATGTATAAAACGGTGAATAGAAGCAGGACCATAACGATCTGCTTACCGTTGCCGTTTCGGCCTTATTTTTTTTTAATAACCAATAAATAATTATGGAGTTTTTTTTACTCCAATTGACAATGCTAAACGATAAAATATTTTATAAATATATTGTAGGTATCTGTAAGAAATGTTAATTTTGTTTTTAAATTTTATACATGTAAATGTTATATACCATAACTTTAATAATTGTACTTAATTTTGTTTGTATATCAAGTTATAAATTGTAGGCTTTGTTTTGCGAGTTTCATACGCACTGCTGTTTTTATGAAATATTTTTATTAATTCACCTTTAGTTTTCTTGTCGAATATGCTTCTGTTGTAGATTTCAAATTTCATAGTTAAATCTAGATTTAAACCCAAATAAGGTCTATTAGTAGGTGTAAGTTCACTTCGAAGGTCCCGTTTAGAGATGTTTCAGAGCTCTTTTGAATATAATAAGAACTAGTAAATATATCGTTAAAAGTCATACAAAAATTAAAAAAAATAGCAAAACTATAAGTGTTATGTACCTATCGCTTACATTTGTAAGACAATTATTGAAATTTCTAAACACTCGCTTATAAAATATTTATTTTATTAGCTCTATGTTGACATACGGACCGCTGTTTTTTTAATCTTTACGACGTCGAAGTAAATTTATTAAAATTGAAAATCTTTTCTAAACATTTCCCACATTTAAATTTAGTATAATTATATTTATTATTTGAAATGACAAATAGTAATAAGTGTATGTAAGCAAAAATCCATTGTATGTGCCAACCTGTAAAATGTATACAAACAACTATCAAAATGTAAAGTCGACCATTCACTGCTAGACTCGGAAATATTTTTCTAGAATAGCTTATTTCAAATCCTACAAATTCATTCAATTATTATTGGAAATTCTTAAATTATACTTTTTAATTCTATACAGTAACATCCCACCGGAACTTTATTTGTGATAATGAATGGTTGGCTTTATATTCACTCAATCTTAATATACAAGAATAATATAAACAACTAATACAAACTATTTACTCTGTGAAGAAGAATGAACATTTGTTACTTTCACACAAAAAAAATCAAAAAAGTTTTCTTTCAATACTTATTTAAATATGAATATAGGATCTCCTTTGATCAGTAAAACGTTTCCAATCACTTGTAAACAAACTTAACATCTATTATTATAACATTTTCCGAAAAATTAATATTTTTTTTATAAATATCATTTTTATAAGTAGACGTGTTCGTTCTTCTTTTAATTTTCTTCTAAGATATAAGAAGTACTTATGATTTGGGTGCTAGTTACGATATTACAGCGCTTCCAGTGTTCAATGTTAGTAGATGTGACGTCGCGACCGACGCTCGTACTTAATGTCTTATTTATTAGCAATAAAGTTCTGTTTTAATTATTTGCGTTTTCTTTAACAACTTAGTAAGTAGAAATTCATTCTAAGTTTTTTAATCAGGAATGAAAAAGTTAAAATTAGAGGACAGTTTTATATTCCCACCAAAAACGACCCAAGAGTACTGCTGTTAAGTAACCCGAAAAAAAACAAGTTAGAAGCAACAATATTTATTATTATAAAAAAATCATTAAATAATAGCATGAGGTTTCATACACTGTAATTGCTTTTTAAATCCAGCATTCGGTTGAATGGCCGGCCTTTTGGTTTTAACTAGATTGTACGCTTCTTCGAAACACATGCCCTCATATTGCATTAAGTATGCGATTGCCACCATCGAAGTGCGAGACACTCCCGCGTTACAATGTACTAATACATTCTGCTTGTTTTCCACACCACTTCTTACAAATGGTAGACATTCGAATAAAGCTAATTTTATGTCGATTTCCGGCAAATCTAGAAGAGGAAGATATTTATGCTCCACATTACAAATATCTACATCAATACCTAAGCTCAAAACACGTTTTATGTCGTATTTCTCTAATATATTTGTTGTGGCGCAATCTTGAGAACCTATATACAAGTGATTTACAATTAAAATCGGTATATCATCTGGTTTAGTATCTACTACGAAGCCAAAACTTTTATCTACTAATATTCCTGAACCTTCGACGAATCTAACGCCATCTGCACGTGTGACTACTGTCTCGGTTTCCTTCAATCGTTCTTTTTGCTTTTTCAGTTCACTTAAAAAAATCATATTCTCTCACTATTTATTCTAGCAATAGCCGAAATAAATTAATAGATTTTTTTCATTCACTATCACTGCATATTTGTTCATTCACTTCTTTATCATTCGCACTTGGAGTGTATATCAAATCTTCAGGATTGTAACTGACATTGGCAAGATACAGTCCGTCAGGTGGGCAGTTCTGGATAAAAGTATGCCAGGAGTGCTTGGAAGGCACTTGTAACATAACCTTGATGTCATTCAACTCTAGCTTGCCGATGGCCACTGTTATGAGTGTGCCTATCATTCGCCGTATCTGAAATATAAATAAGGAGATAGTATGTCAACTGCAAATGAGTAAAAGGGGACTTTATATATGGGATACTAGCATTGCCCGCGGCTCCGCCCACGTTCATATGACCAAAAACCAGATTTTTAGGTTTAACATATTAGTATACTCTTACAATGCAGTTTTCGTATTTTTTCTCAGAAATGAGATATTTTCCCGCGGTAAAAAATATCCTATATGTTGACCCGGGTAACCAGGTATCACCATACCAAATTTCATCAAAATCCCTCTAGTGGTTTTTCTGTGATGCGGTAACAGACAGACAGACAGACAGACAAAATTTCTAAAAACTATAGATTCTGCCTCTGTATCGATAATAATGTTTATTTCAATAAGATTTTCCAAAAAATATAAATATTACATTAATCGATAAAAATATGAATCTGTACATTAAAATGTACAGATTCGGCTACGATACAATTTTATTATATGTATAGATTTTCCGTTTAACGGGTTCAGCCCGATATTAACTTTCCATAGTAATACTATGGGGTCTCATCACGAAAAAAAATAGTTCCAATGATTGTCAATAAACGACGTTACATGTATCGATTTGTTATTAAAGTTGTGTAAAATTAACAAAAAGAAAAAAAAGTATCTCAAAATAATAATACATCATATATTATTGTTTTACAAAATATTCTAAGGGAAGGGAAATGAAATAATGCGCTTGTAAATCAAATTTGTGTAATTTTACTGATTATTGAAATATCAGCAATCAGATGATGGGTTTTTCTGTATATTCATTGATGGCGCTTTTATTTTTTGTGAATTGTTGTATATTAATGTTTATCACGATTAAAAATCGTTCAGCTCACTGCTTTTTTTTCGAATGCAGGATGAATTTTACAATATTTACCACACGTTAGTTTCCACATATTTTTAAATTAAAGCAGTTTAACAATTTGCGACATCTATTATCAAAGCAATCAAAAATAATGTGAAGACTGAATTAGTACTGTTCAATTTCTTTGTATGGCATGAGGCATCTGTGGTAATGCTATGAAATACAAACTTATTTATATCGTCAATAGAATCGTACAAGGCTGACTATATTTGTTTATTTTTAACACAACAATTAGAATGTTAAAACAAAACAAATTTAACATTTCACATTATGGAACCCTTACGGAGTCACACTCACAATTTTTGTTTGTATGAATGCGCTGCTTTCTTGAATTTTATAGTTAATTCACTATGGAGGGTTAGAGGATATTTAACATCACTTTAAGACTTTAGAGTTGTAGTTATATTAAAATAAAAAATGTGGGTGCTTCATATTCCTTAAGTTTGTGAGAACCATGTTCTCTTCTGGGACCTATACTATAAATTTCAGTAAAATTATTTTGATATTTTATTTGTATTCTATAGTACATTAATAGTGTAGCTTACTTAGTCCATTAGTTTTGCGAGTTAAGTTAGTGCTTCAGCATGTATAATAATGGTTTGCTTATGTCATAGAGAAGTTTTACTCAACTTACCTCAGTAACACTTCTCCACCTGCAGATGTAACCATAATGCAGAACTATAAAATGCATGTAACCCACCTGATTATGCACAAAACCCCTACCCACAATCTCTATATCCCAGTAATCGAAATAGTTGTTCTGTTTACTCAAACAATTAATAGTACAAGCTTTCCCTGGCTTTACTACTATGGATTTGATTTCTCTTCTGTTTTGTTTATTTTGTTTCAACTTGTCGAATTTCTTAAAAGTTGTAAAATCATGATATCCTTCAAAATATTTTGCACCATCTTTAAATCTTTGTATATCAAAGTTTTTTAATCTGTAAAAATAGTTTCATGTTATTTTCAATTAAATAGGGTCTCAAGTGCTTTTTACTTCATTTTCAACATATGTGTTATCTATTTTATAAATTGATTGCATTTATAATTGTTTTTCGGATACCAAAGCCTTAAACTAGTAATAAAATGTTTTATTAATCTATTTCTGAATTAGCTGAATCTATTTTGATGGAACTGTTCCTTTCAGATAGATAAGACAACACAGATATTGACCTTTTATAATTGAAAAGGAAGTAAAAGAGGAAGGAGAGAAAGACGTTCCTTTTATTGATAGAGATGTTGCGAGTGACATGGCTACTTTTTTCTTTTGGAAAAGGCAGACGTTTCACCAAGAATTTGATAGAGTAATGAGGTCTGTAGTGAAGCATAGCTCAAAATAAGATTTCTAGGAAGCACATGATTTTTATTTTTAAATAAATACTCCAAATATGTTTTTTTATCTTGTTTCCACTAACTGCAACTGTATGGTTATTAAAGTGATTATTATTTTTTAAGATTAAACATTTGTATTCTATAGTAAAGCCTATATGTATGTATATAGTTTGTATGTATTATAGTTTTACCTTATAAAATGGCACCGCTTCCACTCTTCTATAGGAATAAAAGTGCCTAAACCAACACCATTGTCTTCCACTTCAATGTCAGGTTTCAGTATTGCTAATCTGAAAATATTATTATAAAATATAAGCAATTTGACTCTTCGTTCATGAGAAAAATAGGTGTTGTTAATTTGACCATGTATCATTATTGCTATATATCTGTATGCTTTTGTCATCATTTTTAGTGCTCTTTATAAAATTAATTTGAAAATATGTAATATTAACAGTCTTTCTCTCTTATAGATTTATATTATCAATTGATGTTTATATTGTGTAGTTTTTATATTTTATACAATGGAAAAGCTTGAATACCAAGTACTGGCAAGGGCTCTATACTACTATGCTATAATTAAGTTTGGTGCTAGTAAGTAAAGCCATTTTTAACTTTTATTTTTTTAATGCCAAAATTACTTACACATTAGTTAAATAAATGTTTGTAACTTGCCTATACAAATATGTTCTAGATGTGGCAGCGAATCTTGCATTGAAATCATCATTTACTCTTACACTTTTCCTGACGAATATACTTATTTCATTCTTAAAAAAGAATTTATTCATTTCATATGTAATGAAATGAGTGTCAAATATATTTTCACCCCGCCTTATTAAGTCAAAGTGAGCACATGAATTTAGTGCATGTACTCCACCATCTGTACTAAAAACAAGGTTTATATGAAAATTAAAATACATAAAAACTTTTGTGCGTTACCAATGCAAAAAATAAAAGGTTTTTAATGTTATTTTTAAGGTGTACTCACCGACTCGAGAGGACAAGGTTAGGATAGTTTACAGGTTTTAATTTTAATAAAGCTATCTCCATTACACCTTGGATACTGCTGGGATCTGGATAATTGCGCCTATCTTTAAGCCATATTTTTTCAGAAGCTCTGTTAATTAAATATAAATCAGTGATAAAATAAATTAGTTTTAAATGCAAAGTGAACTATTCATTTATTTACCTAAACTTAGTACCTATATATGAAAAGAACGTTAAATATCTAGCTTTCATTGTTTAATTCATAAATAACAAAGTGATTTACTGACAGACTGACTATTTTAATATTTAAGTAACTATTTTATTATTTAGAAGTAATGTAGGATTAAGATTTAAGGTTATAAATTAATATTATAATGATTGTCATTTGTCAAATAAAAATATAAACAAGCACAGAGAAGTCCTGAGATTATGGAGGATATGTAAATATTAGACTAGAAATATAATAATCTATGTTATATAGACAAAAAACTTTGTGATAGTTTAAACAAAAAAAAGAATTACGGCCGAAATAAATTAATCACTGGGCAGCCTCTTTAGAATATATTTAAAGAAAATCTTAAAGACAAAATCATAGAAATAATGCAAAAACAAATTTCAAAATTGGTCCGTCCACATTTTCTGTCTTTTGAGTTTTGACAGTTTTTACTCCTTTCACTGTTCTAATTTCTAACGTCACTTATGTCAGTTAACAGTTTGTAAAAATGGCTCAAAAGACGTGGCATCTGTTTTGTATAATAACATTATTATTTACAATTTTATCACACGTCGGTGAGTCAACTTCCAGTTCAGCGGCACCATGGTACGAAAATCTACCCGCAGTGACAATGGACTACAAAGTGCACATCGACGCCGGCAAAGAGGATTGTTATTTTCAGTACGTGCAACCGGGAGCTACATTTTACGCGAGTTACCAAGTAATTAGCCTTTCTCTCTAATCTGGCCATATGTTATCATTCAATCAATTCAATTTCTTTCTATTCTGTCATAGATTTTAGTATTTTAACGTTTGTAACATGTTATGTTTTTGTTTCTGTGTAGGTGTTAAAAGGTGGTGATGGAATGTGTGGGTTTGCTGTTCGGCATCCTAATGGCCAGATAGTTCATCCTTATGAGTGGCGACAAAGCGCTGAGTACGCCGATCAGTCGAGTACTGGCGGCTATTATGCAGTGTGTATAGACAATCAGTTCTCAAGGTTTGCAGGAAAGCTAGTCAATTTGTACTTGTCAGTCATTAGATACGATAAGTGGGAGCAATACGCCAAGGAGGTGGAGGAACTTGATATGAATATTAAAAATTTCACAGTGAGTACAATTATAAATTATCTATTTATGTTGTAAAATTATTTGTTTCACTTGCTAGGCCCAGTAGACTACTTTTATTATAATTATTTACTAAATATATGATCATATAGTATTCTTTAATACAATAATTTCTTTATATTTATTACAGAATTCCATTCAGTTTGTGGAGCGAAATGTTAATGATATCTTACAATACCAGTATCATTCCAGAGCAAGAGAATCTCGAGATTATAATTTATTAGTTGACAATAATGCTTATGTACTAAGGTAAGTTTAATTTTTTCCATTTTCTAGGTTTGACATGCTAATTTCTTGTTAAAAAAATCTTGTTAATGACTTCAAAATGTGCTTATTAAAAAATAACCAGATGTAATAAATTTATAGAAACCAGTTTCTCGCATAATTATAGTTTATTCCATGGAAGTGATTCTTAGTGTACTGATGGTAAAGGTCAAATATGTAAGAGTAATATGATTTTTGTATTATTTTATTATGTTGATAAATTTATTTCATTTGAAGTTCTCCAGCATAATTTTTCAGATTGTCTTTAGTGCATTTACTGTCCCCCTTTGTGTTTGTCCTTTGCACTCCAGACTTGATTTTAGTCTGATCTTTTTATTTATACCAAGCCTAATTTAACTGTGTCACTCTGAAAGAAGCTGCAATTATTTAAAAATTTGTCAATATTACTGCCATTGTAACAGTTTGTGCAAATATGTAGCATCACACTAGCCATATAGTGGTGGTTACATGGTTATAATGTATCTATACTGTACTAAACTCTAAAAGGAAAGTAGTTTGAAGTGGGGCTAATGCTACTCGATACTGGATGATACGAGTTACGACCCCCTAATGTGCAATCACTTTGTCGTGGTGGTGGGAGTGGAGGGGGGGGCTAATTCGATGGGTGGTATACAATGCGGGTTGCTCCCGGTATTTCTCTGACGGCAGAGTGGATCGTGGGAGCAACCCTATGGTTTCTGTGGTCTGCTTCCGCAGGCCTGCAGTCGGGGCGTCGTGGTTGAGAGCGTAAGTGATCCTGCGACGCCCCATTAAGACAGGATAAGTTTTGTTGAGTAGTACTAGCTTTTCAAGCCGGTGAGTCCCACATAACCACCTGTATGTCTACAGGTGGTATGTATGTAAATGCATTTCCAAACATTACAAAAATATTGATTATACAACTCAATTTTAATCAAGTATATACTATTCTTTACTGAACTTAATTGATATATAGAAATTAACATACAATAAAATTAATGAAGGAAATAATATCTTATGTGTATAAAATATGTTTTTTGTTTCAGGTGGTCTCTCGTTCAAATTATTGCTATCGCAGCAACTGCAACACTACAAGTGTATTTTGTAAGAAAATTATTTGAAGTTAAAGACAACTCCTCAAAAACGAGAATTTAATTTACTTTAGCTCTTCCAATGTTTTTATTGACACTTCTGACTGATTAATTCATTCCTTGTAATAGTTCTCAATGTTTATATGATCTCTGTTATTTGCTATATCTATTATTAATTTTATTTGCTAATATTCTGATGCAGGATTTGTTTTTAGATCCAATGCTAAAGAAACTTTATAATGAAATTAATTTTAAAACTTCTAATTATCTCAAACATAGGTTAACACAAAGTTTTTTTATTTTTTTAAGAAACATAAGTCATGCCCCCCATATACTCGGCTACATAAAGACATAATAAAAAATAATGTGATTATTATATGAATTTAGATAGTATTTTTTATTGGAACAATATTATTTTTATTATTTTATTTTGTTTTTTTAGGAGTAACTGTTGTTGTTGAAATTGTATAATATCTATTGGAATATTTTTTTACACATCTAATTATAAGAAGAATTAATGTGCATTTTGAATAATATCTAGTTTTGTATAAATATGAAATGGCCTTAAAGTGACGGTAAATATATACAATTAAAGTACATGATAAGCATGGATGGCTTTTATTTTATTATTAGGTACTGTTATTATTGAGCATGAAGAATCAATTGACTATGGATGTTACTTTACGAATATAATTTATTTTTATAATTCAATTTTACTAATATTTGCTTAGATTTACGCGAATATTTGACATTTAAAATAAAACTAACTTTTCGGATATCAGAAAAGCATTCGAAACGTCGGGAAACAAAAATCAAAATAAATTCACGAAAAAAAGTCTAAAAAGATTTATTTAAAATGTCAATTTTACTGAATTAAAACTATTTTTTTTTAATATCAATACATATTTTATTATGAAAATTATATTTGATGGTAATAACATTGTCATCTTAATTAAAAGTAAAACTACATCTATACATTAATAAGTATAATTTAAAATATATCATTTAGCTTTCGAATAAAACTAATTTTAAAATACAAATACAACAAAAATAACTTACCGTGTCAATATTTAAAAAATAATCATTTAAAAAAAGGAATGTTGTTGGAATAAATACACTCGATTGTCTTAATTTTCCATTGTTTCCACTTTCCCGCTAATTGACTAGTTAATTTTAGATATCAGGCGAGATACTGAATTAAAATCTAAAGCGAATGAATCATAGACATTTAGAATGTATGTGTGTTCAGCCCTTTTTAACGTGCCACTGCTGGGCACAGGCCTCCCTTCATATTTAGAATATCCAATCCAATTACTTTAGAAAAATTGAATTATTAATATACATATAAAAACAATTTAAATTAGAAAATCATACTAAGACTTTAATTACACACAAAAGAAACTTCTATGTCAATTTAATATAGTGTTCTAGATGCCTATGATTAAAAAAATATATCTAGTTATTATTTTTTCAATTTCTGTACATTAATCTGTGAATCTCATACGTAACTGTACACTTCACATTACAAAATACAAATAGCTACATTAAGCATGACATTAAAATAAGATTACATTGCATAAAGAAGCACCGACTTTAAAAAGTTTAAATATGATGTTGAAATAAAATACAGATTACAAACGTCAAAAAATCCATTCGATAAAGGCAATATCTGGACGGACATTATAATTTCTTGAAGCACAATAATTTCATCTTAATCTTATCGTTAGCTGCGTTTATAATAATATTATTAGTTCTCTAGTTTTAAATATTCATTTGTGATGTTGTGATATATATGTAAAATAGTATAGACCACAAAATTTCAACTTATAACAATAATTCTTACAAATGGTAAGTGCTAGTATTATATATTTTAAGTGTGCACACGTGTACAGTGAAGCACATAATATGTTAAATCGTTTTAAATATATTTTTTTTAAATAGACATTAGGTAACATTGCAGATGCACTGTACATATGTGGTAGGGGTGGCAGGTGTGATGGTAGGGGTGGTAGCACCACCTATTGTTCAGTGGACAGGTTTTAATCCTCCAAATGACATTTTATAATATGATGGCATTACTCTTGCAGTGTACGAAGTGCTAGGTGTGGAACAAACGGTATTGTGGTCGGAGGTATCAAATATAAGTACTATTAAACGTGCATTGTATACAAATGGTAGGCAGTGGCGTAGCTAGCACGAGCGACTTCCCTGGGCTGGGCACGGGCATGATGGTATCAGCCCCAAAAATAAAAAATAAATATTTCTATGATTGGGTGGCACCCCCTATACAGGTAGCACTAAAACAATGTAGAGTTTCTCAGGTATCACTCCCAAGCAGACGATACTCGGAAAGTAGGAAAGGAGTGAGGGCTCTTGTTTTATAACAATCACGTGACACTCAGGACAGCCACCCCCTAACTACGCTGGTGGTAGATATGGTAGGTAGGGTAGGTTAGTAGTGTTCAGGAGATAGGTTTCTTCTTCTGGCCGAGGTAGGTGGCGGAGAGCGCGAGCAGGCGGTAGCGCTGGCGCAGGTTGCGCGCGCGCACGTGCGGGGACGCGATCTCCGCCGCGTACGCGCCCGGGAACCAGCCCGCCTCGCCGTCGCGCGTGCGCTCGCCGTAGTACCAACCTGTACACGGGAATTATTTGTGTTTAGTTAAAATATATCAGTCTAAATATGTGATATAAGCTATATATCACTTACACATGCTGAGTCGAAAACTAAAAATTATAGAAATTCTCATAGAACTCAGTACCGAGACCCTTGTTTTCTCTCGCCCTTTTTTTTGCGTATGCATATTTACATATTCCGCCATCTATTAATATTTATATACTAATGTAACATGCTATAATATGTACAGTAATAAAATCCGTCTGTCGATCTAACAAAACGTCAGCTAGGAGATACAAACTTCAATCGAACTTATAGGGGCTTTTTTTGATTAAATAGTTTTTTTTTATGAAGTTCATTTTCATTTCCTTCTTAATGCTATCAGGAGGAACATATTATTCCCAAAATTGATATTTGCACGCGACAACGTCTAGGAGTAAATAGGGTAAGCTAGTTGATAATAAAAATAAATCTGATTTTTAGTGCTGACAAACAGTTTTTTTTTAGAAAAGTTTGTCCCGATTCCTGACCTCGATTCAGTCACGGCTGTTTTCAGGGTGGACAGACATTTTTTTTTAATAAAGCCTTAATTCATAACACAATCTACTCTCACTTATTTAGAAGTATTTTACTATTAACATCAAATTGATTTTTTTTTCTATAATCTTTTATTAAACATGCAAGATAGTAACTTAGCATAATAAAAATAAAGAATCTCATAATAAAAAAAAAAGACCAAAGCTTGTGTCGTGTTTCAACTTTCATACTCATTAAAAAAAATAATGGATGCGTGTAAACTTTACGCGCGGTTAAAATAAAAGTTCTGTGGCAAATATCACAATTAAATTAAAACAAATCAATAATTAAATAACACATGTTTAGGCATATTACAATCATATATTTATAGAATATTATATACGGAATTCGGAAAGAATATAATATTAAATATTAATCAGACAATAACAACGGTTAACATGGCAATGTAATCTATCTCATTCTCTCGCCGGCTTAATTCTATATATTTATGTATTTAAATCTTCTAGTATCGCATTTCCATTTCTTCGAGTTTTAAAATTCAAATCACAACGATTCTAAAGAAGTTTCACTTACAAAAAAAAAAAGAAAAGCCTGTGCCGCGTTTCATGCTCATTAATTAAAAAAAAAACGCCAACGACTCACCCTCGCTAGTCTTCCTGGTGACGTTGACGACGTCGCCCTGCGCGAGCGCGAGCTCGTCGGGCTGGCGCGGCGCGTACGCGTACAGCGCCGCCACCTGCGGGCAGTCCCAGCCCGCGTACAGCGTCTCGCCGGCGGCGGCCGCGGGCGGCGCCAGCGCCTCCGCCCAGCGCCGCAGGTCCGTCTCGCTCGGGCACGACATCAGCTGTCGCGGGACAGGCGGACACCTCACGTTTATATATGTATAGGCGGATATATGACATTTTAAATAAAACTAAACAAATCCGCGAAACAATATGAAAGGATAGTTTTATTTTAAATATGTATATGGCATAGTTAATTAACGCTTTTTAGTCATTACACTTTCATAAATATAACGATAAAGTCATTAGAATTGTAAAATTTATAACTTTTTAATTGTTAATAATGAGCACTAGCGGTTTTCGTAAATACTTCCATAATCAAATTCATAACCAAATTTAATTTAAAAAAACAAATAAAGTATATGAATCAATACAAAAAAAACAAAATGTGATACCATCTCGACGGTGCGGCCCTCGTGGTTCTCGAGCAGCGTGAGCAGCAGCGCGTGCTTGGCGCCGGCCGCCGCGTCGCTGCCGCACACCTCCACCAGCGAGCGCGGGCAGTGGTCCACCGCCACGTACGACTCCTCGCTGGACATACATCAGTGTCACAGATCATTTATTTATTAGACCACCAACAAAGTACAGACTAAATACATTATAACATACACGGAAAATACAACAGAGTAGTACCTTAATTAAAGGTGATAACTACATTCAAAAATAGTACATATAAAGGCAAAACAACATTTAGAATATTAAAAAAGTACCATAAAGATTCACAATGTTACAGCTTACAAATAAAAATTAGTTAATAAAAATAATAACAGCTAAATATAAATAAATAAAAAAAGTTAAAGTTAGTTAACTTTAAATTTTATTATCTGTACTCACAGTTGTAAGTACTTAAAAATTCAAACCCATTGCTTTAAAAATTCATTAGGCGCAATGTGCATTCTTCCTAATTGCTATTACTAACAATAAGAATTTCTTGGCAGAAAAATATAATAACCAAATTTGACCCAACTCAAGATTGAATACAGTATCTTCAAATCCGCAGTCCTACATGTTAGCCACTAGACTACCGAGTCAGTTATCAAACTAATATTTATGAATGCGAAAGTGTAAAAAGAAAAGAAATATTTTTCCTTTCTCGAAGCCAAAGAGATTTTATTTGTACATGCAATTATATTTCTACCAGAAAATATTAATCAGCCACCAATTGTCACGTAAACAAATCCGAGAAACTAAAAATCAAACTACATATTTATTAAAAATTATAAAATTTAAATTTTCTACTTTTAAAAATGCCTTTCTAATTCTAATCTATTTATAACTATTATCCTCATTTAAACAAAAAATACCATATTGTTTATATATTTTTACCATGGACGAATTAGAGACTGGACCTGACATAAAATACAAATGTATGAAAACTAGTTCAACCGAGTGACGCATAACGCACACAAAGATTTTATTACATTATTATAAACACTGATACACAATACAAAATTTCTAGTGCTTGAACGTAATCGATAAAATACATATATCGATGAACCAATTAATGACATTTTAGACATTGGTTAGCATAGTCATCATATTTTACATCTTATAATTTATTCTTCTTCTTTTAATTTTAATAAATTAAAATAAATGAATTAAAGAGGCAATAATAATGTGTCAAATAATAATTATTTTTTTAATTTGATTTATATAAATACGATGGCATTGATGGCAACATTCTGTTGGCCTATAATAATGTTAATGAACAAATGAATATCGGGTATATATTCCATCAATATATAATAAATATTATTTTGTAAAGATTAAAAAAATATTAAGCTAATTTAATTAAATAAAGTGATTTGGTTGATTCTGTTATTGAACTATTTTAATTGGCAATTGATTATCTCGGGTAGTTATAAAAATGTGACACTGTCCTAATATTGCTCAGTTCTTAATAAGCATTTGTGAAATTAGGAAAAAGAAAAAGTGATTGCAAATTAAAGTGAGTGTTGGGTCGTGAAAGTAAAATAATTAGTGCAAGTGGTAAAGTGTTTTATTACAAATCGCCAACCCAGAAGTTTAGTGCTAAAACATTATTGTTTGATTTTGTGTAATTTGTGTTGAAATAAAATGATCTTTATTATTATTACAATGGAATAATATTCCAAAGTATATAAATGTGGAATAAAATAAAATAAAAAATTAAGTACACATACTAATTATAATTTTTGCATTTATATTCTTATTTGATTTAGAAAATATTTTTATAAATTTATTGTCATCAGATTGTAGGATACTGTGATAAAAGTATTTTATGTTATTGTACTGTACAAATAACACAATTCGTTTAGTAATTTCGTCAAATATCGATATATTTTTCGACATTGTCAAGCACTAGTCGATGTCAAATGGACTCACTCGACAGTTTCGTCATTTGTTCTGAATGGTATAATCCAGGGATTTTATGATGGTTGTCAGATGTCAACAATACATAGAAATATCGACTATATTTAACATAGTTGGATAATATGACATTTTATTTTACATTTAATTAAATTGTGTGATAAATAACAATAAATGTAATAAAATAATGTATTTACAAGTAAAAAGAAATACTGCTGCTTCCGCCGTTATAGTTTTTACATCATTTAACAGAACATTTAGTCATTTTTGGGAGATGTTTTGTTGACAAATAAGTGCTTGAGACTGACGCAAAAAACAAACGACCAAGCCTAAAATCTCCTGGTTACTGAGAAGACCGGTAGAGGTACGTCCGCTTATATGTCTAGTCCAGTGGTTAATTCGTTCATGATTTTTACATATGGCAGAATTATTAATCTTCATGAGCGTTTTTTACCATTCAATCAATAAAACACGTCACTTACCCCTTTTTCTTAGTAATAACGAGATGATCGTTGAACAGGAAGAGATGTAGAGGTACTTTGTGGAACTTTTTGCCGAACGTCAGCTTGAGTTCATCGGTCTTCCACAACAGATGAGTCATTTCGCCGGAACGCACTAGCCATCTTATTGGTCTGTGGAAAAGATAAGAAAAGAAAATAAATAATAGGCATGGTCCTCCCTTTTATTCAAGAAGACTTCATCCGATTTATAAAACACAAGTTAGCGTCACTCATGAGTAAGTTAAAAAAATTAATAAAATAACATTTCTATCGATGTAGGATTAAAAGTGCAAAAAAATATAAATTACATAAATTTATACAAAAGTGCGTGTGTGTGCAATTCACACATGGTAAAAGTGAAACTTCAGAAAGTAACCTACGAGAAAAATGAGATAAATATAAGAGTATCAGGACTAGGATAATTATAAGTTTTATTTTTTTAATAGTATTTTAAGTATCAAAGTTATTTTATATTTCATTTGACGTAAATATACAATAACAACGGTTACCATGGCAACATGGCAATGTATTCTATCTCATTCTCTCGCCGGCTTAATTCTATATATTTATGTATTTGTCTCTTTTTAGTTTCGCATTTCCATTTCATCGAGTTTCACATCACAACGATTCTAAAGAAATTTCACTTCAAAAATATAAAAAGAGCAATGCAATATATGTAAATACTACGAGTGACCGGTACTGTGGTTGTGGTGGTACGTACTTGCGGTCGCGGCGCGCTAGCGCGGGCGCCAGCTCGGGCGCGCGGCGCAGCGCGGCGGGCACGTGGATGGCGGCCGACACGCGCCACAGCTCCTCCACGCGCTCCGTCGTGCGCGCGCCCTCGTTGCACTGCGACACGAACTGTGGGGGGTGAGTTATGTACATTCATATATGTCGAACATAATTATATATTTTTATCAGTCATTGTTTCATAATATAATATTATAAATATGAAAGTGTGTTTGTTTGTCTTTCTTTCACGTCGAAACGGAGTGACGGATTGGCGTGAAGATAATTGGAGAGCTGGAGAGTGACATAGGCTACTTTTTATCCCGGGAGATAATCTCATTCCCACGGGAAAATATGTTATAATAGAACTCAAAAATTTATTTCTGATCAGAATTACTTGAAAAAAAATTAATGCTCTTTAATACAATCAAATACGTGTTTAAGCATTGTTCGAAATATATCCTTTAAAGGGGTAAAAATACGGGACGAAAGTGTGTATGAAACCTAGGTAAAAGTAAACCTAAATATTTTTTGTAGTTTTAGCGCGAGCGAAGCCGCGGCTTCTGCTAGTAACTAAATAAAAACAACCAGGACAGCAGAAGTAGCGAGAAGTAATGATGTGGTACATACGTCACTGAGCGTGCCGAGCGCGTGCATGGCGCCCGCGTACTCGCGGTCCTGCGGCGCGAGCTGGCGCAGCACGGCGTCCAGCAGCAACGGCAGCCGCGTCACGCGCTGCATCGGCAGCAGCAGGAACGAGTGCAGCGACAGGCTCTGGCACGCCGGGTGGCTCTCCAGTCTGACATGGAAAGAGTCACGTTTTAGTTTCGTCACGTATAACATCTTTAAATTCACATACACGATCAAAAAGTGAACCGTAACGAAAAGGTCTATATCGTCTGGCCTTAATAAAGACAAAACTATTAATCGTATTGTAATAAGGGTAGTGTCATTATTTAATTTATATAGTCAGTACGCTGTTCTGTCAGTCAATTCAGTTAGTCTTGTTTTCACGTCAATCTTTTACCTTAAAAACGATTTAAATTTGATTTAAGAAAAATAAATTTGATTTAAGAAAAATTAAAAAAGAAATGATTAAATCAATATAAAATAACTGTACAAGTTTTTAACAACTATCAATATACCAACTTACCGTTTCAGCGCTGCAGCAAAGGCCGGTCGTTCCCTCAAGCGCTGCAGCGCTTTCACCATCAGCGGCTGGTTTTCACAGTATTTAACGTAAGCGTGGAACCGCGCTTCAGCGTGGCGCTGGACGATGTCGCAAATGTCTTGGAGAAGGATGTTTTCTTGCCAACACCGTTCGAGGTCCGTCATTAGCATTTGCGAACATTTTCGTACTGAAAGGTGTGAAAACAGGTTATGCTAGTAATTTGTAAGATAATTAGTATATTTTAACAAGTATAGTAAAGGACATTTAGTGCGTGTCTCAGTATAAAAACAATAAAAAGTCTTTTATTATAGATTAACGAACGTTAACGAATCTTTTTTTCGGGATAAAAAATTGCCTATCTTTTCTCTTCTGAATCTGTGTAATTGACAATAAAATCAACCTTTTCAATGACTACGGGGTAGCACGAGATAAACAGACAAACAAAATTTTAATAATTTATCTATAGGCTTTGTTTTATTTTAATTATTACTATATGTTGCAAATAGCCATATTGTGAACATAACATTCGGCAGTAATTTAAATATTATCTTTTAGTTAGCTTTACCTGGTAGTATAGCTGCGAATAATGTTTCCCAATCTTCTCTGGGCAGTACGTGCGGGTCGCGGAAGGCGGGGTGTGAGATGAAATGTGTTTCGAGAACATTCAGCGAGTTCAGGTACGAGGCCTCCGACGTGAGCAGTTCGAACTTCGCCTCTTGTAGTTTCTTTTGGGCAGGTGCAAGAGAACCTGTAAGTATTGATATTTATCTATAAAATATTGTTATAACACAATAACTTGTATACATACATCCTACGGGAACAATTAAGCGTCCATGCTCTGTTTAATATTTTTTTAAATGATAATTTCTATATTCCAGAAGTTGGGACTAATACAACATTTAATTATTGTAAGTTACAATACTATATAAATTAATAAGAATATAATATGTACATATTTTTCATACAAAGACGTACCCGCGCCATTCTTAATATGTAGAATTTATTTTGTTTTAATATTTTTTTTAAACAGTAATATGTAAAATCTAAATATATTTAAAAGCACGCTTGAAATATTACAACAGACAAACAAACTGCTTCTTTCAAACATTCCTCCTTTCCAAAAAAACATTACCAGTACAATATGTACAGTAGGTATACATATATTTAAATTTTTAACAAACAATCAAATTACCATTATTGTATTAGTATCAAAACCACTTACTAAGTACAGTAGAGTTGACGACCTCCGGCACCTCGCACCACAGCGTGCGAGCGGGGCCGCGCGGCGCCACTAGCGCCATGGCGGAGGGCCGCGAGCTAGTGGACGCGACGGAGCCCCCCGTCTCGTACGCGTCAGAGTCCGAATCGCCTGTCTCACGACACGCCGACTGCAGGGTTAGGGGTTTTTTTTTAATTTTATTGATATGGTCTTTGAAAGCAATGGCAAGTCTTAAATTTTTAATTATTATTAATTATTGTTATTTTATACATTGAGTGATATACTAAATAATAATAATAAATAACTTTTTGTTTTAAGATGTAATAAAATTTCAATGTTTTGTATTGTTACCTAAATAATTATTTTTTTTAAACAATTTTTTTAAGCTTGTAACATCTTAAAATATGTTGTATAAAATATGATATTTGTTTTATAATTTATAAATTTTGTTTTGATAAAGTTGATCATATAAATTCGAGAATACATCTATGTGTTGTCTTTATAGTTGTTCCATACAGATAATTAAAATATGATTGAACATTAAAATTAAATTAAAAGCAGAAACGTTGTAATTAAGTATATTATGGTCTTCCGCATACGATCCTATTTAATTGGTTTTATCCATTTATGACTCTAATGGTCTACAAACATAGTAGTAAGGTCAAGTTTAACGTTGAAGGTTATATCATTTATCGCGCGTAATTAGTTGCTCAATTACCACCACTACATGAATTTGTTTGTTTTGACTTATAATTGTTTAAACAATCACAATGTACGTACTGAACTAAATTGTGTGTTTTTTTTAAGTTATACTCCTTTTGGCACCTTTGAAAAATATTATAAGAGTAAAATTTTTACGATGCGCGCGTACACCGACAGCCGAAAAGTTACATGACATGAAGTTAGCTGAAAGCAACGTGATGAAGTTAGCTGCATTCCTTTTATAAACAGAGAGTTGGGTCATACGAGATGAAATCTTTAGCTATTTTTGTTCTGTTATGCCAAAGAAGTATAACTTCTAACGTACGTACGTGTACACGTGTATACACACGTTTTATATAAAATACTATCACTGCCCGCGGCTCCGCCCGCATTCAGATGACCAAAAACCAAATTCTTAGGTTTATACATTAGTATACCCTTACATTGCAGTTTTTGTATTTTTTCTCAGAAATGAGAATTCTCCCGCGGTAAAAGGTATCCTATATGTTGACCCGGATTACCAGCTATCACCATACCAATCAAATTTCATCATAATCCCTTCAGTGGTTTCTCTGTGATGCGGGAACAGACAGACAGATAGACAGACGAAAATTCTAAAAACTATATACTCGGCCTCTGTATCGAAAGTAATGTTTATTTCAATAAGATTTTCCAAAAAATATTTAATGTACAGATTCGACTTAGTTACAATTATAATATATGTATACTGCCCTCCCGAACCTAAAGTGCAGTAACAGCAAAAACACGAATTCGAGAAAAACGCGCTTAAAGTTTAGAATCCATAAAAATATATCAAAAAGAGACTTTTCGATAAAACCTTGAATGGAAAGTGAAAGAATATGTATAAAAAACTATAATTATGGCAATTTTAATTTTTTTTATTACTACACACACTTTATTTGTATAATCTTTTCAAAAACTGTTTTAAATGCAGTAAATCCTGTTATTACTGCATTTTAGACATTTCTTCCATGATTGTTACTAACTAAAGTGCAGTAATATTATGAAAATACTGCTATTTAATCTGTTTTTTTGAACAAAACACTGATATTCCACACTTATAGTAATATAAAATTACCTTTAATTTTGATAAAAATATGTAATTTCTTAAACAAAACTGGACATGCATTTATGACTATGCTATTAAAACTATTCATCAAAACATTGTACATTATAATCTAATAGTGTAAATTGTTTTATATGACTAACAATATAACAATCTTTACAAGATGTTGATAATCTTAACTAGTTAATCCACCATCAAACTATATCACATGTATTTCTCATGCATGGATCAATAAAATTTACATAAAATCTTTCTTCTGAACATAACTAATTACTAAATGAGTATTCTTGTCTTACAAAAATAATAGTCTGAAAAGATTATGGAAGGGAGAACTAAGGAGAATTAACTTATATGGGAAACAGGTTGAAAAAGTGTCCAGTAGTGAGCAGCAAATTATAGCTCAGAAACTCACCGTTAAGCCTAGTTCGCATTAAGCTAGTATTTTAGTCTAGTAGCGAGTAATTTAGTAACTAAACGTGTCTGAACACTAAAACGAGTCAATCCATTTTATTCTATTTTTCACCGGCTAAACAAGTACGAACCTGTCGAATTAGTCGAGTTCATTAGTTGCCGCCATAACATTCATTAACAGAAAATTTACACAACTTTCGGACATTCTCAAACTATCGAAGTATTCTTTGGGATCTTCCAATGCTAATTCCTTCAGAACTCCTAGTTTATTGTCTTTCGATCCATTATTAATCACACAAATTTCCTCATCCACCTCTTCTAAAATAGCCGTCAGTATAGATATACTCGTACTATATTTTAACAACATCTGAGACATTCCTTTAATACAGGAGGCCAAATTCGATCCGACAAAATTTGTCATTTATTGAATGCGATATGACAAGTAACTATTTTTTATCTGCTTAATTGAAATGGAATTAAACTTTATTCAATTAGACTTATACAGGCACTTTTAATCGTCAATGTAGTTTAAAGAGCACCAATCAGTGTACGTAAGGAAGCAACCACAGGCTCGAATAGCAATTCTGCTAAGAGCCGGCGAGGGAATCAACAGCTGTTTTAAATATCATTTTACATTTTATTTATTTTATTAACGCAATAGATGCCTCGCAACGGGCAGTGATAGCCCAGTGGTAACGCGCTCGCTTAGGAAACCGAGTGAAGCGGGTTCAAATCCCGGGTCGCGCACCTCTGATATTTTTATGTGCGAATCATGCGAAAAACATGGCGAGGAAAGCTGCATGTCTGAGAGAAACTAGCAAGTTTTCGAAAGACATGTGAAGTCCGCCGTGCCCAGCAGTGGGACGTTAAAAAAGGCCTGATATACAAATATAATATAATAGACAAAGATAGCCCGTTCGTTAGAGTAATCTATAAATACTTTTTTATATTATTGTTATTAAGATGAAGATATTTCTTGTTTTTCTTTGTAATATTTTATGCGTAATTTATAGAATTGCCAGTTCCATTTGAAGAGTTCGTCGTTCTCATCTAGCCCGTTAATTGAGAAAGGCTATCTATATCTAATATATATAAGCGCTAATATAAAACTATGAACTTTACGAAAGGAGCAGTTAAACTTGAATATGTATAAACTATGCGAGCGGAGTTGTGGGTAAAAGCTTGTTAATATAACATGTTCATATATACATATATGCATACTCCAAAAAATTTGCGCTGTGGTAATATAACTATATTCTAAGTAGGAAATGGTGGGTCGTGGGCTTTATTCCCGCTTGAGTTAATGCCTAAATTATTGACATAAACATTTCCGGTCTGGTTAAAAAGAAAACCGTCGGCATTTATCACAATCACAAAGCTCTTGTGATTCTTTACGATTTAGTGAGTAACTGTGCCATACTTTTTCCGTATAATTATTTACAAGCATAAAGTATTACATAAAAATGCCTGTAGTTTTTTAGAATTCATAATTATATCTCAGACGGTTATGATCCTATACCCTTCACATAGAAATCATAGTAAAACCTGATTAATAAAACTATCTAAATTAATTATTATTTTCAGTCTGCTAAATTAGAACACCTACCTACCACCTACTAATTTTTTCTATTTGGGTTTTTTGTAACAAACATATACGTGACCAACATACACAATAATAAGATTTATATTTTATACCTTGTCGAACGTGAGTCACTAAAGACGTTATTTTTAAGATTTACAATGTTTATATCGTCCTTTGACAGGTACCTATATAGGTAGGTTATAGGTACTATTAATTAATTTGCTTTGATGCTAACCTCCAAAGTATTTTGTGGGTAGTTTAGACATGATGTTATTAAAATCTTTATACAATCTAAGGCTCTAATATCTTAAAAAAATGTGCTGCTCTTAAATAAAACTATCCATTTCGGGTTTTTCAGTCACGGAAGAGACTCTCCCCACAACCGTGACCGTAATAATTGCTGTAAAGCATTCGAGACGTCGGGAACAAAAAATCAAAATAAATCCGCGAAAAATTCCGAAAAGATCGTTTTATTTAAAATATTACATATTCGTGTAAATCTAAGAAATTAAAATGTGCTGCGTTTTTCGCTTACAGTGGTCCTCAGGACTTATTTTCTTCGAAAAAGGTTTTTTTTAAAACACGTCTAAATTCAAGTTAAATGACCTGCGTCACAATGTCGTGCGTAATAAAAACTAAAATTCCCCTGGCCAGTTGTAGCTGGTCTGCAGTTATAGTGGCCGTATTAGAACGGTTTCCGATAATTATGTGTGTCAATATTTAACCGCAACCTTTTGATATAGAATGACACAAATAACGTGCAATCTCAAATCAATTATAAGCGCTCGAAATCATCTTCACAACATAATATTATTATAATTTTACTACTAAATTAATATACTTTTTTGTTTATTTAAGTACAATATTTACAATGTGACACAAAAATACCGAATTATCAAATTGGATATAGGTACATACTTATAATATTATTTTAGCAGGATTTATTTACAATATCAATTTAATCAGCAAACCCATTATTTTTGACCGACTTTAAAATGAGGAGATACTTAATTCATTTGTATTTTTCGTGGATGTTACGTTATCACTACAATTTGCGGACCTATTTTCATATTTTTTGTTACTATTTATTATTTATTAGTGTCTAAAATATTAGAAACTATTTCATATTTTTTTATGTCCTTTACCTCAACTTTAGCGGCGTTGTAGAATTGATAAAGTGGTTCGTGCGTGAACAGTGAGTGTGGGAGTGGCGATGCTGGATGAGATCCTGAGGAGGCACCTGATGATGAGGAGATGTTGCCCGCTTGGTACAGACCCGCTTCGGCGTACCTAGAATACAAGTTTTGAATATAACGAATAAAATGGAAAAGAGAGAATACAAAAATCTATTATTTACTATAATATAGATTTATATGGTGAGAGTTTATCTAGAAATCACTAAATAGCCAACCAACCAACTTTTTTGTTTAGTTTCAACACTATTTAATAGATGATATATGTATGTTCATACATATATGTAGCCAATTCCTGTTGAGTATAGCACAGATTTAGCTTCTTAAGTGTCCATGGTTTCTTTATTATGCATTCAACACGGATTTGTCGAGAAATTTAAGGTTAAAGGTAAAAGAAAGTTATGACAAACGTGACTAAATAACATTGGGTATGCACTATGCAGCATGCTAATAATTCTTACTTTGAATAATTTCACTCACATTGATAAGAAACTGACTAACTAAATAACTGACAGAAAATTATAGTTTAGATATTATTATTTTTTTTTCATAACTTTCACAATAAGACACGAGACGATCGACCAACACCCGATATCTTGATTCCTGCAACAAGAAACGGTTTTCGCGCGAACCGGTTCCATCAATTTTGAAAGACCCACCAATATAATAATACTACTAGCGTTAAAATTCATGCATGCGAATTAATAACCAATTAAACACCGAAATACGTAAATGAAGTGTTTTTATTAGTGACAGAAGAAAGTGATAATAAATTTTATATATCGAAAAACTTTTACTTTTAAGTTTAACAGTTACAAATATTGATTTGAATACTTTGATAAAATTAAAAATGACCTTTCGCAGAGTAGGTCACAGCACCGAACTAAAGATCACATGCACTGGTCGTTCGTTATTCCTTTGTCTGCCAGACATTAAAAGCGCAAACCACAATAACACTTCCACTACGAAACGATTTTCGTCATTACGGCGAAACGACAAAATATTACTGAGGACTCGGTTAACGAGTGATGAGAGTCCGAACATATAGGTACATTATACCTAACTATGTATACGTTAAGTTCATTGGAGGCGTTTGTTATGGGAGATTAGCGATACGTTTCGACTAACTGGGAGCCTGTTCATTAATCACATGTTCTGATCACTTATTCCTAACTTTAACTTAAACTTAACCTAACTTAAACTTTAAAATAATGGCAATAACGACAAGAACGATACAATTGGTTAATTTTTACTCTTAGGTCTTTGTGACGGTAGTCGTATATTTCGTTGATAAGAGCAAAATATTTTATTGCATATACCCATTATTTTTGATGGAATATGTCGCTTTACCAGTTTTGACTATTTTTATTTATTATACACAGGCATAAATCTATTATGTAGATTGAATATGGACCAAGTATTAATTATACTACACTAGCGACTCGCCCTCGCTTCGCTTGGGTTCATCCCTAGGTACGTTTTACGGTTACGTACGTTTTACGGTAATACGTGTAACGGTTAATATGAAATACAAATCTTTCAATTTCTCGACTTTTCTGTACTATAATAAGCATGTATTATAAATATAAACTTTTCTCTTGAATCACTCTATTTATTAAAAAAACGCATCAAAATCCGTTGCGTAGTTTTAAAGATCTAAGCATACATAGGGACAGGCAGACAGCGGGAAGCGACTTTGTTTTATACTATGTAGTGTTAATAAATGAAAAATCAGCTAAATTCAATAATTACAAAACCTTAAATTAAAAAGTAACTTTTTTAAATAATATTTTTTAATCATTATTTTTTTTAAATAGTTTTGGTATAAACTCTTTAAATTACTCGCGCCTCAACTTTGGACCAAACAAGAAAATGTGGTACAGAACAGGCTCGTGAGTCAGCACGGCCGCGTCATGTCGGGCCGATAACAATCCGCAATCAACTCATATCCTTTGAATTAAGACGAATTATGCGACTCAAGCTTTGGAATTTGTACATTTCGGAAATACTTTAACGTAATTATTACAGTCATTGATAATTGATAACAATTCTTACGATTATAAATACATTGAAGATTAAACACGTCATGCTTATATGCCTTATACTTTACAGAAAAGGCTGTTTAAGATAAATTATCATAATTAAAAACATTTAGAGTTTCCGAAAAAACAATCATAAAAACCAAATATTTCATGTTTTTTAATCAAATATTTGAAATAGCTGATAAAAATTACCAAAAAAGTCCTTGAATTTAATTCGATATTAGCTCATGACTACTTAGGTAATAAGATGTAGGTAGATAAACTACGTAATATGTCACTTCGCCGGCGTGCGCGATGGCAGTCTAATGTCACGCTTTTGTCTTTCATTTATTATCTAGCATCTTACTCTCGCTTCGTTTTTAATTTTTTTGCACGGAACCATAATTCTTTTTCTAAAATAAAAGTAGCCTAAGTAACTCCTTATAACATTAGCTATCTGCCAGTGATAGTCCCGTTAAAATCGGTTGAACCGTTTTGGAGATTATCCGGAACAAACACAATTTAAAAAATAAAAAAAGATAAAAATGGTTTTTTTTCTTATTAGTGCCGTAAATACTTTTATATGAATTTAGTAAAAAAGTCGTTATTTAGACGTTACAAACAGACATTTCAATTTTATTTATTTTTCATAAAAGACGACAGAGATACCTACGCTTAAGAAACAAAAATATTTACTTTTTGTGGTAATCGAACTTGGAAACTTATATAAATTCAAAATTGTTGCGTGAGAGTGATTAGACAGTCGGTTTTTTTAACAGGAAGGAAATATTTATAAAAATCATAGTTCATATAAATAAAAAAAATGTTTTAACCTGGTATTTAGAATTGGTACGTAGAATTGCTTAAGTTCTGACTAACATTGCGTAGTAGTAACAATTTCTCGATATAATATTAGTTATTAATAAACTTCCTCTTTATCGACGTTTCATTGAACTTTCTAAATTAAGACCGTGTGATATTGCTTTCGCTGAAGGGGTAATAGTACAATACGATCAGAATTAAACTATTTATATATAAAATCAGATTTAAAGATCTACTCGCTATTGTGATGTCAATCTAAGGGTAATAATTATTCATAAAAAAAACAATATGCGTTAAGCTCAACATGGGACTCGAACCCAGAACTTCTCGATCTTGCAGCCTTACGTGTTAGCTACGAGACCAACGAGGCACAATCGTATTTACATAACACAGTAGTAAATAGATATTATATTGATGTATAATATGTACTTCTAGGGTTAAACTTACAATGGAAATGTACTTAATTTAATCGTTTATATTGATTAAATATAGATATTTTAAAATAAAAAGAAATAATAATAAAAGTAGTAATATAGAATCCATCACAACCGTTTCTAAGACTATGTACAGGAAAGATGCGAACAGTCTCCAGTAATCAGGGGTGGACCGTGAATGGGGGACTAATGCCCGATTTCACCAACAACCCATAAGCTACCACCTACGTATGAGATCCCTAGCTTAAAAGTCCCCGAAACTAGCCCCTAAATTAAATTTCGTTTTACGATCGTCTTTAAGTCCATATTTCGAGCACCTAAATTTAGTGGGCCTTTTAATATTTAGGTGACCCCTAACTGTCGGTGAAATAGAAACTGTCCTCTAAACGCTAACCACGCTTAGGGGATCCCTTAAACTTAGGTGACGTTGGTGAAATTGGGCATAACACTTCTTGGGAGCCTAAACTAATTGTCATTTTTTACTTTATATTATAAAATCTATAATGATAGATGTATTATCTATAAGCGAAATTAAGTTAACTCTCATTGTTTGGTTCGAAATTAATCTCAAGATTATAATTCCAACCTTTTATGGCTTTAATTTTTTTATTGTAGATATCTTTCATTTTAAATGCACAATCTTATCTATTGTTTTCAACACGGCCCACGGGCCCGTTATATCTGAGGGGCCCTGGGCTGCAGCCCAAAAAGCCAATATATAGATCCGCCCCTGTCAGTAATGGTTATAAATAGTATACACTTACCAAGATGATGTCGAAGTTTGTGCAGGTGCGTCTGCCCCGCACTCCGCGTACCACGAGGTGCGCGTGCGCGGGCCCTTCTCCTTACGGGATAGCGTCGGCAGAAGCCGCTTCAGTTCTGTTTGTTTAATGTTTTGTTAGCTTTTGTTTGCGTAAAGTACTCTTGAGTGGCGTTATGGCATCGTTTTGCTTGTGTTTTCTTATATCCTATTATTTTTTGATGTTCTTGAGCGTGACGTGGCTCGAAAGCGTAACGTTAAGTAATAACTATTACTTATTTTTACAGTCAGAAACAAATCTTTATATAGACTGTAAATTTATGTTTAGTAGCATTCGACACGTGGGCAGCACATAGCCTTGACATAAAATAAAAGCTAAAAGGAAAATATAAAAAAAAATAACAAAAATGTAGTCACGCATGACCACTTTAAATGTAAATCTTGAGAAAATTGGTTTTCCTCATAGCGAAATGATTTGAGAACTGTTAAGTTGTTGCAACAAAAGAGATAATTATTTCATTATAATAGCTTCAACTATGTCTATTGTTTATAAATATATGCTTTACCAAACAATGTTGCGTTTGCAACGACCTGAATTCGCCACTCAAGAGTACAGTATGAAGAGTTTACCATTATTCAATGTGGGTGTAACATTTGCTCATTGTGCACAAATTATACTACGGTTCCGTGCACAGATTGTATGGTTGCATGCATTTGAATATTGCGATTAGTGTTGTCAGGTGCAATGTTTTGAAAAAGCGAATATTATAATATAAAAGGGATTATGCCAAAAACATTTATAGAAGTTTTCTAAAACAATACTATGTTTTATTTACGCTGTAAATATTGGTAAAATATTATGCAAAATTTGTTCTCTGTTAATTTTAATGGATATTTTAATAGACATATATAATTAGGAAACCCCTGTGTCTATATTTGGCAACACTATCCGCTTAAGTCATGCTATTACAAAATTCTGTCAAATTTAAATGGAAAAGTAGAGAATGTTAACTCACGTCCCATTTATAATCGAGAATACACAATACGTAAACTGCGCACAAACATCACAATTATACCAATTAAATGTAAAAAAATTGCAAAAGCGTCTGTCGCGTGCAAATAATGAGGATAGACTGAACAATAGAAACCTACGTTATAGCCCACGTATATCTTGTAGGTAGTAAAAATGATGCATACTAAGGTCGTTCGAATAATTAAAAGGTGAGGAAAATCTTATTTTATAAAATAAAACTTAAGAGATCGCCTTGACAAACAAAGACAACAAACTTACGTTAAAATGTATCTGGGAAATGGATTATTGCCTTATATTAAAAAAAAACATATTAAAAGAAGGTCGAAAACGACATTTATAGTTAATACTTCAAAGAAAATTTATGTATGTTTTAGTTGGTATAATATAATATATTACGATATGAATAAAATGAAGCGCACTTTTGGTAGTAGGATGCAATCGTATACAAGTGAAGATGTTTTAAGTAAATAAAATATTAGAACATAAACAAACATAAATTATATAAAAGTTTAGTTTATACCAGAACCCACGAAAAGAAATATAAGAGATGAAAAAACGAACAAAGACAGTGCAAAACATATATTATCACATTCAAAGCTGTGAAACATTAAGTACCACAACCTTCCTCTGCTCGCTGAAAATAACTAATATTTTCTAGTATCAAAAAATATTATGTTTTTGGATAACACTGTACAAATATATTTTTTTCTTAATTATTACTTAACAAATATACCTTTTTTAAATATAAAGAAGCTAGCCATCTCATTATAATGCAATAATATATTGCATTATTATGACCAATTTGTTAAATTATTGTTATTTTTAGAAAATAATAAATATCCAGTTCGTTTGTGTATTTGCTAGATCGTAAAATATCAAAACCTTATTATTTTGATATTATAAAACCAAATTAAGAACCAAATAAAGTAATAGACAAAAAATATTCAATCCTTAATTAACTAACTATATAAAGGTAGTGAACATTTAAAACCCGCAGTGTATAATACATTAATTTCTATATTAGTTATTTACAGACAGTCAGAGGTTCTGACCTCTGTTTAGCGCTGTCTTCGTTATCAGTACCCTTTGGAATTAAATTTAATTTAATATTACATAATGCCGAGACGTCGACTGAAATCAATAATATATTTGATAAATGATATAAATATATTAAGTTAAAAATTATGGCTGTATAGGTCGTCATCTTAGCCTGCAAAAATTAAAAAATAATAACCATTGTTATAAACATTGTTGAGGCTTTAAAATAATTTGGGTTTTATTTATATCACTATTAATCCCTCCACGACCGCGGACACGCTGGCCTGTCAGTTAACAATAGATTTCTTAGAATTTTAATTAATTTCTTAGAAATTTACCTGGAGGTGTTATATTTCCAAACCTATCACATATTTTTATCTAGACGGGGATAGAACCCGGGACTAATTTTACCAACACGCAATGCCAAGGTATTAGCTAAACGTAACTCGGAATAAGTTGACATTTTCTATAAGAACTCTATGACTTATTATTGTGTTGCTAACTGTATATAAATAAATAAATAAAAAAGAAGAATCAATCTATAATTTAAAACGGTGTATAAAATACCGTATTGAAGTTATGTTAATTTGTACGTCAGTAAAGACCTTAATAACAATTAAAAAACCGTATCTGTGTATTTGTTCCCACTTATCAAAAAAAATAATAATTAAGTACCTACTGTTTACGAACTTATTTTATTAGCATGTCAAGGACTACCATTGTTAAATTGATAGACTCATCTAACATGAGTGACTTACACTTATACATTAATAAAACATTGTAACAATACCTATATTCCCGTAAGCCCTTAAACCTACAAAATCTAGCCCAATCATTATATGCACCTCAAAAAAAAAAAACAAAATAACCTACAAAGAAAACCCATCAAATCTACCCTAATTATTAACCATCAATTCCCCCAAACAAAAACCTAGAAAAAACTATTGATTCAGCCAACGTCAAGAACAAAATGAACCCCCAAATCTAAAACCCCACCTTCGTTAACAGCGCTAAGGTCAGTGTGTGTCGGGAGTGGCGGGGGCGGCGGGGGCGGCAGGGTGGGCCTCTCCAGTGCGAGGCACGGGGAGGACTCCGACCACGCGCGAAGCCTACCGTCGCGGCGGGATGCTGGCGAGAGTGTGTCCGCTGTGTCGCTGCTGGAACAAATTGACTACTGTTATATATGCGAATGTTTGTATGTGTATTTGTTCGTGTGTTTGTTACTCTTTAACGCTGAAACGGCTAGACAGATTTAAATGAAGTTTAGTACGCAGATAGTCTAAGGCTTAACACAGTTAAAATTGTATAGCATCTAGTGTCGCACTCGAGCGAAGCGTAGCGAAATAAGAAATGTAATAATGTGTCGTCCTTACTTATATAGTTGATGTTAATGTACTCCCGACCCATTTCGGCCACAGCGGCCAATCTCACATCAGTACTATTGCTTATATTACATAACTAATTAATTATAGATAATAAATAAATAAATAACACAAATACAATCATTTTGCTTTTTAAATATAAAGTCAGCTTTTACTTTATCTCGAAATGTTTAGATTTTTAAAGGAGACACGCCATCTATACAATAAAAGTGTAACTGATCGTTGTCTGTACTTGGAAAATATTTGAGAAAAACTATTATTGGGGTCTTTATTAACGCAATAGAACCTAAAATAATGATTTTTAGATTTTTTGTCAGTTCATCTGTGCCTTCACAACAAAATCTCCAAAACACCTTAACCGATTTAGGTGCAGTTTTCATTAGTGTATTGTGTTAATCTTCACTTAACATTTAGTATTTGTTTTATATCAATCGGTTTATAAACAAAAAAGTTATGACAATTTAAAGTATCACCTAGGGACGAACCCGAGCGAAGCGAGCGTGACTCGCTAGTATTTAAATAAATAAGCGAATAAATTAATATATTAACGCATAACTCATAAGGCAATGTAAGCATCATTAAAACAGAAAGTTGAAAGTGCCCCAACATGATTTTAGTAAATTAAATATTATAAATATTAATTTAAACCAGATGTGTTTAAATACCTCTTAAATTGGATTCTACTGACATTAAAAATCGATAAGGTAGTAAAGTACATTTTGTTGGACTTTTACGAAATCACTTCCTGCGTTATAAAGTAGAGTGATTACAGTATATCCTAACAAAATGCATCAAATCATTTACATACACAAATATTACTTGTTTTACTTACAAGTTACAGATATAAAATTAATCGAAATAAAAAGAGTAGAAAAAAAACGACTTCAAAAAAAAACATTAAAAAGTAAAAAATAACTTTTTGGTAGTTTTCATTTACTATAGATACCTAATCAGATATTTATTTTTGAAGTTGGTGTGCTTTGATTTGTATCGGCTCTCACCGAACCAACCAAACACCAAATAATTTTATCTATTATATCTTAAGCTCTCCTTAAAGCGTATCGTGATTCGTGTGTTTATTACTTATTCATGTTTCAAGTTAACGAATTTTGAGTGTAATTCAGAAAAAGGACACTGGGAATGCCTTGACTCACACACACAGATTTTTTTCGTCATGATACAAATAGGTATATGATGTATGTATTAAGCCATTTTTAACGTCCCACTTCTGGGTACGGGACTCCCTTCAATGCGAGGGGGATCAGGCCATAGTCCACCACACTGGCCAAGTGCGGATTGGCGGACTTCACACGTCTTCCGAAAACTTGCTAGGTTCTCTCAGACATGCACATGCAGGTATAGACGTATAGAATAACATAGTTATATGCTCAGGCATATTAATTTTAATCTATCACTACCATCGAACAAAATAGTAGGTACTAGATACTAGACACAATCATCAGTGACGAAATATATCCTCACCGAATGAGTGCTCATTTGAAAAAATGAATAATTATTAATTACCTAAACACAATTAATTGGTGACAGTTTTAAGAGAACTTTTGCATGGGATTGTGTATCTGGTACTTTTCGATCGATGATCACTACTAATATTATAAAGAAAATGCCATCACTTTATTAATTACTAGTTTTCAATTATTCACATATTATCTATTCCAATATTATAAAGAGGAAAATATTTTTTGTTTATTTTTTTGTATAGAATAAGCTCCGAAACTACTGAACCGATTTAGATGAAATTTGCAAAGAAGATAACTTGAGACCCTGAGATAGATATAGGATAGTTTTTATCCCTGAACCCATCCCTTAAGGGGGAGAAAATGGGGGTGAAAGTTTGTATGGGGAAGCAACCTAGGGAGGAACCCGAGCGATGCGAGGGTGAGTCGGTAGTATTACGAGTATATAAAATGTAAATGACTATATCAAAGACAATCACGAAGCTAATCGACATTGTTCTTACATAAATTATTTTATAATCTACCTGCTGAGGTCATACATTAGAATATACACGATTCGAACATAAACTATACCTAACATGTAATAGACACTTTAGTCATCCACCAAGGCAACATGACGTTATAGAAGTGATCTTGTTCAAAATATCGTTGTGTTCCTTATTTAGCTAACAGACTGATTTCACCTACGTATTTTTGAAATTTATTCGATCATCTTATATAATTATTAATTAACATGTAATTTAAAAGACATATTTTGTAGTAAATTCTACGGCAATACTATATTATATAATATCTATTATTATCAATGGTACGTAATGTTTTGTAAGTGTTTTGTAAGGTTTTGTAATGATTAATGATTATATATATATTTTAACGTTGTTATGTTGAATGTCAACAACAATCGCTCTTGATCATGTAATGTTGTCATGTCAAATTGCTTGAATCCTTTGGTTTTACTAATTTTGATCTTACAACTTTTAAACATCAATTTGAGACCGATTATAAAAGATCTAAACAAGAGCTAGTAAATGAGTAAAAATATCTCACCAGTTGCTGAACCCCGAGTCACCATCCATAGAATCAGTCAGATAAAATGTCGAATTCGTTATCTTCAAAGCACTAGGAACATCTGAATTTATATCTATTGCTACTGATGTCGGTCTTCGAAATCTAGATTTGAAAGAGAAATATGCTTTTCGAGATAACGTACTACTTTTCGTATCGCTTGTTGGGGTTGTGGGCTTCTCTGGTGGGGGTTTATCTGGCAATGGCGGCGGTACATCCCCATTACTATTCCTCTTTTCAGAGTTGATTGTTCTATTTGGTCCCTTTTCATAAATGCCTTTATTCACAGCTTTTTCATATATACCCTTATTTCCAACTTTATCAGTGACCCCGTTTCTGTTTATACCCTTATCTGTACCAGTCTTTCCGCCTTTTTCTCCTATCACAGTTTTCAGCTCCTCTTTAAATGTACCGGTTATTTTGGCCAGAGGATTTTCAGTCTTATTTAAAACATTTTTAGTGTCATTAAAGTTGATATTGCTGTACACGTGTTGGACCTCAGGCTTTTCACAGTTGGCGTAGATGGGGGATTTTGTTTTTGTTTGGTTTTTCGGCACGTCATATGTCCCGTTTTGGTTGCTTGAAGATTTTGTGAACGGTTTTCCGTCCATTGCCACTGTAAAAAATAAATAAAATTAAAATATAATAACATAATAAATAAAAATTATAATATCCGATAGTTATCTTAAATATAAAAATATTTACACATTATAAAATCGGTAAATAGACCAAAATTCGTCGTTGCGGGATGTAAAATATGCTATTTATTATCCATCATGTTACGACTTATAGGAGTGGAGCAATACATAATATATAAGTTACGCGAACGAAGTTTTGAGATAAAATTAGTATAAAATACAAAAATAAAATGTTATATTAAACTACATACAGATCGACTGTTTGAACATAATATCTATTATCCGATATGGTCTAGTGGCTAGGATACCTGGCTCTCACCCAGGAGGCTCGGGTTCGATTCCCGGTATCGGAATTAATTTTTAGGTTTTTTTATTGAAAAAAATTTGGTTTTTCTTTTTTTTATTAATTATTATTAATAAAACCTAAGTAATATCAGCGAAATATGTATATTTCCATTATTACTTTGTCAAATCCCAAGTAACGGATACGGCAGAAATAAGTACAACTAAATATTCCCGTGGGATATTAAATATTTTTTGCAACAAATTCTAAATAGACGTGACTGAGTAAATTAATTAAATAATAACGGAGTCAAGTGAATGCGTAACCAAATTCAAACTGTGTACAAATCATTAAAGCTTGTCGCCTTTCAAAACGTTTCTTACTTCAAAGAATTTAGTTCGAACTAAACAAATTGCATAGCTTCATTTCATGTTAATTTTTTATCCTTTGGCTATATTCGTGTTATAGTCCAAGAGCTAGTGAACCCTGGGAGTAACGGTCTCCCTGTAAGGTTAGAAATTTGTCTATTTACGATTTATGGCATACTAAGAGCAATAGCCATGACCTGGCAGGCGTCAGCCCTGCACGTCATCAGCCCCTTTATTTTTTGAACTGTTTAGTAAATTGAGTTTTAAAACTTGTTTCTGTAAATTTGAAAATTTAATAGGATAAAGTTTATTTATTGTACATCTTAAAAAAAATTTGACAGGCGATTACAATAAGCAGAAGTATATGACAGATCAATTAGAAAACCCACAGTTGATGAGGTAAAATAAACTTTATCCTGTATACTTAAATTTTTTATATGTTTTCAAGTAAACGTCTCAGAGTAAATATGTACAATGCCAGGCGGTTTTGAACAGCATAAGACCTTGACAGGCGAGGGGACAGCTGCTAAGGGCGTGCGAGTGAGAGATGTTGCGTGAATGCCTATAGTGCGAGTGAGTCCGTCCTTTTCAAGAAGAGGTAAAAAAAACCATTCCAAATATTGCAGAAATCGAGTGTATATCAGAAGGCATTCAAAGAATTAGGAAACGCAGAAATAGTACAGAAGAAAGAAAAAAATTCCCGATACTAGAGAAATTTGTATGCCAAATGTATGGTTTGAAATGTTCAAAATTAAATAATGCACGTTATGAAAAGTTCCTTGCTACGTACAACACAAATAATCCTAAAGTGTTTATGAAAAAAGTAGTAAGCTATGATTCATCAAATTTACCACCCTGTCAACGTGAACTACATCAACAATTATTGAGAACTGCCTACATCTCTATATATATATAAAAGAAGGTCGTGTTAGTTACACTATTTATAACTCCAGAACGGCTGAACCGATTTGGCTGAAAATTGGCGGGGAGGTAGCTTAGAACCCAGAGACGGACATAGGATACTTTTTATCTCGTTCGACCGCGTTCCAATTTTTATGATATTTTAATTTTTGGATTTCTCTTAGTCCGGAATAGGTAAGTATTAAAACATCAGAATAATTAACGAAAAAAAAAAATTAAATTTATATGGCTTACGCTGGCTAATAACTTTTTATATCTATTTAAAACGTACCTAGCGACGAACCCGAGCGAAGCGAGGGTGAGCCACTAGTCTTTATATATATAAAAGAAAGTCGTGTTAGTTACACTATTTATAACTGAAGAACGGCTGAACCGATTTGGCTGAAAATTGGTGGGGAGGTAGCTTAGAACCAGGAGACGGACATAGGATACTTTTTATCCCGTTCGACCGCGTTTCCGTCTGACGTGACATAAAACTCAAGAATGGGTGGAACAATTTTTATGATATTTGAATTTTTGGATTTCTCTTAGTCTGGAATAGGTTAATAAGTATTAAAACACCAGAAAAATCACGAAAAAAAATTAAGATTTATATGATTAACGCTGGCTAATAACTATTTATATCTATTTAAATCCTAGCGACGAACCCGAGCGAAGCGAGGGTGAGCCGCTAGTTACAAATATATGGCGAAATTGTAATTTAAAAGAACCAACAATTCTTACACCTGAAAATAACGGTTGGAACTTAATTGATAGTCGTTACAATTTTAATTGGTTTGAGGGGAATACGGTTCCATCTTCTATATACGACATACTTTTACAAGGACCTGCTGATACTGCCACAGCACAATCGACTGAAACTGAGGAATGCATTTCAGGTAACATACAACTATTTTATTCCGTAACATTTAATATGCAGTCCTACGTAATTGAGCTTGATATTTAATTCTTAACAACCTTATTGATGCATTCAAATATTTTTTTACTATTTTCAGATGAGGAAAACATTGTTGAAGAATCAGATGATGATGAAAACAGTGATAGCGAAATTTCGGATTATGCTGAAGAAAATGAATGTTAAAAATAATGTAGATTACATAAAACCCAATAAAATACATTGCATTTACTGTATGCGTTCATGTAACATTTCTTATTTGCACGCCCTTAGCAGCTCCCTGTCCCCTCGCCTGTCAAGGTCTTATGCTGTTCAAAACCGCCTGGCATTGTACATGTTTACTCTGAGACGTTTACTTGAAAACATATAAAAAATTTAAGTATACAGGATAAAGTTTATTTTACCTCATCAACTGTGGGTTTTCTAATTGATCTGTCATATACTTTTGCTTATTGTAATCGCCTGTCAATTTTTTTTTAAGATGTACAATAAATAAACTTTATCCTATTAAATTTTCAAATTTACAGAAACAAGTTTTAAAACTCAATTTACTAAACAGTTCAAAAAATAAAGGGGCTGATGACGTGCAGGGCTGACGCCTGCCAGGTCATGGCTATTGCTCTTAGCATGCCATAAATCGTAAATAGACAAATTTCTAACCTTACAGGGAGACCGTTACTCCCAGGGTTCACTAGCTCTCCAGCTATTAAAAACATAAAAAATAAACCGGTGTAAATATGTATATACATAATTTTAAATATCCATGTAATTTTTAATAATATTATGAAAAAAATATCGGTATAAATTGAAATTTAATTATTCCCTTTATTTATTTACTAGCAAAACCCGTGGCTTCGCTCGCACTAAAACTACAAAAAAACCTAAAAAGTCGGTTTCACACAAACTTTCATCCCCTATTTTTACCCCCTTATGGGATGAATTTCGAAAAATGCTAAAACACGTATTTATTTAATTGTATTTAAGAGCATTAATACCAAGTTTCAAGTAATTCTGTTGGGAAGGAGATAATCTCCCGCGGTAAAAACTATGTCATTCTCCAGGCCTCCAACTATCTCCACATAAAAATCATGCCAATCCGTCACTCTGTTTCGACATGAAAGAAGGACAAACAAACAAATAAACACACTTTCACATTTATAATATTAAGTATGGATTTTATTATTATGTTATGTTTGCTGATTTTATTCAGTGTCCTCTGATATTTTTGCTAATAAAGGTTATTTATTATTAATATACTTAATTAATATCTGAACAGTTAAAATGGAGGGACATTTAATAAGTGTGACCTAAAGTCAACCAAAGTTAATTTCCAATTTTAGATGTGTGTTTACTCACCAGTATATCGTTTTGTGAGATTTCTTTTAATCTGCCTCATCTTGCGTTGCGCGGCGTTGGCTATCTTGGTGAGGGTGTGACCACCGCCGGGGGGCGGCGGCAGGCGAGACGCCGGAAGCGCAGGGGGTACTTCCGGTTGGAAAGTCTGGAAAATGAAATAGTAAGGATGAGACATTATTTAATTTATTATTTCGCTTCGCTTCGCTCGAGTGCGACACTAGGTGCTAAACTGTACGCTATTTGTTGTGTTAGGTCATAGTCTATCTCCCCCCAACGTGGATTCATCTTGTTGTGGTGGGAGGGCTCATTCGTTTCCGGCAGTTCAGCGGGGCGAGAAGCAAAGAAACGCACCGGGAGGTGACCCACTTCGCCGGGCGGTGTACCATACGGGTTGCTCCTGGTACTTCTCTGATAGCAGAGTGGACTGTGGAGCAACCCCGTGGTTGCTGTGGTCTACTTCGGCAGACCTGTGGTCGGGGCGTCGTAGTTAAGTGTGTAAGCGATCCCGCGACGTCCCATTAAGACGGGGGTAGGTCTTTTTATGTTATAGTGGGTAGTACTGCCCAACATTACAAAAAAAGGTCATAGTCTATGTCTGTACTACATTCAAATCCGTCCAGCCGCTTTAGCGTGAAAGAGTAACAAACATACACACATACTAAATAGCATTCGTAATTGTATGCCGATAGGTACAAATAAATAATATTTTTTATGTCATATCATCAATTTTTATGTTAATTGTTGTTGTAAAATTATATTGTCTTATTTCCGGCGTTTTAAGAAATAAAATTTACATAAGTGGATTGTTTACAACAAATAATGGTATTGCAAATGTTGTATTGTTTGATTTAGTACAAAATGAAAAATAAAAACTTAAACTTAATTTATTCTACTTAATTTTTTGTAATTCAGCAAGAAAATTTTTATAAAAAAATCTGATTTCTGAAATAACATAAAAACTCTTAAATCCTAATTAGCTTTACTTAACATATAATCTCAAAATTGAAGTGATAATATATATGTGTATTCAGCCGTTTTAAACATTTAGGCACGGGCCTCCTTTCAATACAAGGGGGATGAGGCCATAGTCTACCACGCTGGCCAAGTGTAGGTTGGCGGACTTCATATGTCTTTTGAAAATTAATAAAGAATTCATGTACAATAATACTTATGTTTTGTAATAATTAGTATAAGTATAATACTACTAGAATACAAGTATGTAGATCTATACATATCATAAAATTGTAACTAAGCCGAATCTGTACATTAAATATTTTTGGAAAATCTGATTGCAATAGTCATTATTATCGATACAGAGGTCGAATCTATAGTTTTTTTAATTTTTTGTCTGTCAGTCTGTGACCGCATCACAGAAAACTACTTGTGATGGAATTTGGTATGATGATAGCTGTTATCCGGGTCAAAATATAAGATACTTTTTACTGTGGGAAAATATAATAATTTCTGAGAAATCTATACTAAACTTTAAAATGTAAGTAAAATAAAATAGTAAAATAAAAATTCACCGTTTCATGTTCCGAGTCGGAGTCACTATCGAACGAGTCGAAGTCATCATCAGGTATCGGTGTGGGGAGAGCAGGTAGGGGCGGCAGCGTCGGCGCCGGCTCCAGCGACTCGTACACGTGGCCGGAGTCACTGCTGTCGCAGTCTGGAATTACGGAATAGATTTGTTAGTACAATAAATTGAAAGTTACAATGTTTCCTAAACTATAGATTTGCAATTTTATATTTATAATACCTACTCCTCTAAATACATAAATACACGTCTGTTTAAAATCTCGACATGTCTTTTCTATTGTATTCTCTTTTCGCGATTCCAAAAGCAAATATGTATTGAAGAAGATTCAAAAAGTTTTTTGATTAGTATGGCTAAGTAGCTTTTAATGGCTAAAAATTCAAGAGATAAACTTTTAAATGGCGTACAAATATCGATCGCTAATATTAGATCAGCGGCACTTTCAGTCAATAGAAAGTCAAACAAAATGAACCAAATATCGCGTATAGCGTTCGAGAATCGAGTTAAAGCTATTAAATATATCACGCGAGTAAATAATATCTACAAATACGTTAAATTTCATGCAAATATAATTATCGTCGTTGGTAGATAAGTCGCATGACTGAGCGAGGATTGTAAGAAGCTATTGTTGGAATTCAAGAATGAAATTGCAAAATTCCGCGAGTTGCTTCAGACTTCGTTATGTAAGAACATGAAAGACGAAATCTTTGACATTTTCAGTGTAAAATGTACATTTTCGCAGCCGCCGCGCTACATTTCTGTTACATGCTCTTTGTAAAAAAAAGAGAACGTCTAACTATTAGTATTAGTAAAACATGTATGTTTACATGTCAGTTATATGTTATTGATTTTAAAAAGTGTGACGAACTGGAACATTAGCAGTTTACCTCATTTAAGTACTCTTCAAAGTACAAATGAGACTAAGCCACTCGCACCAAAATTATTAATATCATTAAGTGTAAATATGTGTTTAGCGAGCAGTGAAATTTAACGTTTGTTAAACATAATACCATTTTCCCTATTGTTATAGCCTCATTTCCACATATTAGGATAATTTTATACCTTTGATAAATACTTCCAGATAAAAAAGTTTAGTATGCTTAACTTAATCTTCCAGTCATAAAAAAAAATACTTCCCAAAAGATTTCAAGACAAAAACACATTTTACAAAGTCGGGGATTTTTAAAAACTAATAACAATGTCATTAGTAGTTCCACTAAACTCGTTAACAACATGGTCAATCGTAATTATTGGTATTCCTCAATATAATGAAATTGCAAATTATGCACTGATTAATGATAACGATATTAGTGGAGTCATCACATAATAGGTTTTTTTGGGTTAAAATAGAGATAGATAATAGATATCTATAATGTGAACAAGTTGCTGGTTATTAATTACAAAAACCCTCTCAAATATCCATTTTCAGAATTAAACTATTAAGTTTATTATTGTGAGATTTTTAAATAGTATTTTATAATTTATACATCATTAAGATTTATATATATAAAATTTATACATCAAAATCTATACATATAATAAAATTGTAACTAAGCCGAATCTGTACATTAAATATTTTTTGGAAAATGTTATTGAAATAGACATTATTATCGATACAGAGGCTGAATCCATAGTTTTTAGAATTTTTGTTTGTCTGTCTGTTACTGCATCACGAGAAAACCAGTAGCTGATTATCCGGGTCAACATATAGGATACTTTTTACCGCGGGAAAATGTCTCATATCTGAGAAAAAATACAAAAACTGCAATTTAAGATTCAGTCAATTACTTATATGTAAAACCTAAAATTTGGTTTTTGGTCATCTGAACGCGCGCGGAGCCGCGGACAATGCTAGTAAAAAAATGTATAATGAAACCAAAGTGTAATAAATAGATTACTAACAGAATACCAGAATCAAAATAGCAATAAACAGTTTACCATTGAAGGCTTAGAACAACTCGACACGTGAAAGTAATCTTTGATTGGCATTAGGATATCCCACACTCGTTCGATAAATCCAGTTTAAATCCAATTAGTAGTATTTGTAGTTACCAAACCAGATATCAAACTTGTGAGTAGCGATCATCTAAACGCGTTGAATATTCGAGTTTTAACATTAATCAAACCAAGTAAACAAGATATACAGTAATTTAAAATCATACCAATAAATGCAACGAGATCTTGTATCTCGAATTCTCCATCTCGAAGCACAGTTCTCACACTTAACCACCACGATTGTTCTAGAATTTCGATGAACTTCAGTTTATCCTCAACATTCTCGTACAATTTCCTCGGAGTTTCATCATTTTCACTATAGTAAGGACATTTGGCATTCGTCCTGATGTAAACTTTCGACGGCGAAGTCACGGACACTAAGAGAACGGTCAAGGTGAATTAGACGTTGATTCCGCTTAAATAAGTAAAGCTGCAATCGAGCGAACAAAAACGAGATTACGGAATTAGACGCGGTATATAAGTTAGGAAGACCTTCAAAGTTAAGTCTTTTTATATATAACAAAAATAAAAGGTATTTCAATAAAAGAATGGTGAGTATGTTGTATGGAAACAATAGTGCTTTAACGCTCTATTAACACCTGTAGTTTGCAAGAGAAATCGTAATGTCACAACAATTGAGTCACTACTCCAAAAAACCGGTCTCGTGTCATGTTCGCCATATATATGAAAATGAATTTAATTGAATCAACTGTCTAAAGCACCTTGGTCGCCACAATTCCTCCGAAACGTCCGAGGCCTCTCCGATATCATTTTGACACATTTTTATCACTACATATTCCGATCACTTCACTTTACAAATCACTAGTTCGTTTACCACCTGTGTTGGGAACCGTCAGTGTTTGTTAGGCATTGATATCGTATCGTCACCATTTCGTACAGTATTTTTGTAATATAATTACAATAGCCAAGTCCGCTTGGCTTGCAATTATTTTAAATACTACTGAGTTCAGGAAAAAAAATAAGCGAGACACTGGCAGCTGTTGTACGACTCAGGGTCAACCGGTGCCGGTCGCCTCTAGATCGAGAGCTAATTTTTTATCCACTTAAAAATTATGTTATAATAAAGTTAGTGTGTTTTTATTAATAATTTTTTTATTATTACAAGATAAAATTATTTGTTAAATAGCCTATTTATAATGAATATTTATAATGCTATTTTTAAAGAGGGATAAATTCTTGATGTTTCAGATTTCTATGATTTAGCAATATGATACGTCGGTCGTCACGCTCCACTTTTCAAGAGTATATAATGTAGTTAAACATAATATAACTAATGTACTGCTCAGTTTTATTCTTTATTGGTTTTAAGGAGTTGCGAAATTTGTCCTTTACGAACAGAGTCAATGAGAAAGGGTAATTTTCAGCGCCATTTAATAGTTGTAGCATTGACATATTTGCATATCTTCGGCTACATTTTGTTAAAGTTACCTTGTTTCACATTGAAAGAAGTTAAGCATACTTTTACTTATTAATATACTAGCAGAACCCGTGGCTTCGCTCGCGCTAAAACTACAAAAAATCTCTAAAAAGGTAGGTTTCATAAAAACTGTCATCCCCTATTTTACCCCCTTATGGGATGAATTTTGAAAAATGCTAAAACACCTATTTATTTAATTGTATTGAAGAGCACGGGAAAACACGCTATAATACAGTCCAAAAATTATTTATGATCAGAATTACGTGAAACTTGGTATTAATACTCTTCAATATAATTAAATAAATACGTGTTGTAGCATTTTGCAAATTTATCTCATAAGGAGGTAAAATAGCGGATGAAAGTTTGTATAAAACTTAGTTTCTTGGTTTTTCTGTAGTTTTAGCGCGAGTGAAGCCACGGGTTCTGCTAGTCAACATAAATTAAAATGTTCTATGGTTTCCACAAACATTATGTTAGTTGTTATAAATTTGTACCGGCGTACTTGTGATGCCTTGCAATCAGAGCATTCAGCATAGCGTTGCAACACAATGACTAGCGTAGGTATAATCAGTTTCGCTAAATCTATGTATTGCTTCTATACGGTACTAGGATAAATTAATATCTCTTGTTAATCGACTTCCCAAAAAGGAGGAGGTATTTATGAAGCCGGTGCCAGCCGACAATATTTTAAGATTTGAATATCTAATAGGTAAATATGTATTTTACGTATCGAAATATATTAGATTTGCTTTGCATCAGCTGGCACCGACTTCGAAAATATCTGATTAGGTATTCTAAATAAAAACTCTCGTTTAGTTATTTTTTACATTTAGTGCCTGAAAGTCGTTTTTTTTTCAAGTTTTTATTTCAGCGTTTTCTGTTTTTTCGAACCGTCTGTTTACTTACTTTACTATGTTATTTCTATTATCAACTATTAGTGTATGAATATTTTAGATTTAAAATAAAATATTATTTTTGCGGATTTATTTTGACTTTTTGGTCCCCGACGCGGTTTCGAATGCTTTAAAACAATCATTAGTCTCTCCAGTGATTGATGAGTGATGACTTTGATTGAGAGTGAAAAAAATAAAATAAAATAAGTAAAAAATAGTATAAAAGTACCTAAGTTATGTACTGTCTTGAATTTCAATATTTTGAATAATTGAAGTAGGTAGTTGACAGTTGTGGGCCTATCTAAATTAGAATTTTATTTTGTAATCTTTGAGTTTATACAAAAAAAAATATGTAGATAAGAACAACATTTTTCCTACTTTCCAAATATTTCGAGCAACTTTTCCATGGGAAATTATTTTGTACGCTGGATTTTGATAACGCCACTTACAACCAACTATACCTAAGAACCATCCAGGCCCTGCATAAAAAATATCAAAATCGGTGAAGCCGTTTAGGAGGAGAAGAATTAAGAACGAATTAGTTTAACAAACATATAAAATTTAGTGTCATATTACACTAGGACAAGGCTCGTGTATCTCTTGTTTGAGGTGCAAGTGTATGTTATCTAAACACATATAATATATGCTATTTGAATAGTTAACAGTAACTACTTTATTATTTACTTCGATAATGATTCTAGTTCAACAACAGGGTTTATAGAGGAAATCATATTAAAAAGTATTTAATTTTTAACCGATTTCACAAAAAAAGAGGTTTATTAGAGTTTGTTTTTTCTATGTACTCG